GGAAGGTGGATCAGAATCAGAGCAGCAGGGACCTAAACCAGACAGTGCAATACAGGTGTGACTATCCCAGGTGGTGATTTAATCTGTAACATGGTGTTCAGACATATAACTGAGTTTCAGTAATGTGCCAGGAGCTACACAGTAAGGGATCTTCACAGTATGAGCCAACATTCTCTGAAAATGGTCGGTTTTCTCCAGTGACTAATTGTTTCTCATCATATAAAATGATATTTTATATATACAAAATCAAAAACATGTTTTAATGTTTGCAGAGCAGTAAGCTCCTGTTTCATTTTCTTAATTCTGTCAAAAAATTTATGGTTAACAGATCAACTTCAATAAATTCCATGGATATATGCAGAATGCATTCTTCAAGAGAAATCTGTCCTGATTCCCTAAGGTCTCTTATGCCTCATTCTAGGAATTGAAGCAAAGAGCAATTCCAAATAAATGTGTAGGATGAAAGCTGAATGACACAAGATCACACATATGCTGGCTGAAAGTGGTTTTGAGCAAGTAGTAAAGGCATCATTTCTTCCATAATGCATTCCACGTGTCTTCATTAGATGCTTACTAAGTGTCAGTTGTTCTGGTTGCCAGGAGTGCTACCGTGTTCCATGAAATAGACAATCTGACGTCACACTTCTCTCTTAGGTAGCTATAATAGAAACCAATACAATTCTCTCATCCTCTAGTTTTTTTTACTCCTGGTCTCCAGGAGACAGTTCTGGCTTCCCTTTTTGTTTATAACCGTCAGGCATGAGTCATCCCTTCACTGTGAGTATTGCAGAATTGCATATCACATTCCAGTCTAATTTGTACCACTGCCAGAGTCTCAGCCAGCAGCTCTTTGCTTGTTTGCTGACAGTCGTGATGGAGCAGTAAGAGCTAGCTCTTGAACTGGGGAGGGAGAAAAGAGCACCTGCTCTGTGTTCCATGTATTTTTGTTTATTACAAGAGATATTTAGGAGTGGGCTGCTTTATTTCTGGGTGCCAATATATCAGGCTAAACTCTGCTATTAAGAGCCCTGGGTCTGATTTCTTTTTTTAAGTGAATTTATACATATGAGCAAATAAAATAAGCTGATCTCTCAAATGGTATTGTTTTACTGATAGCTTGGCAGCTTTGGCGGATAGCCCTGATGCAGCACACACAAAGTGGCTCTGACAGTGTATTATACAATGTTCCAAAATCCACCAAACAGAGAAGTGAATGAACTTCTCCCTGAAGATCTTCTGCATTACACTTAACTTTGATTTTGAATGTTTAGGCCTTCTTCCTATAATGAGTTGGATTGATTGATCAATGAATTTTTAAAATGTATGACTTAGGGTAGCTTTGCAATGTAAAGAATATTTCTGCCCATCATTCTGTAACTTTATGTAGCTTTTCATCTTGGGATTCTTCATAGTATTTCTCTAATTATTATATGTGACAATAATATTAGCATTTATGCAATTTTATGTTTTGTTCTTACCATTTCTTCCCAACTTTTTGAATGCACTTCTCTGACATGACTCATCTTCTACTGTGTGTGACTCAGGGGTGTAAAAGAAGAATTTAAAAAAAATTTGGTTATTTTTATTGGAAAATCAGATATACAGAGAGGAGGAGAGACAGAGAGGAAGATCTTCCATCTGTTGACTCACTCCCCAAATGCCTGCAGCAGCCAGAGCTGAGTCTGTCTAACCCCAGGATCCAGGAGCTTCTTCAGGGTCTCCCTTGTGGGTTCAGGGTCCCAAGACTTTGGGCCATCCTCCACTGCTTTCCCAGGCCACAAGCAGGGAGTTGGATGGGAAGCAAGGCTGCCGGGATTAGAACTGGTGCCCATATGGGATCCTGGCACGTGCAAGGCAAGGACTTGAGCCACTAGGCTACTGCAGCGAGCCTAGGAGGGTTTGTTTTGAGCAGCAATATGAGTGTCAGACTGGCTTGTCACCAGCAAGCATTCCGTGCAGAGGAAACATCACATGTCTTTGGCCTAGGCACAGGTGAAAAGTAGGTGGGTGTGTGCAGAGGTCACTCCAGTTATAATTGGTGAGATGCTAAAAACACTTTCAGTAATGCAGAGTCTAAGTGGCCATCCACATGGAAGTCAGGTGGCTTACTTGAGAATAGAGCTTACCTTGAATTGGAAAAGGCCAGGTCTATTTGGTTTTCTGCAAATGGAAAAGATTAAAAAACAAAACATACCAAGTCTTGGTGTCTGCAGAAAAGACATACCAGGTATAGTAAGGAGGCTGGTATTTCCTGGTCCTTTCTGGCTCGCTGAGAGAAGGATGTGCAAAAAGAAAAGTTCCAGGTTTTGATTTTTAAGACTCTTATGAAACATACATGCTGCTCAAATAGAGTAAGGGGTGCAAACAGAATATGAATCTGAAAGAAACAAAATTACATGTATTTTATAATTCAAATAAAGTAAATATTCAATCTAATAATTGTTAAGGATACTCAATCACATTTGTGTTGAGTTCTTTTTTTTTTTTAAAGATTTATTTTATTTTCATTGCAAAGTCAGATATACAGAGAAGAGGAGAGACAGAGAGGAAGATCTTTTGTCCAATGATTCACTCCCCAGGTGAGTACAATGGCCGGTGCTGCGCCGATGCGAAGCCAGGAGCCAGGAACTTCTAGGTCTCCCACACGGGTACAAGGTCACAAGGCCTGGGGCTGTCCTCGACTGCTTTTCCGGGCCACAGGCAGAGAGCTGGATGGGAAGCCAAGCTGCTGGGATTAGAACCATTGTCCATATGGGATCCTGGCGTGTTCAAGGCAAGGACTTTAGCTGCTAAGGCACGGCGTTGGGCCCATTTTTGGAACTTCTTTATGCCAGAATTCTGTTCAGGGTTACTTTTGAGTTTTTAGGTCTCTGGAGGCATCAGGAATTTCTGTGATGGTGACATGGGCAGTCAGCCCTGAACATCTGGAATGACGGGTACAGTGGACAGTGTCTGAGCAGAGGAGCAGTTTGTGCTGTGGATGGAAATGCATGCTCCTGGTGTTTTGGAACCACTCAGGAAAGAAGTAGAATGGAAAACAGAGACTATGGGCTGGCAGAAGGACATGGGGATGGTTTATTTACAAATCAAAGATCATTCTGGAAATTCACCTTAGGAACTTGAGTTAGGATTAGGTTCTGTTGTATATTACAACTCATTAAAAACCAAAACAAAGCAAAACAAAACAAATCTGAGCTTAAAGAAGACGGGAATTAATTTCAGTTTCTTCTTCTTGTAAAAGAGCTGGACAACTAATGGCAGCTGTGGCATCTCCAGGCTCTTAAAAAAAAAAAAGATTTATTTTATTATTTTGATTGGAAAAGCAGATTTACAGAGAGGAGATACAGAGAGAAAGATCTTCTATCCACTGGTTTGCTCCCCAAATAGCCACAATGTCCCGAGCTAAACCAATGCAAAGCCAGGAAACTCTTCTGTGTCTCCTATGCATGTGCAGGTCGTAAAACTTTGGACCATCCTCCACTGCTTTCCCAGGCCACAAGCAGGGAGCTGGATGGGAAGCAAGGCTGCCAGGATTAGTACCGGTGCCCATATGGGATGCTAGCTCATGCAGCACAAGGACTTGAGACACTAGGCTATCACACTGGACCTCAGCTCCAGGATTTTCAGGGACTAGGCTCCCTGCTTTTTGCTTCATCATTTTTGCCATTGGCTTCCACTCTCAGGTTTACCAGGTTCTGCTGGAGAACCACAGTTGCTCTAGCTGTCATGCCTTTGTCCTGGCAGAAAAAAGGGCAAGGCTGAAGGATGTACTTTCTGTAGACCCAGCCTTCCCAAAGAGCTTTCCTGGAAGCCCCACCCACTTACTGGCAACCCCATCCCTCAAGGACATTGCTTTTCCCCAGTGTAGAGGCTAACCACCAAATGAGCAGAGCTTAGACCAAGACTGTGGAAGATCTCCGACTCTGAGTAACAATGTTTGATGAACTTGAATTCTAGATTGCCGCTAGAGTTGGCTCAACAATAATGAGGATTTACTATGTGTGAAGCATTACAGCTCAGTAATAAACAAGGTAGTCATGGTCCCATGCAAACTAAATAAAAAAAATATATTTTAAAGTAAGTAAATTCAAAATGTGATGTATATTAAGAAGGAGAAAGTAAAGAATGTTGGGATTGTGCTGGAAAGACCTCTGTTGGCTATGCCATGATGTGCACAGTGAGATTTCATAGGTGCTTGAAAGTGAACCAGGTTAGGAAACTGGGGAAGGGAGGCTGGCATGGTAGTGCAACAAGTTAATCTTCCACCTGTATGTGCCAGCATCTTCTATGGGCACCAGTTCATGTTCCAGCTGCTCCACTTCCCATCCAGCTCTCTACTTTTGACCTGGGAAAGCAGTGGAAGATGGTTCAAGTCCTTGAGTCCCTGAACCCACATGGGAGATCTGGAGGAGGCTCTTGGCTCTTGGCTTCAGATCGGCTTGGCTGCAGCCATTGAAGCCACTTGGCGAGTGAACCAGCAGATGGAAGATCTTTGTCCCTGATTTTCTCTGTAAGCTGCCTTTCCAATAAAAATAAAATAAATCTGGGGGGAAGAAGGGGTGTTTTAGGAAAGTGGAGGTGGGGGTGTGAGAGGAGGGTCAGGTGAGGAGAAACGTTTCAAGCCGATTCACCCCCCAGCCCGATCACTTCCGCCACAGTTCCCTTCTCTTCTGTGCTTTGTTTTAGTTCTTCATCAGAGGGAATCAGTGGGAATTTCCAAATGACAGGAATGCTTGGACTGAATATTCTTTTTATCTGTAATAGCTAAATGGACTGCCATGTTCTCTAGTTATTTTTTTATTCTCTCTGAATGAGTGCCTGGCTCCATAGGCTGCCCCAGGAGGTGTTGATAACCAAGCAAGGAGGCGGACAAATGATTGGTATGTAGTGACATCAGCTGTGCCATGAGAGATGTAGATTTTGGTCTCAGTGTGAGACTTCAGGGAAGTGAGGATTGGTTTTGACCTTGAGGTGCTGATATGACCCCTTTCGCATTGCAGGAGGTGGACATCATGGTAGCACCATGCCACGGCCTCCGGCCCGCAGTGGACGTTCTGGGCGACTTGGTGAATGATTTCTTGCCTGTGATAACCTATGCACTCCATAAGGATGAACTCTCTGAGAGGGATGAGCAAGAGCTTCAGGAAATCCGAAAGTATTTCTCCTTTCCTGTGTTCTTTTTCAAAGTGCCAAAGCCAGAGATAATAGACTCCTCCCCCAGGAGAGCAGAGAGTGAGAGAGCCCCACTTTATCGCCAGCTAATCGACCTGGGCTATCTCAGTAGCAGTCACTGGAACTGTGTGTCCCCCAGCCAGGATACGAAACCTCAGAGCATGTTGGTGGAGCAGGTTGAGAAGCTGCGACACTTGAGTACGTTTTCTCATCAGGTACTACAGACCCGCCTGGTGGATGCAGCCACAGCCCTGAACCTGGTACATTGCCACTGCCTCGATATCTTTATTAACCAGGCCTTCGACATGCAGCGGGACCTGCAGATCACTCCTAAACGCCTGGAATATACTCGAAAAAAGGAGAATGAGTTGTATGAATCACTCATGAATATTGCCAACCGAAAGCAGGAGGAAATGAAGGATATGATTGTTGAAACACTTAACACCATGAAGGAGGAACTTCTAGAAGACGCTACCAACATGGAATTTAAAGGTAGGCCGCAGAAAACAAGGTAGGATCCTGCGACTACAGGAATCTGTAGCTCTCTCTTCTAAAGACTTATTTTTATCTGAAAGGCAGAGTTACAGAGAGAAGGAGAGATAGAGATCTTTCCATCGATTCACTTCCCAAATGGCTGCAACAGCTGGAGTTGGGCTGATCCAAAGCCAGGAGCCAGGAGTTTCTTCCATTCTTCCACATGGGTGCAGGGGCCCCAGTACTTGTGTCATCCTCTGCTGCTCTCTCTGGCCAAAGGCAGGAAGCTGGGTCAGAAATGGAGCAGCCAGAATTTGAACCAGTGCCCGTATGGGATTCTGGCACTTGCAGGTAGATGATTAGCGAGTTGAGCCATTTTGCTGGCCCTGTAGCTCTCTTTCTGACATTGAGAACATTGATTCTTAAAGATAAAGGAACCTGAAGGTCATTTCATGTGCCTCTGTTTTGAACAGGAGCTCATCTTAAAACATTTAGCTGTGGGGGCCTTGCTTTTCTTACTGTCAGAGACTTTCCTGGGAGAAGAAAGTCCATTAGCTTAGCTTTTGGTCAGTTCATCCTAAAGGTTGGGTTTTTGTTTTGTTTTGTTTTGAGTTTATTGACATGGTATTGAATGACCAATATATTAGAAAATGCAAGTTCTTAACCACCTCCTGTGACTACTTCATTGACATTTCAGTTTTAGTTTATCCTAATAGTTTTCTAATTTTCACCTTCAGTACCCCAAGCGGCTGGAGAAGCAGTGCTTGAAGCATGTGGCTAAGTTTTGCCTTAACCCTTGCTCCTTCAAGCTGGCAAGTGCTTCTTAAATATTTATTTATTTATTTATTTATTTATTTATTTATTTGAAAGCTAGAAAGACACAGAGAGGGGGAAAGACAGAGAAAGAGGTCTTCCATCAACTGGTTCACTTCCCAAATGGCTGCAACCTAAGGAGTTAGGCCAGGCCAAAGCCAAGGGCCTGGAATTTTGTCTCATCTCCCACGTGTGTGACAGAGGACCAAGCACTTGAGCCATGACTGCTGCTTTCCCAAGTGCATTAGCAGGCAAAGTGTGCTGTGTCCATCATCACCTTAATGGTGTGTTTCTAGAAAAAAAATTCCTTGAATCAGGATAGTTAAATCAGGATATGTGATTTTTCTTTTGATTAGCTTAAAATTTTACCAGATATTGCCAAATTTCTTTTGAAGAAGTGGCACCAATTTCTGTTCACACCAATGGACATGAGAGTGTCATATCAGGAGCAAATCTTTTTGCAGATAATTTATCTTTTTTTTTTAACATTTATTTTATTTTTATTGGAAAGTCAGATATGCAGAGAGAAGGAGAGACAGAGAGAAAGATCTTCCATCCTATGAATCACTCCCCAAGTGTCTGCAATGGCTGGAGCTGCACTGATCCAAAGCCAGGAACCAGGAAGCTCTTCTGGGTCTTCCATGTGGGTGCAGGGTCTCAAGGCTTTGGGCCATCCTCCACTGCCTTCCCAGGCCACAAGCAGGGAGCTGGATGGAAAGTGGAGCTGCCAGGATTAGAAGGTGCCTATATGGAATCCCTTTGTGTGCAAGGCGAGGACTTTAGCTGCTAGGCTACTGCGCCAGGCCCAATTTGACTTGTCTTAAGCTCTTTTAGTCTCTGGCTTACAACAAAATAAATTTACTTAGTGTGGGAGAGGAGTAATGGGGAGGGTGGAAGGGGAAATCCCTAAGCCTACAGAACTGTATCATAAAAATTAAAAATTAAAAAAACAAAAACAAAACTAAAATATGTTCTAACTCTTACAAGTGGTGGCATAGTGGGAACAACAGTTGCATGGTACTTTTTAGTTGTTCAGTAATTGTTCAGAGTAAAATCTTAACTCTTGGATCTTTCTCAGTATTGTTCTAGGCAGTGTGATATTTTTCATAGATTACAGGCTTTGGAATTCATTAACTCTGGTTTCAAATGTTAGCTGTCTGACTTTCTAGCTATACTGTCTCCCTCCTGTTGTCTACTTTCCCCTTTATGCGGTTGTTTCCTGATTTATAAAAAATAACAAATAACCCCCCTGACAAAGTTATTGTACAGATGTAGTCAGATTACATATGTAAAATATTTATTGTAAATTGTCAAGGAATCTGCACTCAATAAACGTCATCCCTCTCCTTCTTTAATATGACATAAAAACTAACAAAATCAGCAGACTTCTTCTGGACATAGTCCCTGCTTCCCAGGATCGCATTGCCTTAAGTATGGGAGTGTTACCCTAATTATGCTGAGGGTCAGAACTCCCGTACCAGCCCTTTTTTTTTTTTTTAAAAAAAAAAGATTTATTTGTTTTTATTGGAAAGGCAGATATACAGAGAGAAGGAGAGACAGAGAGGAAGATCTTCCGTCCGATGAATCTCTCCCCAAGTAACCGTGATGGCTGGTGCTGAGCCAATCTGAAACCAGGAGCCAGGAATCTCCTCCAGGTCTTCCATATGGGTGCAGGGTCCCAAGGCTTTGGGCTGTCCTTGACTGCTTTCCCAGGCTACAAGCAGGGAGCTAGATGGGAAGTGGGGCTGCCAGGATAAGAACCAGCACCCGTATCGGATCCTGGTGCATTCAAGGCAAGGACTTTAGCTGCTAGGCCACCATGCCAAGCCCACCAGCCCTTCTTTTTATAGCCAGCATCATAGCAGTTCTTTGCCAGGCTTCTAGAGTTGCCCCTCCCAGCAGATAACTAACTCATTTCTCTGACCCCATAGATGTCATTATCCCTGCAAATGGAGAACCAGTGGGTACCAGAGAGATCAAATGCTGCATCCGACAGATCCAGGAACTCATCATCTCCCGGCTTAACCAAGCCGTGGCCAACAAGCTGATCAGCTCGGTGGATTACCTACGTGAGAGCTTCGTTGGGACCCTGGAGCGCTGTCTGCAGAGCCTGGAGAAGTCTCAGGATGTCTCTGTTCACATCACCAGTAATTATCTCAAACAGGTACACAAATGGCTGTCAGGAGGCCAGGCCCCAGGTGACACCACAGTCCACAGGAGTCCAAGTACAGCTGAGCAGAGAACACCCTTTGTTTTTAAAGGGGTTTTATTTTATTTATTTGAAAGGCTAGTGACAAAGAGAGAGGGAGAAACAGAGAAAGACATCTTCCATCTGCTGTTTCACACACCAAATTGCTGCAATGACTAAAGCTGACTATATCTCCCGCATGAATGTTGGGGTTTCAAGTATTTGGACTATCCTCCACTGCTTTCCTGGGCATATTAGCAGCGAGTCAGATTTTTTTTTTTTGCATCAAAGTAAGCTAATTTTTAATTTCATTTTCCTTAAACTTTTTAAAGCACTCTTTTCTATATTTTGAATCCATGTTTTTCATATGTGTATAATGCTTTAATAAGTATTTGTATATTTAAATATTTTTTCAATGCCATAATATGGAGTCATAAATACCATTTACATAGATGAAAACGAGAACAGAAAACTACTGAGAAATAAACACCTTTTTCCTTTTAAAGCTGTGATTTTTATAAACACATATATTAGTTTTATATTATATTATTTTCTGCAATTATCTATAGCCCAGGACACCATGATGTATTGGGTAGATATTTTCCTTCTGAAACTGTCATGAATTTTTAAACAATTCCAGCTTATTAGAAGGAAGCAAAACAATGGTGCATAGTACCACCCAGAAATATTCTGGAGGCACAGGTGGGGGCAAGGGAGCTGGGTTGATGTAAGGATCACAAGGAATTAAAAACTAGGTAAGAATATTTGTGTTGTGGCTCACGTCACTAACCGTAATTGGGATCATCCAGCAAATGCATGATTGTGGCAGATATCACCTTTAAGGAGCTGAGGTCAGATCTGAGAAGTCCCCCTACACAGAGGCCCATTCGTATCACTGCCCAGTCACTGACCCAGTGCCTGCAGGGAGCCTATTCCAGGTGCTGCCATAGGAGAGGCAGGGACCATAGCAGGGGAACCAGGACCCGAACTGGCACTGTGATATGGGATGCTGGCACTGCTAGTGATGGCCTAACTTACTGGCCCCAAAAGATTTCCCTTTTAATTATTTGCGAAGCCGGTTTGATTTTTATTTTTGTTTTGCTGTCACAGGACCAGTACCTGTGGGAGGTGCTGATAAGTTGTAATATCATAGTGCAATATAAATGTAGTGATATCACATCACATGAAGATGAAGTAAAAGGATCTAGATAATTACAACAGAGATGATCACCTTGAATTCACTCTGGGTGTGCAGTGAAAGATCAAAGTCGAACCCTTGAGACCAGAGCTGTGTTCTTGAAGTGAATATGATTGGTTGAGTTGTTTTAAATAACTGTTGTCCTCAGGCTGTCTTCCCTCATGTATATTTTCCTTCAGATCTTGAATGCCGCCTATCACGTGGAAGTCACATTTCACTCGGGGTCCTCTGTTACAAGGATGCTATGGGAGCAAATCAAGCAGGTAGGGATTACTCAGGGAAGCATCTTGTCAGCCCCTAGTTGGCTGCCACAAATCCTGGTGATGCCAGAAGTGAAGATTCTGGGATATTATGTCATTGTCAAGGGCCCATTTGTTCTGGTTTAACCAGCCTGGCAGAATTCTGGTGTATGCTCATTGTGAAATACGCAACAGTGTTGCCTTTAACTGTTAGGAGTGGTGGGTGCATGTAAGATTTTGTGGAGACACTTGCTTCCGTGTATTTCTTTTTCCCGATCTCAGTGTTCTCTCAGACAAGGCTTTGTTGTTGCCACAGGCCCTGAGTATGATTCCTGTCCTGGAATTAGATCTGCTTCATACGTAGAGTTACTTACCAGCTTCAGAAAGTGATTTGTCAGACGCTCACTGACACTAAATATAGGGTGTTGAGGGCCATGGGCCTGTAGACCCGGTCCCATAGTCCTTGATGCTTCCCCCTAGGCTGAGTTCTGATTTTGAGGTAGATACAACTGAGGGAACCTTGGACCTCACATGGCTCTTGTCTGAAGAGTTTGCTTCTAATGAGTAGGTAGCCCAGAAAAAGAAGGGTTGTTGCCTGTCTCCCATCCCTCAACCATCCCCTTGTCCTCACTGTGGCAGATCATCCAGCGTATCACATGGGTCAGCCCACCTGCCATCACACTGGAGTGGAAGAGGAAGGTGGCCCAGGAAGCCATCGAGAGCCTCAGTGCCTCCAAGCTGGCCAAGAGCATCTGCAGCCAATTCCGAACTCGGCTCAACAGTTCTCATGAGGCGTTTGCAGCGTCCTTGCGGCAGGTTGGTATGCAGGAAAGCTGGTATAGCTGGATCAGACAGAAAGGAGCCTCAGCCAGAGGAACAGCTTACATATATATATATATATATATATATGGCATGATGCCTCAGTGGCTAAATCCTCACCTTGTATATGCCAGGATCCCATATGAGCACTGGTTCATATCCCATCTGCTCCACTTCCCATCCAGCTCCCTGCTTGTGCCCGGGAAGGCAGTGGAGGACGGCCCAAAGCCTTGAGACCCTGCACCCATGTGGGAGACCTGGAGGAAGCTCTTGGTTCCTGGCTTCAGACTGGCGTAGCTCCAGCCATTGCAGCCATTTGGGGAGCTAGCCAGCAGACAGAAGATCTTTCTCTCTGTATTTTCTTCTCCCTGTAAATCTGCCTTTCCAATAAAAAAAAATAACTCTTTAAAATATATTTATTTGTTTGTTTGAAAGGCAGAATTACATATAGAGTGAAGGAAAGATGGAGAAAGCGAGATCTGTCTCCTGGTTCACTCCCTGAATGGCCACAATAGCCAAGGCTTGACCAGGCCAAACCTGGGAACCTGGAGCTTCTTCTGGGTTTCTCATGTGGGTGCAGGACCTGAGCACTTAGACCATTGTTTACAGCTTTTCCAGGCACATTAGCAGGAGCTAAATTAGAAAATGGAGCAACCAGGACTTGAACCAGCACCCATATGGGATGCTGGACTTGCAGGCAGCAACTTAACCTGCTATGTCATGATGGCTCCTTGACATACAGTTTTTTTTTTTTTCAAGATTTATTGATTTTTATTGGAAAGGCAGATTTACAGAGAGAAGCAGGGACAGAAAGATCTTCTGTCCCTTGGCTTACTCCCCAAGTGGTTGCAACAGCCAGAGCTGAAGCCAGGAGCCAAGGGCTTCCTCCAGGTCTCCTATGCAGGTACAGGGTCCCAAGGCTTTGGACCATCCTCCACTGCCCTCGCAGGCCACAAGCAGGCAGCTGGATGGGAAGTGGAGCAGTTGGGACACGAACTAGTGCCCATATGCAATCCTGGTGAGGACTAGCCACTAGGCCATCATGCCGGGCTGATGCCATATGCTTTTTAAAGATCTTTAGTATGTTTTCTTTTTATTCAGTTAGAGAATAATGTGGTGGGAAGTTTCATGAATGAGTTTTTCATGCAGATATTTTTAGCCCTAAAGAGAACGGAGGGAGCTCAGCTAATTTCTCCCTGCGTGAGAAAAGGAAATAAAGGAGTCTGAATTTTTTTTTTCAATTAATTTGTTTGAAAGGCAGAGAGACAGAGGGGCGGAATTAGAGACACAGAGAGATCTGCCATCCACTGGTTCATTCCTCAAACACCTGCAGTCCCTGAGGCTGGGCCAGTCCAAAGCCAGGAACCAGGAACTATATCCCACAGAAATGGCAGGGACCCATGTTGTTAAGTTACCACCTGCTGCCTCTCAGGCTGCACATTAGCAGTAAGCTGGTCAGAAACAGGCAGGACTGTATCCCAGATGCTCCAGTATGGGGTGGAGGTTATCTCTCTCTAAGATAACACCTTTCCAAGAAATAGGAATTTTACATTAGGTGATATGGCACTTTAGGAATGAATTACAGAAAGGAATGACTTTCCAACTCAGATAGCAATTTGTAATTATGAAATATCTGTTTATATGGAGTGAGTATGTGGGTGAATTTTTCTGTATGTGTATTACGTGTGTGTATAGCTGTAATTATTCCTCCAAGAGGGAAAAATAGATTTACTGACTATCTACTATGTGCTAAACATTTTACATACATATTCTTTAATTCTCATAATTATCCATCTATGATAGACATTATTAGTAATAATGAGTTAGGGACTTGAAAGTCAAGTGATTAGTTGTTTTTGTTTGTTTTTTTCTGTTTCCCTCCCAGCTGGAAGCTGGCCACTCTGGCCGCCTGGAGAAAACCGAGGACCTGTGGCTGAAGGTGCGCAAGGATCACGCCCCGCGCCTGGCCCGCCTCTCTTTGGAGAGCCGTTCTTTACAGGACGTCCTGCTCCATCGTGAGTTCTTGCTTTGCCCGAAGCAAATTGGAAGACGGTCCAGGGACCCTGAGATTCTTAGGTCTAGGCTTGGAAGATCCCAGTGTCTAAAGCTATGTCCCTGCAAAGCTGCTTAAGTACTCACTGATGTGTTTTGGAATTGCTATAATCTGTTTGGTCCTATTGTTTATATGGCTCCAATACCATGACCAGAGGTGGGTAAAATTAAGCCAGTTATGTAACTCTCCACTGGCTTACAGTGATACCAGAATATCTTCCCCAGGCATAATTGCGACTTCCTAGCCGATCAGTGTGCAAGAATGTTTCTGAGGGTTCCCAACAAGTTTCCCTGTCTCCCATCTTATCTCTGTGCCTTGCAGGTAAACCTAAACTGGGACAGGAACTGGGCCGGGGCCAGTATGGTGTGGTATACCTGTGTGACAACTGGGGAGGTCACTTCCCTTGTGCCCTCAAGTCCGTTGTCCCTCCAGATGAGAAGCACTGGAACGATCTGGCTCTGGAGTTTCACTACATGAGGTGGGTCTTGGTCTCATTTTTCTCTATGGAAAGTTCTGGAAAAGGTATTAGAAGCTTGCTGTACATTTTATACCACAAGTCACAGAATGCCGCTTCTCCCCATACCTACCTAGGTCACAGTGAATACTGTAGACTAGTGTTTCTGTGTCTGAAAGATTTTACAAAGATCTCTGCGTGCTCTCTGCCATCCTGATTGCTCAGGCTCCTCATCTGTGTGACTTATAGCTTCAGTCATTAAGGCTGGTCCATTTTTAGATTCTGTGACTCTTTGTCCTCAAGTGGAGAGGCCATTCTTGGATGTCCTGTCCGAATGTGGTGCCACTGCCACTGCACAGACTCACCAGGCCCCTGAGATTACTTCCTCCTACCTGCTGGCCTGTTGTGCAGAATTAGGGCCAAACCACTGCAGCCAAGACCTCTGTCCTTGCCACAGGTCTCTGCCAAAGCACGAGCGGTTAGTGGATCTGCACGGCTCTGTCATCGACTACAACTACGGTGGAGGCTCCAGCATTGCTGTGCTGCTCATCATGGAGCGGCTGCACCGGGACCTCTACACGGGGCTGAAGGTGAGGCAGGCAGGGTGGGGTGAGCAAAATCCAGGCAGCAACCAGAGCCATGCCTCTTCACCAGCCTGTCATTCTGTCTTGTGTGTTCAGAGCTCCTGGTTAGAGTAACCAGGTCTTAGTGCATTTAGCTCCAGAAATCTGAAAAATGTCTTAGAATCTAGGTTTACCCCAGTGCACATTGCAAATCCTGTCACCATTCCCTCAGCCTGTGGTGGTGGTGGTGGTGGTAAACACCCCGGCCCCTTGGAGGCACAAAAAAGCTTCCTTAGCTCTGATCATCTTTGTCATATTTGGCTTTCATGATCCTGGTAGAGAAAGGCAGTTTTGGTCATTTTATCAGAAAATATTCATGAATATTTTTAAAGAGTTTAGGGGGCCTGGCACGATAGTCTAATGGCTAAATCCTTGCCTTGCATCTGCCAGGATCCCACATGGGAACCAGTTCGTATCCTAGCTGCCCCACTTCCCATTCAGCTCCCTGCTGTGGCCTAGAAAAGCAGTAGAGGATGGCCCAAGGCTTTGGTACCCTGCATCCATGTGGCTCTTGGTTCCTGGCTTCAGATTGGCTCAATTCTAGCTGTTGCAGTCACTTGGGGAGTGAACCAGCAGACAGAAGATCTTTCTCTCTGTATCTCCTTCTGTCTGTAAATCTACCTTCCCAATAAAAAAATCTTATTTAAAAAGAATTTTTATTTGAAAAATTTACAGAGAGAGTTCTTTGATCTCTGGCTAATCCCCTAAAAGACTACAGTGGAGCAGGGCCAGTCCATACCCAGGAGCCAGGAGAAAGAAGCTTCCTCTGGGTCTCCCATGTGGGTGCAGGAACCCAAGGACTCAAGCTACGCTCCACTGCTTTTCCAGGTCATAGGCAGGGAGCTTCACTAGAAGTGGAGTAGTTGGGGAACAAACCAGTATCCATGTGGGATGCCTGCTACACCACCATGCCGATCTCCTATTTGCACAAGCCCTGGGTTAGGCACCATTAGGGTATATAAAAAATGATTATTGCTGGGAGATTTGGGGAGAACTGTTACTAGGGAATGGTTCACGAAGATGCAGAGTTTGTGCTTGACAGGTGTGCTTGGTACCCAGGTAGTAAAGACACTGGGCATATTGGAGCCAGCATCTGTGTGGGGAATGGTGGGAGGTGATGCACACAGAGATGGGTGGAACCCATCTCTCTGCAGTGGTAAACATTGCTGCAGAATTCATGCTTTGTTGTGGATAATGAGAAGCTGCACAGAACACACACGCCCCAAGTGAGGTGATTAGGCTCCTCTCAGGTGATCTTGATTCTTTATGAATCCTAATGTGCTACTGCATGACTTGGTTTGCATGAAGAGAAAATCCTGAGTTGGAAATGAAGCTTCCTTTGTGTGAAAAAACCCACCTCGGAGAAGAGGCGAGGCCTCTTTGCAGAGACCAGTGGGCCTGCCTCTCTGGGTGTGTCCCTGCCCATGGAGTCCTCTCATACAGAGAAGATAGACCATGTACCCAAGGGTCAAGAAGACTCTGAGGAAGAAGCCACTCTCTAGGTGGCTTCCTCCCTTCCTCTCCAAGGAATCCACTCAGCTCTGTGTGGTGCCTTTCCACACAGCCCCTAGGAGAGAGCATTTTCCAGAGCTCATGATACCCTGAACTAAAGAAACAGGAACAGCGTCACTCTCCAAATCCATAAAGAACCAAAGTTGGCCTAATTAGGCTTGTGAAGCAAGCGGGGCTGGGACAGCTCGAGTCAACTCAGAAGCTAGAAACAAGGCTTTGCTGCCATCCGGCTGAGCCTCTCCCATCACGGCTGAGGTTGTCCAGCTGCCTGACTAGCCTGCAAGGGATGTCAGTCACATGGCTCTGGCCTTGTCGCCATTATAGCTTGCTCCTCCCTGCTTTCCCTCTACCTCCCTTCCCTCACTGCTTTCCTCCTCCTTGCCAGTCCCCATTCACTTGTCTGCCTTTGTGTACCCCTGTGTTGTCAGCCTTTAGTTCCCCACCAAAGGAAGCCTCAGTCAGTCTGAGCCTGTTGGACTGGAGAAGTTGCTCTGTATATGGCAAATATGCTTTCTTGTTTCCCCAAGGCGGGGCTGACCCTAGAGCCACGGTTGCAGATAGCCCTGGATGTGGTGGAGGGAATCCGCTTCCTGCACAGCCAGGGACTGGTTCATCGTGACATCAAACTGAAAAATGTGCTGGTGAGTGGGAGCTATTTCCCTGTTCCCAGGCTGACTGGCCTTTTGGAGGGTACCTGTATTCACAAGAAAAGTCCAGAGGAAGAATAATGAACAACAGAGGGGATGGGGAGAGGAGACCTTGGCTTAAGGAGAGGGAGGTGTTTCAGTATAGACCTTGCCTTTTATTGCTTAAGGTCATTGTCCCATATATTATTTGAAAATTTTTAAAATTACAGAAAAGTTGAAAGAGTGATACAGTGAGTCTTACATACGCTTCTGCCACATTCATATCTCTCCCAGTATGCTCACTCCTACACTCTCCTGTGTATACTAGTGCGTGTGTACACACACACACCTTGCTTTTCTACCAAACTGTATGATTGTTGCAGAAAACAATTCATTTTGAAATACTTAAGTATGTATCTCCTAAGAAATACAATTCTTCTATACAATTAAAATGCCATTATCACACTTGAATTTCACACGGGTACAATGTTATTATTTAACATAAAATCTGTATTTGTCATTTCCCAATTATCTCAGTAGCATCTGGTTGTCCCTAAATACTGTTTGATCCAGAATCCAATCCAGGACTCAGATAATGCATTTTGTTGTCATGTTATCTTGCTTTAAGTTAAAAACTTTGTTGTTGTTGTTGAGAGAGGCAGTAAGGGACAGACAAGATAAGGCAGATAGGGAGCTCTAGTCCACTTGTTAGCACCTCACATACCTGCCACAAAGCCAAGAACCCAATCCAAGTCTCTCTATGGGGGGGTTCATGGTCATGAACTCACATACTTGAGCTGTCACTGCTGCTTCCCCGGGGACTCCAGGGTAGAATGCAAATATCCTAACCGCTAGGGTGAATGTCCACCCTGTGGTGTCATGTTTCTTTAGTGTCCTTTAATCTAGAACAGGTTTTCTTGCCTTTTTTGCTTTTATGACATTGACATTTGTTTGGGGGTGTCCAGGTCTTGCTACTGCTTAGGGTTTGATCAGAGTTGTAGGATGTAAGCTGAGCTGGATATCAGCACCTTGAAAGGTAAGGGTATTACACTAGCCGGTCATGTAAATTGTCAAGAACCTTTCGACATACTCCTCTTGAAAGTAAATGGAAGTGTTTGTGAGGTATTTCTGTCAACACTTCAGGGATACATTGACAGCAGTTTCAGGGAAGAGAAATAGCTCCCTCAAATGGCAGGCTGAGAACGAAGGCTGAGCAACAGCCAGATGAAACAGGTTGGTTCTCCTGGGCCTGGCAGTATTCACAGATTACATTTCTGAAGTTTTGTTCGTATTGTAGAAATGTTCCTATAATAAATTATGCTTAAAAAAGAGAAAGAAAAAGACCATCACTGCTGTCTGGTTCACCACAGTAGGAGAAGAAGGTGGCAAGGGATTCAGCTGGGACTGGGAGGTTGGAGGCCAGAGTTAGTAAGAATGACTTGCCTCTGAGCTAGAATATGCAGCCAAGTGCTGCATGAGGGATCGGAGGCAGCGTGACTCTCATCCTGCTTCGTTTGCAGCTGGATAAGCAGAACCGGGCCAAGATTACCGACCTAGGATTCTGCAAGCCAGAGGCCATGATGTCAGGCAGCATCGTGGGGACACCAATCCACATGGCCCCTGAGCTGTTCACAGGTGAGGTTGGAGGTGGGGAGTGGGTTTGGGTGCTGCTGCTTGAGCTAAGCAGCATCCACGACAGGCAGGTCTGGCCTGGGCCAGCAAGAAACCAGAACAGAGGCAGCCTGGGCACATGGGAAAAAGGGAAAAATGGGTGAGGGTCCCACGTGGGAGCCAGCATGTACTTGTGGGGTTCTTTGAGGGCAGTCAGCACCATCATTCCCATAATCAGCCAAGTATTCAACCAATTTAATTTTTAAAGATTTACTTATTTGAAAGGCAGAGTGACGGGGGAGAGACAGAGATAGGGAGCGATAAATAGGGAGGAAGAGGGAGATCTTTCATCTGTTCACTCATTCCCCAAATGGTTATAAGAGCCAGGTCTGAGCCATGTTGAAGCCATAAGCCAATAAATTCCTCCTGGTCTCCCACAGGCATTTCAGGGGCCCAAGCGCTTGGACTGTTCATTTGTTGCCCTCCCAAGAACATAGCAGGAAGCTGGATCAGAGGTTGAGCAGTGGGAATTGGCACCCCTGTGTGAGATGCCAGCATTATGAGCATAGGTTTAACGTGCTATACCACACCACTGGCTGCTGTAAAGCACTGAACTGAATAACTTATGTAGTAGGTGTCCTCTATAATTAAAGAATATAAAATTGATGTGGAGCTATATTAAGACAGATAAAATAATTCAAATGCAGCATAAAACAGTATGCAGGGGTGTCTCTCCCTCTCTCCTTCAAGAGGCACCCCACCTCCAGCTCTCTCTCGAAAGGTGCTTTCCCCTTCCCTCTTCTTTCCCCACTTACCTGGTCCTTTCACAAATAAACTTCTCTGTCTGCAACTGGCTTAAAACTAAACAAAATTGGGCCCGGCGGCGTGGCCTAGCGGCTAAAGTCCTCGCCTTGAACACACCGGGATCCCATATGGGCACCGGTTCTAATCCCACTGCTCCACTTCCCATCCAGCTCCCTGCTTGTGGCCTGGGAAAGCAGTCGAGGACGGCCCAAAGCTTTGGGACCCTGCACCTGTGTGGGATACCCGGAAAAGGTTCCTGGCTCCTGGCTTCAGATTGGCATAGCATTGGCCGTTGCGCTCACTTGGGGAGTGACTCATCGGACAGAAGATCTTCCTCTCTGTCTCTCCTCCTCTTTGTATATCTGACTTTCCAATAAAAATAAATCTTTAAAAAAAGAAAAAGTACCCGACTGTTGTAAAGGTGCCCTGCCTCCCAGACAGGGTTACAGGAGACAATGGATCACAGTGGTGATGCTGCTGTTCCCTTCCCCTCCCTGCTCACTGCCTTCCATCCCTTCTTGTTGTAGGGAAGTACGATAATTCTGTGGATGTCTACGCCTTTGGGATTCTTTTCTGGTATATCTGCTCAGGCTCTGTCAAGCTCCCAGAGGCGTTTGAGAGGTGTGCCAGCAAAGACCACCTGTGGAACAATGTACGGAAAGGTAAGAGCCAGCCACAAGCCCTGCTTTGTCCTGACCCCCAGTAAGGCCCTGGCACTGCAGCAGGGGCACTCACTCCATGTGCATGTCTAAGCCATCATGGAATCCATTGCAGTAATTTTGTTTATGGAACAGCAGACAGAGAGACAGTGCTTTATGTGTGTACTGCTCACCTACCTGCAACAGCTGTGGGGGCCATGCTAGCACCAGGAGCTGGGAACTCATTCCAGGTTTCCCATTTTGGGGGACAGGGGCCCAACCCCTGAGTCAACTGCTATCTCCCAGGGTGCTCAGTGGCATGAAACTGGATTCAGGGGCAGAGCTGGGACTCAAACTCTGGGTATGGGATAGAGGCCTCCCAAAATGGTATCCCCTTTTTTCTTTCTTTTTCTTCTTCTTTTTTTTTTTTTTTTTTGAAAGAATGACAAAGAAAGAAAGCAAACACAGTATTTCCTCAAATGTCAGTCACAGCTGGGCTAGGCCAAGCTGAAACCAAGCATCAGGAGGAACTCCATCCTGGTTTTCCACGAGGGTGGCAGGGGCCCAAGATGTACCAGCAAGAAGCTGGATCAGATGCAGAACAGCTGTGACTTGAACTGGCACTCTAATTCGGGACGCCAGTGTCCCAAGCTGTGTCTTAACCCTCTGCACCACAACACGGGCTCCCAAGTGATATTTTAACTGCTACAACCACTGTTCTGCCAAACACCTGCCTGGAAAAGACATTTAAATCAAATTGTTCCTTCAAGGTAAACGTTGAAGACATTGAACTAACTTAGAAAAGCTTTTTTTTTTCCCTCTAAAATTCTAAAATTTTCAACTTCCTATGCCCGGGAGTTCCAGGGCATGTTACTGTTGGATCTAACCTAGATGTTCATACCAGGAGCCAAAGCTCACTACACTGCTCAGCAGTGAAGTTCTAACCGCACAGTTGGGCCCTGGGCTGTCTGTGCCACCCTGGCTGGGCCCCCTCACTGACTCTGACCTTGTGTCCTTACTCCTCCCTCCAGGAGCCCGTCCAGAACGTCTCCCTATGTTTGATGAGGAGTGCTGGCAGTTGATGGAAGCCTGCTGGGACGGTGACCCCTCTAAGAGGCCGCTCCTGGGCATCGTCCAGCCCATGCTCCAGGGCATCATGGACCGACTCTGCAAGTCGAGTTGTGAGCAGCCAAACAGAGGACTAGATGATTCCACCTGAAAGCAAAGACCTTCCTTTTCATTATTTCCTTCCTTCCCCTCACCTTTAGGCCATGGGGAGAATTTGACATTAGTTTGTGAAGAGGAACTCCCAAGGAAATTGGCACTTGACTGGGCAGCCAGAGGCCTTCCCCAGCAGAGACAGTGAGGAGTTGGATGGCTGTTGGGGGCGTCGGCAGGTCCCCAGTGTCCCAAGTGATCCTGACATCAGAAGATTGTCTCAATGTGCAAAAGCTGAAGAATGGGACAGCTGGGCCTCCGGACCAAGAAGGAGGCAGAGGTTACCATTGCATACTCACCATGTCTGTTCAAGACCACGAGTGGAACTCTGCAGGGGCAAAAGTACTTAAAACTATCCTTGTCATGATTCCAGCTCAGCTAGGGCTAGTCAGATTCTGCCCAGTGGTCAGGAGTGCTAGATGGCTAGGCTGAGTCCAGCATTGTGGGGCCATGGGGCCCACCTTAGGGAGGCCTGGTTCCTGCTCTCGGGGGCCAGGGGTCCTGGCTGCAGTGGTCAGAGCAGGAAACACAGCTGTGTGCTCCTCCCAGTGCTGGTGTTTACATTTACAGGGCCTTCTGGGGGAGGGGTTCGCTATTAGATCACCTAGAGGCCACAAAAACACAAAGAAAAAAGAAAGTGTGTGCACATATATGTATAGAAATATAAGCTATGGGATTTGGAGTTACTGCTAACCTCAGAACAGAATCTGGTCTGTCAGCCGTTAGAACTCTCCCCACCCTGCACCTTGTGATCCCTGGATGGGAAAGCTTCAGGTAACATGGTACCTGGGAGTGAGCGAGCAGGTCTGGCACTTTGTACAGTGTATAGAGGAGACTCGAGAAGCAGTATGAGCTGCGGTACATGGCCTGCATACAAACCCACGGGAGGTGCACCAGCTGGCTTTGACAACTAATCGGAAACTTTTTTGTCTAACAAACTGACATTTTTAAACCATGTTCGATAGGCATTCTAACCAAGGTTCCTTCTGCAAGTTGTCCCTTCATACCTTCTTATAATGATAATCTGTGAGTGGAAGCAAGTTCAGTGGAGGAGTGCTTCTCTGCTGCCACCTGTCAGCATCGAGAAACCCTCCCTTCCAGGTGGGAGCTGGGGGTGTGACTAGAGAGAGTCTCCTGCAACTTGGGTGGGTGGGAAGACCTGGCTCCAGGCAGAAGCAGGGCACAGTCCTGGAAAACTGTGCCCTGGCCTTGGGGCCTGCTCCCCAGGTGTGTGCAGTGAGTGGCTCCCCTTGCTGCAGGGGTTCCCTAAGTGACTAGGACAGAATGGCCATCCATCCCTGACACACTAACAGTGTAAATGGAGCCTGTAAAGCAATTTTATATGACGTTTAAAGTTCAGTTTTAATTCTTTACTCTCTTGGGCTCTGATTATGACATGTCTTGCAGCCCCCATAGCAAGCCCATGGAGTGCTAACATTATTTTCTTTGCAAACAATGAAGTGACTGGCCAGGTGCCTTTGGGTTCTATAGCTCCTGTCTTAGAATTCTTATTACGGCTTTATCTTAGCTTCAAGTCACCCTGTTCTCTTCTGCATTAACTCCTTGCCCTCCTGGGGTCTGGGGTAGGTCTTCCAGGAATCCAGAAAGATGTCAGGTTAAGAAAGGAGAGGTGAGTAGTCTCTGCTTGCCAAAATCTCATTTTAGGTCTCTTTCATATGACATTTCACAAGAAGGCTTACATGGTTGGCTTTTCCCAGACTCTGCAACTCTCACTGCAATGAGGTATTTTTACTTCCCAGAGAGAGGACCACCTGAAGTCTTAGCTCACACCCCATCTATACTAGGAAGGATCCATCTTTTCCCACCCAGGTCCTTTTCCAGTCTCTGCCTTGCCTCCATGTGCTGGTAGAGGCTGGTTTTTCTGGCCCAGGCCCTGTAGTTTAGGCTCCATGGCAGGTGGGTCTGATGCTGAATGAACAGTTGTTTTACTATTACTGTTCATTTTCAAAAGTATTCTGAGAAAAGGTGCGAAGTATTCCATAGTCTCAAGGCCAGCCCAGGTCCACATACGGATTCCTGGGGGTGTTATTTAAGTACTCAGCAGGCTGAGTAGAAGCGCAGAAGTGTATGACATGTGTATACTTTACTTTTATTTTATAACATTGTCAGTTAATTAATGGACTCTTCATTCCTTAGCACCCATTGTTATCAAAATGATGGGATGCCATGAAATGTACTGTATAGAAGATGACTTAGGGAGGCACTAGTTATTCAGAAGTCTGGTAGCACTTGAGCAGAAGGCTCAGCATGGCCCATATCCTGAAGAGTTTACCTCCAGCTTTGGACACTGGTGCTCCTGCATGAGGCAGGAAGAAAGCAGCGCAGCATGAAAGAACACCCCTTGCTGTGTTCTGTTCTTCAAATTGACTTAAGGAAGTCAGTTTAGCCCCAGCCCAGGAACAATCACCTGGTGAACAGTCGTGACCTCGTGACCTTGAAGTCTGGCCACTCAGAACCTTAGCTTCAGAACAGAGAGAGGCCTGCTTGCAAACCAGCAATGGGAAGGCACCTGGATGGGGTGGGGCTTTGCAGTGCCCCCCCCCCCCTCCGTGCCCAGAAAGCCAGCGGTAGGGTCAGTCGTGGGGTTATGGACTGCTCGCTGGGAGGTCGGGGTTCCAAGGGCACACGCTGCCCTCCTTCTTCACTCTCTTCAGAGAGGGGCTCCCTAACTGGCAGGCCTTTCACTTCCGGGGAGAAGGACTACTCATTGTTCCCAGACCAAAGAGAGTCTCTTTTGACTGCGTCAGCTTTAAGGGGATGAAGCCAAGGCAGCAGGCAGCAGCTGCCTGTGACTTGGAACACTAAGGAAACAGGGAAGAAAGAACCCATTTCCACTGCACACTGAGTGGGAGGAGGAACTCGAAGCCAAAGAGGGCTTGGAAAACATTTTTTCCTGATGGGAAATGTAACTCAGGGTGGCAGGGCTGTGAAGCAACAACTGCACTGAATGACGCTTTAGCTTTCAGAATCTCATGTCCTCCTGTGAAGCCCAGCAGGACTGGTGATGACCATGATGACCACAGAGCTCTGGGGAGGGAGGGCCCCCACTGGCCAATCCAGAAATCTCCCGGGTCCCTCCAGCACCAGAGCAGGATTAGCCGCCCTGGAAGAGTCACTGCCCAAAGAATATTTGTTTTTGCATTTTCGAAGCTTGCTTTTTGGATTAGCTGGATCAAATAACCAACTTTTTTTTTAAGAGGGGGTTATCCTAAGTTTGGGAATGAGATAAGGTGGAACTAGTGCACTGTCAGCATGGATAAGCGCAGGATGGTTTTGAGACACTTGGTTTGCAAGCCCCTGGAGGCTTCCCCTAGCACTGCTGTTCTCCAGCAGGTTTTCTTTTGCACCCCACTGCCTTGTTAGCATCCAGTCCAGGGGAGTGGCCACTGTTACTGTGTGGAAACACAGCAACGGAGAGGCCATCTTGCCCCAAGTTGGACTGGACAGCTTACTGTCTTTTGTCTTCATGTAATGGTTTTTATTTGTTTTAAAGCACTAATGTTTATTACAGTGTTAAATAAAATTGTAACATACTAAATGTGTAGAATAAAAGTGCAATAACAGAAGAAAATTACCTGGCAGGAACTTGGGGCTTTTTACTTTTCCCCCTTCTTGAGCTACCTGGTTCTATTACAGCAGGACCACGTCAATCCTGAGAGACACAACTGTGGGTTAAATCTTTGGTTAATATAATTTTGGAACGACTGGGTTTAGTTTTATAGAATATTCTATCTACTTCCTAGGATGCATAAATACCAGATGTGCTGTATATAATAAAGATCACATTAACATCTTAGGTTTACTTCTGTTTGGTTTTGGGTCTCTTTTATGTCACCATCCATGAAACAGGACCCGCTCATCCTTCCCATTCTGAGACAGTGGTTTGATGTCTTTCAGTGACCTCAGGAGAAACTGACGAAACCTGTTGTCCCTCTGTTGGGAACCTTCTCTGGCCCTGACATCGCTCCTAGCCTTTGAGAGACACTGCTAGAAAAGCACAAGGGAAAGGAAGTCAAGATGACCTAGAAGAAGGGGCAAATCAGACTGGGAGAGCAGGCTTGTTTTCAGAGCTTGCGGGTAATGCCCTCTTCCCAGCTTCCTTTTGGCACGAACTTGCAGCATTCTGGGCTCCTACATGGGCCTACACCATGAAGGAATCTGGGGACGTAATCTACACCAATCCATCTGCTTTTAAACAATTTGGAATCTTCTATCTAGGCTCATCCCACCTGCTCAGACTGGCTTGCTCAGCAGTACCTATCTGGTGCCATCACAGGCCGCTAGGACTGCAGCACCATCTGTGGTGATGAGGGAAGGTCCGTGTGCAGCGTACCTCTTCTGCCACATGTGTGTTCGTTTTGCTCTGTTACTGGTTACCTGATCACGGGGAGCTTCCTGCACCTGCCACACCACGTTGGCCAGGAGGCAGCAGCACATCTTACCTGTGTTTGTGCGGCTTAAGGGAAAGCTCTATCTCAACTCGGTGATTCTCAACCTACTCCTATGTAGCAGTCGTTAGGTAAAAAAGGTGCTTGTCAACTGCTCTAACCCTAGGCACCTGTCAACAGTGAAAACAGGTCCCATCTTGTGTGTATATGCACTTAGTTTTCCTGATATTCACCTCTTCCCCACCACAATTTGAGAAAAATAGCCCAGGCTTAGACTTTTAGACTGAGCATGGTTTTTCAAAAACACACCCCTGCAAATTCTGGAACCTGGAGCTTTTTCTAGGTCTCCCACATGAATGCAGGGGCCCAAGGGTTTTATCCCCTACTGCTTCCCTAGGCCATAGCCAGGGACATGAACTGGTGCCCATATGGGATGATGTGACACAGGCAGAGGCTTAGCCCTCCTATATCATGGCACCAACCCCCACATTTTGAGATTTGATGGTTGCTTATAGCCCTTTTCTATACTCTGGAGAAACTTCCCACTGGTTGAATTCTTTATTCAGTGAGGAGTTAAGCCTGTGATTATGAAGTAAATTGAAAGTATGCCATTGTAAAAATTAGAAGAAAAAAGAGTGAATTTGAGGGAGGATATTAAGGAAAGTATCATTATGCTCTGAGAACTGTATTTATTAAAGACATGAAATTGGTTCCCTCTATGTAAATGAAAAAGCAACAGATTAATAGGGTGGGTATTGTGGCATCATTATCCCATATCTGACGATACAGTTCAAGTCCCATCTGCTTCACTTCTGATCCAGCTTCCTGCTAATGTGCCTTGGAAAGCAGAAGATGGCCACCCTTGTCAGAGACCTGGATGGAGTTCTGGACTCCTGGCTTCAGCCTGGCCCAGTTTTAGCTGTCATAGCCATTTGGGATTAGTGGATGAAAAATATCTCTATCTCTTCTTCACTAACTCAAATAAATACACCTTTCAAATAAATACACCTTTAAAAATATACAACTCAAAGTGTATGTGTATTTAAAAAAAGATTAATTGAAAGGCAGATTTACAGAGATCTTCCAAACCCCAGCAGGTGCCCTTATTCATTATAACGTCCCACATTTGAAAAAAAGCCATTTCAATATGATGCAGTCTGTTGGCCAGAAATCAATCCAGGTCTCCCAAATGGCTGCTAGGGACCTAACCAACCTGCTGCTGCCCAACACCTGCCCATGCCCCACCACCTGCAGCTTCCCAGCATCTGCATTGGGCAGAAAGCTAGAATCTGGAGCTGAGCCAGAAATTGAGCTCAGGCATTCTTAGTTGGAATGAGGGCATCTTAACTGCCAGGCTAAATGCCTGCCCAACAAAGTGTTCTTTTACAATTGCTTGATCATCAACTCTCTGCTCTTTTTAAGTAACAGACTTCTCTAACCTGTTTTGCTACCTTATAAGGTAAGTGATAGCATCCTTACTGGTTCCCCATCTGAAATGAATTACTTTCTATTCACCAAGAATCATAGATAGGTTTTAAATAGTTATTGAAGCTATGAAGCACACCTGATTTGAGAAATAATGATGGCTCCTAAACTGAATCACCATTGATTATTTCAGACATAACTTGAGGCCATTATGAATGGCTATAAGTTTCCTACAAGAAGTTTGCTTTTTATCTCTATGTGGTATGAAAAGCTAGAACAGTGTCTGGGTTTGGAAGTGCTTGTCTCAACTCCTCATTGATCTTCTGCAGGACAAATAAAGTGGAGACTTCCCATCATGCCTTCCGGCTGTATCAAATTCTGGAACGCAGGACAGAGCATCAGTTGTACTTTAACAAATTGTGCCCCCATCCCCCACCCCAGCTGTCTTTGCATTAGCTTGTCCTAAGTTCCCTCATTCTGTTATTTTTGACTTCCTATTGATGGCATTTTGTCTAAAGTCTCTTTTTTTTGCAGATACACAAAGGACTATTTATTTTATTTTTAATTAATATTGAACAGATTAGATACAAATCTATCTTAAACCAATCTTAAAAAATTTTTGTATCAATTAAATGGATTTATTTGGCAAATGCTTGACAAATACCACCCCTTCTGTATGCCCTTCCTTTTCTTTCTTTTCCTTTCCTATGCTCTTCCAACACACACAGGCTTTGAGCATCCTCCCTTGTATTCAGGTCAGTTGGGATTGTCTGCCTTCCACTGCTGCCAGCAGCAAGGGCCCATGTCCAAGAAGCCACAGCAGCAGAGCGGGCATTGGTGCAGCTGCTCTCGGGCCCCAGGAGGTGTAGAAAGTGGACTTGACTTATTTCTGAACCTCTGCTTCATTTCTCCACCTTCAGCCAACTACTGTGGCTTCTATTTATTAGGAGCCATGAGTCTTAATTCACACTTGCTCTCTTCAACACAACAGAGATGTGTCACATTGTGGGGGTTAATTGGTCTGTGCTGAAAATTTTGGGGAAGGGAATCTTGAGGCATACCCATAGTGTGGTTAACTATGGCCAGGACGCAGGGTACTCTGTGAGTGCCAGCTTGTGGTGGACACACCAAGGCCGACTGTAGTAGCTACTTAATTTTCTGGATCCTGTGAAACATGCAAAGACAAATCTCTCTACGTTTGAAAAATTTCAGCATTTTGAAACTATAGGCAATATGACAAGGCTTAACTTTCTCTAGTGTAGTTTTCCATTATTGGAGGTGTACATTCAAATGAGCATCTTTTTTCCCCTGCCAATCCTTCTTACTAGGGAATTCAAAGCTATTGCCTGCTTTCTTTCTGAGCTCTATTGAAGTCTGTGTCCTCACTGATATCATGCACACTCATGATCCAGAGTATGTTTTTGGGGTGGGCGGGGGGGGGCACTGTGGTGCAGTACATTATGTCACACCTTGGGGTGCTGCTGTCTCACATCCCAGTGCTGATTTGAGTCCCCCAGCTGCTCTGTTTCCAATCGAGCTTGCTACTAATGTACCTGGGAAAGCAGAGCCAGCTACTCATGTGGGAGAGTAGCATAGAGTTTCTTGCTCCTGACTTTGGCTTGGTTATTGAGGCCATTTGGAAAGTGAATCATTGAATGGAAGATCTCTCTATGTGTCTTTCTCTGTGTGTCACTTTGGCTTTAAAATAAATAATCTTTTACGCATATATTTTTTTACCTTTTATTTTGTTTTAGCCAATGATTATGGTGGCAACACCAACCTCCTCCTATGGTTCTTAACACTGTATATTAGAATCATCCCAGTCTATACAAAATTGTACCACAAAATTTAAAAATTCAAAATAAAAATATAACAATGACAACAACTAAAAGAATCATATGAAAGCTTTTAAGCATATCAGAGACCACAAATGTTCTAGGCAGAAGGGTTGGCATGATGGCTCAACTGGCTAATGCTTCACCTGCAAGTACCAGCATTCCATGTGGGTGCCAGATCATGTCTCGGCTGTTCCACTTCCATCCAGTTCCCTGCTTGTGACCTGGGAAAGTAGCGAAGGATGGTCCAAAGTTTTAAGACTCGGCATCCATGTGGGAAGACCAGAAGAGGCTGCTGGTTTTGGGTCAGCTTAGTTCCAGCCATTATGGCCACTGGGGAGTGAGCCAGTAGACAGAAGATCTCTTTGTCTCTCCTCTCTGTGAATCTGCCTTTCCAGTAAAAATAAGTCTTTAATAAAAAAGGATTTCCCACAGAGATTTTTTTTAATATTCATCTTTCTAATTGTAAAGTCCAATATACAGAGAGAAGAGACAGGAAAATCTTCCTTCTGATGACTCGCTCCCCAAGTGGCCACAATGGCTGGAGCTAAGCTGACCAAAGCCAGAAGTCCATAGCCTCTTTCAAGTCTCCCATGTGGGTGCAGGGTCCCAAGGCTTTGGGCCATCCTTGACTGCTTTCCTAGGCCACAAGCCTGGAGCCAGATGGGAAGCTGGGCTCTCGAGATTAGAAGGTGCCCATATGGGATCCCAGCACATGCAAGTTGAGGACTTTAGTTGCTAGGCTACTGTGCCTGGCTCCTACCGAGTTTAAAAAAAATGTTCTAGGCAAGTTCTGCAGTTAACTCAGACTATCCAGAGTTGGACGCAGGCACCTTTGCTTTTTGAAGTAGCCCAGATATGCTAAGGTGGAAGACTACTGGGTGAAGCTCCTACGACCCCACTCCTTGTAATCTAAGCATTGAGCCAGCTGCCGGAGCATATTGTGGCTGACTGGGAGGTGCTCCATTCAGATAATTCATAACATTTTACCTGGAGGAGGAGTCAGTATCCGCCAGCAGAATTCAGGGTTCAATGAGATGCAAGCTGAGCCTTGCTGGGAATCATGACCTTATTAATGCAGTCTGAGTGACAGCCACACGTGGCTTCAGGGCTGGAAAATAGCATTTCCTCCATTCAATACACAAATCTGGGTACTCTTCATTGGCAGTTAATTGTATTAATTAATTTTAACCCTTGTAAAGAAGTCTACCAATTACCTTGTTTTTCACTAAATCAAAGATACGATGAGTTATAAGGTACTCATATGTGTTGTCCTTCCATATTGCAGGGTTGATTTGAATATTTAACTGCTCTGCTTCTGATCTAGGTTCCTGCTAATGTGTCCAGAATCGGCAGATAGCCCAAGTACTTGGGCCCCTGCCAGCCATGTGGAAAGTTCTGGGCTTCTGGCTTTGGGCTGGGCCAGACTGGCTGTTGTGACCATTTAGGGAGTGAAGCAGCGGACAATCTCTCCTCTTAAATGATTAAAACAAAAAGAGAGAGCGAAAGAAAGAAAGGAAGGAAGGAAAAAGGAAGGAAAAAGGAAGGAAGGAAGGAAGGAAGGAAGGAAGGAAGGAAGGAAGGAAGGAAGGAAGGAAGGAAGGAAGAAAGAAAGAAAGAAAGAAAGAAAGAAAGAAAGAAAGAAAGAAAGAAAGAAAGAAAGAAAGAGAGGAAGAAAGAAAGAAAAATGAGCACATGTGGTTGGTATAGCAGCTAAGGTTTTGAAGGCCAAGAATTTGGCCTAGCACATAAAAGCAGCCACCTGTAACACCAGTATTCCAAACTCTTGTTCTGGCTGCTCCACTTGTGATCAAGCTCCCATAATGGCCTGGGAAAACAAGAGAAGAGAGTCCAAGTGTTTGAGTCCCTGACACACATGTGGGAGACCTGGAGGAAATTCCTGCCTTTGACTGCTATGACTATCTGGAAAGTAAACCAGTGGATGGGAAATCTTTCTCCCTAGTTCTGGCCTTTTCTGGAAAAAAATGAAAAATAAAAAATAAAAAGCCTTGTTTTAGGCTATCTACACCCGTGTTAGAGTGCTTGGTTTGAGCCCTGGCTAGTCTGTGCTTCTGCTGCAGCTCCCTGCTAACGTGCACCCTGGGAAGGCAGCAGGGAGCAGGTCCAACACTCATGTCAACTTTGTGAATCCCAGCTTGAGCTTGGGCCAGGCTTGGCTGTTTCTGCATTTGGGGAGGGAACTAGCAGATGGATAATCTCTCACGTTGTCTCTGCCTTTCAAATGAAATGAAAATAAATTTTAAAATTGTACAACAAAAAAGGATACATACTTAAACTGATGCAATACAGTAGCTCTTCAGCCTAGCTCTCTTTGAATTCCAGGCCTGTATGACCACCTGTATTTCTCACATGCCCCTTGAATCTGAGCATCACCCAAACCGGACTCCACCCATCCTGCCAGCTGTGCATCTCCTGCATTCTCTGTCCTGGCAAACGGGATCACCCAGACTGGAAGTGGGGATGTCATGTCAGACTCCTGCCCCTCCACTGCTTTCCAGACAGGTCTTGCTCATTCTGTTCTTAGGTCTGTCTCACACACTGTTCTTGCAATCATTGCCTTCCTTTCCCCCCTTCTCCTGTGGGTTTTTATTTGAAAGGCAGAATTCACACACACACAACCCTTCCATCTGCTGGTTCACTCCTTAGATGTCCACCTGAGTCACCAGGTGACTCATATGGAATGCTAGCATTGCAGGAAGCAGTTTAACGGGTTGCCCCACACTTGCCCCTCTAAAGAGATTTCATTTCAAGTCGCTCCACAGAATTACTGCAGTGGAGTCCTAGTTAGTTTCACCCTGTAATCAATCCTTACTCCACATGGCTCTGAAGCATTTTATTTCTCAAACACCGACCTGATCATATTATTCCTTGCTTAAAAATCCTGCAAGATTAATACTCCATCCTCAAGATAGGTTACCTCATGCAAGACAAAAACACATTTACACATGTTAAAAGTAAGTAACTCATCCTCCTTATCCTGTGGGCAGAGTTGAAGAGCAAGGCTGATAATACATGACTGCTAAAACGCACAGCAACGCTCTCATTAAAAAGCATTGTTGGGGCCCAGTGGCGTGACCTAGCTAGCGGCTAAAGTCCTCGCCTTGAACATGCCGGGATCCCAGATGGGCGCCGGTTCTAATCCCACTGCTCCACTTCCCATCCAGCTCCCTGCTTGTGGCCTGGGAAAGCAGTCAAGGATGGCCCAAAGCCTTAGGACCCTGCACCCATGTGGGAGATCTGGAGGAAGTTCCTGGTTCCTGGCTTCTGATCGGCGCAGCACCAGCCGTTGTGGTCACTTGGGGAATGAATCATGTCTCTGCTCTTCTCTGTATGTCTGACTTTGTAATAAAAATAAATACATCTTTTTTTTAAAGCGTAGTTGGCCATGAACTACCTAGGATGACATTTTACCAATGCTTCGGATATACGAAGGCATCCCCACAGGAGCCTTGCACATCCAGGCACTGGGATAACTCAGTAATCCTCACGATTGTCCTATAAGTACTATTATTATTACCATCACCCCCTATTTTACAATATGAGCACACCTAGGTGCCGCCCAGAGGTGGGGTGAGTTGGGGTGACCGGCCCGACGCTTATTTTCCGTGGAGCCTCTGCTTCTCCTCCTTCCTGGATGAAACCACACAGTCTACACCTGGAATCTGACCCCGTAATGTGTGTGCGCAGACTTCCCTCACAGTTGCTGTGCCGGAGCGCTGGGGCACCCAGGGATCCCGCACGCTCGGAGGTCCAGGGGCCCCGCACGCAGGAGGTCCAGGAACCCCGCACGCACAGAGGCTCGCCCCCTAGCAGCACACTCCCGTCTGAAGGACACAAGCTTTCCCGCTCTCCTACGCCAAGAGGACCCGTCCGGAACCTTCCCTGCCGACCCTAAGGCAGCCCGCCCGGACCACACAGCAGAACACACAATACAGCACCCAGTGGTAGGCTTACACACATGCCTGAAATTTCTCACTGAGCTACACGCTCCCACAGAAAATGGCTTCACATTGTCGCCCTTTTAAAAGCCCTGTTGACAAGAACACTTTTGTAACTTAACAAAACTCATATGGTGTCAATCCTGAGAGAGTTTGTGTTTCTTTCTAGTTAGGCACATCTCTGGGCAGCCCACTGGAAACGCAGAAGGAAGGAGGGAAGCCAGCGGAAGCCGCGGGTCCTCCCAAGTCTGAAAGTGTCGGGAGCTGGCGCCGGGCTCTTCTCGACGCGGGCAGGAGCGACAGGGGCGGCAGGCGTCGTTGGCCGAGCCGAGGCCGGGCGGCCCGAGTCCGCAGGGATGAACCTCGAGCTACTCGGTGAGGAGGGCCGTGGTGCCGGGTGCGGGGGTGGCGACTGCAGTCTCCCGGGACTCGGTGCCCGGGCGCTGCCGAGCGGAGCAGCAGCAGCTCGGGGAGCCCCGCTGCTGGCCAGGCGGCCTGCGTCGCCGCCCTGGGATCGGTGTGCAGCGACGGGGACGCCGGCTGGGGCCTCGGCTGCGGCTCCCAGGGCCGCCCCGAGCGAGTGCTTGGGGTCGGAGCTCCGCGGCTTCGAAGACGCGAGGCGGACATTGGGCACTTGTCCGGGTTTCCTTTTATGTGTTTATTTAGAAAGACGCGATGTCTAAGGAGGGGACTTGGAGGTTTTTCTGCAAGTGTTGCACTGAACCAGAGGAAAATGGACTCGGGCGGTCGTGAGCAGGCAGTAGGCGAGCCAAGGGCGCAGGGGCGTTGGGAGCCGGTTACACTGGCGTCCGGTGTGAGCGGCAGGGTCCGGCGTGTGAAACGGGGTGGGGAGGCTGCAGAGCTGGCTGCCTTTTGTCCCCCTTCCTTCGAGTCCCTTCTTCCCTGCCCCTTAACTCGGGTTGTTCCCGAGGTCTGATCTTAAGGGCTTTCATTAGGTGATGGGAGTTTTGGGAATCTTGAGGTTTTCCAGGAGTCCCACACCGTTAGCTGTGCCTAAGGGTGTGGTTCCTCGTGACAGATTCAGGGGAGGCGCCGACCGTCCAAAGGATGTCATAATTTCTGAGATTTTTTTTTCCTTTAAGGAACTTTCTGTTGGGAGAAGTCAGAGTAACTGTGGAAATTGGATAGTGCAGGGGTCATGGCTGTGGAGCCCCTTGTTCGGATGGGTGGAAAGGTGACTATGGACTGGGGCACGTGCAGAAAGGGAATTGCAGCACACTGGGGGAGTGGGTGACCTGAGTGGCATGCTGACAAGGGGGTGATGGTGTGGGAGGAGGTGATAACTGTTGTGTTAAGACATCGGTGAATGAGCACCTGCAGAATTTTCTTGTCAGCCCACTTGGTGAGTGTTGTTACTAAGGAAAACAGGTTGGGCTGGTGCCATTTGTTTGGTAGAGGTTCTTTAATGCCAAACTGAGAAGCTTGTATATTTCAGGAGAGGTGGGGGTAGATCCATTGCAGGATTTTGGTAAATCACTCAGTTGGGGTTAGGATTGTGTAAGGTTGTGGTTGAGGCTTGAAGTTGTTTGAATAGTGAAACCAATCTGGTTGTTGGTGGTGGATGAGACGAGGAGGAAGGCCAGACTAGGAACTGGGAAACAGCACCGAGGAGGCAGAGTTGGTAGAATTTAGTAACAGCAGGTTGTGGTGGTGGTGAGAACAGTAAATGGACGTGTGGTAAGGGATGAATATGACGCGATGACTCAAACCTAAGGACACTGAGCGTGGATCTGGACTTCAGGAGACAAGTGAGGGTGACTGAAGTTGACACTCCTGTAGGCGGGTCAGCAGAAACCTTGTGAGTCCAGGACGAAACCAGAGGAGAGGAAGGGCAGAAAAAGAAAATGGCCAAGATCTTGGATAATTGTCTGTAATTAAGGAGAGTGAGGAGGAATAAATGACACATTAGCTAACAGTGAGGTACAGGAAGGTACAGGTAGAGCTGAGCACGTTCTTAAGTGCCTGCCATGTACTTAGCCATGTAGATGGAGAAGTGAGTACAGACCAGTGTGGTGCCTTCCCATAGATGCTAATTGTGGAACAGAGAATGGGCTGCACTGTGAGTCTTTGGGCTGTAGGCCCCATCAGCCACTCAGGCAGAGGCCCAATACTGTTGGTTTTAGGAAGGTGTGCGCAAGGCAGTAGAGATCGAGAGGACCCATCCCTGTGAGGTCTGGATGGAGTAAAGGTGACAGGCTAGTCCTCTGAAAGAGGTAGCTGGCTCGTTATGGAGATGGAAGGTTCCTGAGAGTAAAGTATTTGTGATGGGATGGGGTGTGGCAGGACACAGACATGGCATTTCTCTACAAGAAGTCCTGACAGTGCCTCACTGATGGACATAGATGGAGGAGTCCGAATGGAAGTGCTGCTCAGGACCTGAACTGTCCTGGGTTTTGATGGTTTAGGGTGGTATTGGTTGGCGAGCAGAAAGTAACAGGACTAATAGGAGGGAGGATCCATGAGACAGAAGAGCTCGTGGCAGTCACGTCTTTAAGAAGAGCTCGTGTTGACAATCCAGTGAATAGACTTCATTCCCTGTTAGGAGACTGGGAGGAGGACTGAGAGGCCTGGAAGAGTGAAGGGATTCAAATAGGAAAAAAGAAGGAAGCAGAAGAAGCCCGTGGGATGCACTGAAAGCTGCCTCAGGTTCCAAGCAGGTGGATGCAGAGGAGGGGCACATCGCTAAAGGTGGTACCTGATAGGGGCACCTGCCGTTAAGCCGAGTGGTAGGAAACCTAATGAGGCTGAAAACCCAAAATGTAAAAGGGAGGCACACAGGGTTTCCTGAGGAGGATGTCTTCTACTTGGGCCCGACTGTAACACTGCAGGTGACTCCTTTGGCACTCAGGCAAGGAGGGCCTGTGGCTGGGGTGGGGGAGGAAGACACCTGGATCCCACGTCAGGATGTCTGGATTCAGTGCCGACTCTGGGTCCCAGGCAGGGGAGCAAGTGGGGATGGCTTTGGAGATTGGGTTCTTGCCACTTGTGGGAGACCCTGGCTAAGGTCTTCAGGGCCTTTGGAGTGAGCTGAGGGACCGGAGCTCACTAATGCACTTGTGCTCTCTGCATCTCAACTTTTTTTTTTAAAGATTTATTTTTAGTATTTTTTTATTGGAAAGGCGGATATACAGAGAGGAGGAGAGACAGAGAGGAAGATCTTCCGTCTGTTGGTTCACTCCCCAAGCAGCCACAACGGCTGGAACTGAGCCAATCCCAAGCCAGGAGCCAGGAGCTCTTCTGGGTCTCCCACATGGGTGCAGGGTCCCAAGGCTTTGAGCCGTCCTTGACTGCTTTCCCAGGCCACAAGCAGGGAACTGGATGGGAAGTGGAGCTGCTGGGATTAGAACTGGCACCCATATGGGATCCTGGCGTGTGCAAGGTAAGGACTTTAGCCACTATGCTATTGCGCCAGACTCCTCTGCATCTCAACTTAAGAATAACTGTAAAGATCCTCATCCAGAAGTTTGTCATGTGTTGCCCTTGGGCTCCATAAGCAAGAGGGAAAGTAGAACACTCAAGCTCTTTTTCATTAGCATCTCCAGCAAAGCGGAAACATGGAATCAAGTGGACAGGACAGGCTGTCACTGGGGAGCAATTGCATGTGGCTTGCTCACTTGTTGAAGTGTATTGCTAGGCCCTGACAGAGCTCATGCCTGCTCACACTGATGCAGGTTGTTGTTGACTGAAGAAGGCATGCAGAAAGGAAATGGGCAAATTTTGACTTTATGTTTTATCAAATCCTGAAGCAGTAGTTTTAGGTCAAGTTTGGATAAGATTCTATAGGTTTTTAGTGTGATTGCATTTAAGAGTCTTAAGGATACTTCAGAAAGTTCCTTCAGGGACCAATGTGCTGGCTCAATTGGCTAATCCTAAACCTACAAGCACTGTGTATTCCATATGGGTACCTGTTCGTATCCTGGTTGCTCCACTTCCCATCCCGTCATTGGACGGGAGATCTCCCATTCAGGGAGCTGGATGGGGAGCGGAGCAGCCAGGATTAGAACCAGTGCCCATATGGGATCCCGGCGCGTTCAAGGCGAGAACTTTAGCTGCTAGGCCACCACACCGGTCCCAAAAGTAAATAAATCTTAAAAGAAAAAGTTCATCCAAGAGGGAATTAAAACATTAGTTCATGTTGGTGCAAGGAGTTTTTGAAATCCATATGTAATTTTGTCGTAATACAGTTTCCGTGATCTTTTTCAAGTTCTCTCGTACAATTTTTGGGTCAGATTTTGCCAGTTTTTTGCTATCAGTGTGTGAATTTATTTAACTTTTTAGCAAAACTTTCACCTATGAAATGGCATATAACAGCTGCCACATAAGTTAATTGACAGTTGAATGAGATGAGTTCAGTGTGGGATCTGGCAGAAGTAAGCTGCAAATGGAAGTGTGGGCACCTTAGCGAAATGAGGCATCCGCCTGAGATTACTGCTGGTGCAGCTGTTGGTCTTTCATTAGATCGGGTGGGGAAGTCTGGCCTAGAGGCAGCGTAAGATCCACAATACCAATTGGCCTGTGCCTGATCTTAGGGATCCTGGGGGGACTCCAAATTCAGGAAATCCATAACAGTTATTTTTTTTTAATGATTTATCGCTAAGTCAGATATACAGAGAGGGAGTGACAGAGAGAAGTATCCTCCATCCGATGATTCTCTCCCCAAGTGACTGCAATGGCCTGTGCTGTGCCTATCCAAAGCAAGGAGCCAGGAACCTCCTCCAGGTCTCCCACACGGGTGCAAGTCCCAAGGCTCCAGGCTATCCTTGACTGCTTTCCCAGGTCACAGGCAGGGAACTGGGTGGGAAGCAGGGCTGCTGGGACTGGAACAGGCGCCCACATGGGATCCCAGCACCTCCAAGGCAAGGACTTTTAGCCGCTAGGCCATGCCGCTGGGCCCAACAGGCTCATTTTTAAGTTGATAACTTTGTGTGACCACAAATGCTATAAATGTTATTATCCAGAGCAGAGCCAGCATGGTGGCATAACAAGTGAAGATGCTGTCTGCAACGTTGGCATCCAAATGGGCATCAGTTCAAGTCCCAGCTGCTCTGCTTCTGCTGATATAGTTCCCTGCTGCAGGCCTGGAAAGCACCTGAAGGAAGGTGGTCCAAGTGCTTGGGCCCTGCCTCATATGGGAGACCCTGAAGACTCCTGGCTCCTAGCTTTGGTCTAGTACAGTCCCAGTTATTGCAGCCATTCGGGGAGTAAACCAGCAGATGTCTCTGTTACCCTGCCTTTCAAATAAAAAAGAATAAATCCTTAACAAATATCCAGATGACCTTTGGTAGGAAAAAAGGTTCCCTGTTTCAGCATTAGATGCTTTTCAAGTAAACAAACATTTATTTATTTATTTTTAACTTTTATTACAAAGTCAGACATACAGAGAAAAGGAGAGACAGAGAGCAAGATCTTCCATCCGATGAATCACTCCCCAAGTGACAGCAATGGCTGGTGCTGCACCGATCCGAAGCCAGGATTCAGGAACTTCTTCTAGGTCTCTCATGTGAGTGCAGGGTCTCCAGGCTTGGGGCCATTCTCCAGTGCTTTCCCAGGCTGTAAGCAAAAAGCTAGATTGGAAGTAGAGCAGTGGGGACATGAACTTGCTCCCATATAGGATGCTTGGTGTTTTAAGGGGAGGATTAACCAATTGAGCCGTTATGCCTGTTCTTTGTTGAAATATAACCTTTATATGTACATTATTTGCAGCTTGTTCTTCTCACTTAACATGATACTGTTTCTTATAGTGTGTGTTTTGTGTGGCAGTTAAGATGCTGCTTGGGATCCCTGCATCTCATTTCGGAGTCCCTGGGTGTGGGTTCTGGCTCGGGCTCCCGACCCCTACTTCTGGCTAATGCAGACCTGGGAGGATGCAGTGATGGTTCCTGTCACCCATGTGGGAGACTTGGATTGAGTTTCTGGTTCCCAGGTTTAACCTCAGCTGTTAAAGGAGTTTGGGAAGTCATCCAGTGGATGGCAGCTGTTTCTATCTACAGTACATACGTATGTATATTCTGGCCTTATGTTTTGAAAACCAAGACAATTTTGTTTACCTGGAATTTATTTTCTTACTTTTAATAAGTAAATTTTATTTGTTTGATTATGTGAAGGAAAGAATAAGAGGTAAGGAAGTCTCCCTTTTTTGGGTTACTCCCCACATGCCTGCAGCATCAGGGGTGGGCCAGGCCAAAGCCAGAAGCCAGGAGCTCTGGTTCTCCTGCATGGGCAGTAGGAACTCAGCTGCTTACCCCTTTAGCTCCTGGGACGCACGTTAGCCAGAAGGCAGCCAGGAGGCGAGTTGGGACTCAAGCCAGGTGCTCTGATAGGGGGTGCAGGCGTCTCAAGTGGGGTCTGGGCCTCTGGCCTAACAAACTCATCTGGGTAGAATTTTAGCGTTTTCTGTCCTTCTTATCTGAAACTCATACACTCCAGCCACCTTAGGTTTAATGTTTACCTTTTCTGGAATTTATTTACCGGCACTGTCGTAGTATTGTATTTATTTTCTTCATTGCAGGGCCAGTGTTTCTTTGTTAAGTTTTAATGTTTCACTTTTTAAAATTAAATCTTTTCTTTTTTAAGGATTTATTTTACTTGAAGAGTTACAGAGAGAGAGAGAGAGAGAATCTTCATTCACTGGTTCCTTCCTCCCCCAATATGGCAGCAGTACCCAGAGCCCGGCTGGTCCAAAGCTGGGAGCTAGGAACTTCTCGTAGATTTCCCACATGGCTGCAGGGGCCCAGGCTTTGGGCCATCCTCTGCTGCTTTCCCAGGGAGAAAGCAGGGAGTTGGATTAACAGGGAGTTGGATTGGGGTGAGAGCAGCTAGGACTTGAACTGCACCCATATGAGAGTGCTGGCTGCTTCAGGCTGAGAGTTAGTGTGCTATACCACTATGCTAGCCCATGGTTTGTTTGTTTTGTTTTGTTTTTGTAAATTATTAATTTTTATAAAGGGCAAAGCCAGTAAAGCTGCTTGTCAAACTTCTTTAGAAACAAATCATCTGGGCCTGGCATGATGGCTCAGCTGAGTGATTCTTCACCTGCAAGCACCAACATCCCATATAGGTGCCAGTTTGAGTCCTAGTTACTCCACTTATGATCCAGCTCTGGGCCTGGGAAGGCAACAGAGGATGACTCAAGGCCTTGGGCCCCTACACCCATGTGGGACACCTAGAAGAAGCTCTAGACTCCTGGCTTCAGACAGATGGTTCTGCTGCTAAAATGAAACTTCTTACAGAAAATGTTATTTGCCTAAGAAATAAGTATAGGGAATTGCATATATAACCAGCTGACAGATTATACAACAGCCTAGAGGCTATTATAGCAGTCGCCCTTCATACCCTGGAGCTGGGTTCCTAAACCCTCCGTCCAATGTGTAATAGCCAAGGCTGGTCCAGGCCAAAACAAGAAACCTGAAGCTCAGTCGGGTTTCCTTTGTGGGAAAGGACTTGAGTTGTCCCTGCTGCCTCCCAGGTGCACGTTAGCAGGAAGATGGATCAGAAACAGAGTAGCAGGAACCTGAACCAGATACTCAAGTAGGGGCAGCTTGACTGTTGTTCAGGTGCCTGCCCCTAAAGCTAATTTTAAAATAATCCTAATACATTCATTCTGTGTTTATATACAATTATTTTGATTTTGAAAGCAAAAAAGTACTTTGGAAGAGTGACATTTTTCCATGTTTCTACAGATCTCTTTAATGTTTGTTGGGTTCTCAGATCTGCCCCTGCCTCTCCGCTGCCACAGTGGCACAAGTCACATTGCCTTGGCAGTGCACTCAGGAGATCATGGAGTGAAAGGAGAGGAAGTGTATTGATGTGGCTGATGAAGATGATGTGACCCCTGGCTTTACTGGCCCCGCAGGGTGCTGTTGCTGAGCTGTCTGACCCCGCCCCCCATGTGTTGCATATTTCCCATCAATTGTTTTTCTTTGCTTTCTTGCAGAGTCCTTTGGGCAGAACTACCCAGAGGTAAGAGTATAATTCTGTCATGATTTTGGGAATAGGGTTACTACCCAGTTTTTGTGTTTGAACAAAATTGCTTTTTTGTTCTTGTCTTTTGATAACCCTTAAAGTAATAAATCTGCTCTGAGAAGGAACTAAGTGTTTAATTTTGACCATAAGGCAGAATATGCAGTGTTGGCTGGGAATCGCTGGCTGTTGTAAGTGGGTAGAGGCCATTCGCCTTTACATACAAGACTTTCAAGGTAGCACCTCCTGTTATGTGGATTGCTTTTGCCTCTACTTTATCTAGTTTCAATCAGTGTTTTTCCATAGCAGTAATATGTATAATTGTACCTCACTTTTAAAATATATTTTATAATAATTGAATGTGTTATTGTATCTAAATGGGTTCATGTTGATGCAAAATAATTTTATTTCCTTAATACTGTGCATATAGATTCCTCCAGGGTTTTTGTTTTAAAGTGTTGTCCCGGAGCTTTGTTTGCTGGATTAATAGCTGTGACTGTTAGTGACTGTAAAAGCTGGCCTGTTTGCCCTCTAGAAAATCTGTGCAAGGTTGCAGTAGTGAGAGATAATAAGAACATCTATTTCCAAAAACCGTTTTTGATTTTTTACTTAAAAGTTATTTATTTGAATAAATAATAAAACTTACTTATTTGAAAGTCACACACACACAAATCTCGCATCCACTGGTTCACTCCCTAATTGCCTGCAACAGCCAGGGTTGGGCCAAACTGAAGCCAGGAGCTCTATCCCAGTTTCTCACAAAGGATGGAAGGAACCCAAATACTTGCCTCATCATCATTTGCTTCCCAGGGCACATTAGCTAGCAACTGGATTGAAAGTGGAGGATCCAGGACTCAGCCAGGCAGTCAGTATGGGATGTAGGTATCTCATGTGGTCGCTTAACACACTCTACTACAACATTGTCCTTTGTTTCCACAATTCTTGGTTGCCCTTTGTAGATATTTCTCTCTCATTTGTTAAATAACTTCCAGTCCATTTCTGATCCAGCTTCACTCATGATCTAGCTTCCTACTTTTGGCCTGGGAAATCAGTGGAGGATGGTCCAAAGCCTTGGGCCCTGAACCCATGTGGGAGACTGGAAGAAACTCTTAGCTCCCAACACTGGATCAGCCCAGCCCTGGCTGTTGGCAATCATTTGAGGAGATGGAACGTCTCTGTCTCCCTCCTTTTCTCTGTATCTGTTTCAAGTAAAATCTGAAAAACAAAACACAGAGTTTTTTTTTGGTTTTGTTTTGAAAGGCAGAGTAATGGGGGACAAAGGAGATGTGCTATTCCACTCTTCAAATGAATGCAGTGGTGGCTGAGGCTGGACTGATCCAGAGCCAGGAGTTTCATCTGCATTCCCCACATGGTTACAGAGGCCCAGCTCCACTCCTGTTTTCGTTAGCCCACTAGCAGCGAGCTGGATCATAAATGGAGCAGCCAGGAGTTGAACTAGTACCCATATGAGATGTCAGTACCACAGGCAGCAGCTTTGCCCACCATGCCACCCTACCAGCCCCTATAAATTTTTCTTCATTCTGGTTCATTTAGTAGGTATATGAAGACACATAGATTTTGGTATGCATTAGTGTTGTGATTCGAGTGAAGTGTTTGACATGTGGTAAGAAGATCTTAGATAATTTGGATGCTTTGTTTTTACTGTCTTTATTCTTGTCTTTGTTTTCATTTTTAGGAAGCTGATGGAACTTTGGATTGTATCAGCATGGCCCTCACTTGTACCTTTAACAGATGGGGCACACTGCTTGCGGTTGGTTGTAATGATGGCCGAATTGTCATTTGGGATTTCTTGACAAGAGGCATTGCAAAAATAATTAGTGCACACATCCATCCAGTCTGTTCTCTATGGTAAGGAAGTTCTCAATCAGTATGTTAAATATAGGTTAAATTGGGGGAAGTAAATTGTGACTATATATTCCCCTGGTTCAATATAGATAACTTAAATTCAGAATTTTAAATACTTAGTTCTTGGTAATACAATTTCTTGTAGGTTATGTAGATCCTAACTAAACCCGTGGGGTCATTAAAGCACCTTTCCAGGAAGTTCATGAGTATGATTGTCTTGTGTTGCAGTTCTGGATTGAGCTATTTAAAAGTGGCATCTGTTACAGTAATAGTGTTATGGTAATAGTGATGCACTGGTTGCCTAGTCCAGCCTTGTCCAGATTCTTCAATTCCAGCAGTTCTATGTTCACAAACATGCCAAGTCTTTCAGTAATTAGGGCTTTCTATCAAATGTATTGAGCGAATGTCTATTTTTATATTTATTCCTATTGATTTTACTCCTCTCTGAAGCTTCTCTGTCCACATCAGAAGTTTTTATTTTGGGATAGCATTTATTTTTTAAATGAACTTGGCACCAAAAGAAGGCACCTAATCAAGTCTAGATTAATAAAATCATGGCTGTTTCCCTGGTTTGAATGGCAGTTACAGTGATAGTATGGAGCACGGAATCGGGAGGAGGCCTGGCCCCTGCCTGGGCTGGGACACTGATGGTCTCGCAGAATGGGAGCACTGGCTCCTTTCCAGGTCCTTTGTGTTTCTTGTGTTCTTGCAATAAAGACTGAAATTAGTACACGTGTTTTTAAGAGCAGTTCACCTGCTAAAGTATAGAATTCAGTGGTTTATGTATATGTTCAGTCATGCAACTATCAGTCCTACCCATTGAAAATACACATGTATGTTTGATTATACAGTAACATCAATCATTGTTTTAGATAATTATGAAAAATAACAAAGAACTGGTTTTCCATAGTTCTACCACCTGGAGAGTGATAGTTTTCTGCGAGTTTGTGATTGTGCTGTATACATGAGCCTCAAGAGCCAACTGATTTTAGATTTTTTTTCTAGGATTTTGAATCTTTTATTGCGCCACTTTAAGTGATATCTTGAAATATTAAGAATTACTATTTTTTTTAAAGTTGCCACTACTAGATGTGAAAATGTCATAAAATTAAGAATTCTTATTTAGTTGAAAGCTTATTGTGGATTTGAGTAAGCATTAGAAGAATGGCCCTGGGTCTAGGGCAATGTATGTGACTCACACATACTCAAAAGCCGAACCAGGAAAATGGGATTCTATCAAACTTGGAAGGTCCTACACAGCACAGAGATAACCAGAAATGTGAAGAGACAGGCAGTGGAATTGGGGAAAGTATCTGTGAGCTCTTCTGACCAAGATTCATATCCAGACTGTGTAGGGAACTCAAAAGAGTAAAACCCAATCCAGTACTTGAGTAGGTAGTTCTCAAAAGAAGAAATGCAAATGGCTAACAGATACATGAAAACTGCTCAATACCATGAGACATTAGGAAGGTGCAAATCATAACCCCAACAAGCTGTCACCTCAGAGTTATTAGAATGGTTATTATGAAAAGGACTGAAAATAACCAATGCTGGTGAAGTTGTGAAGGAAGGAGGACTTTCACACACTGTTGGTGGAAATTTAAATTATTGCAGCCACTATGGGTAACAGTATGGTGTTATGTTAAAGAACTGTTAGTAGAGATGTCATATCATCCAGCAGTCCCACTGCTGCTTATACATCCAAAAGACATAAAATCCCAAGAGATCACTGCTCTGCAGCACTGTTCACAACAGCCCAAGAATGGAATGGACTCAAGTGAGATGTTTATCATTAGGTGGCTGGATAAAGAAGATGTGGTATATATACATAGTGGGGTACCCTTCAGCCGTAGCACAGAATGAAATCCTGCCACTTGTGCAGAATGGTTCGGCCTGGAAGATCCAGTGAAATAAGCCAGTCACAAAATAGTTTTCCTTCATATGTGGGAGCTAGTAAAAGTCACAGCTCCGTCTCAACATGGAAGTGATAACTATAGGCTGTAGGGGTTATGAAGATAGAGTTGATTTGGATAACAGGTACCAAGTTTGAGTTGGATCAAAGGAATCATGACCTAAAGGTGACTAGTTCATAATAACCTATTAGGTACGTTATAAGGAAGTGGAGGAAGGCAGCCCTGGGTCATGATGAGGGCATTATAGAAAGCTTGATCAGTACATGTTGTATGCATGTGTTAAGATGTCGTACTGTGGCCTCCATATAGCTACAGGTTTTAATAAGAAAATAATTTCTTGGAAGAATAATGTAATACCACCAAGTTAAAGTGATTTATTTTAACTTAGTTTATGTTCTGAGTTACCCTTTTTATCTCCTAGTTGGAGCCGAGATGGTCATAAACTCGTGAGTGCTTCCACTGATAATATAGTGTCACAGTGGGATGTTCTTTCAGGAGACTGCGACCAGAGGTTTCGATTCCCTTCGCCCATCTTGAAAGTCCAGTATCATCCACGAGATCAGTAGGTTTAATCTAAGTCATTCCTTTTCTGGGTTGGGCTGTAGCTGAAGGAATTTGCGCTAGGCTTCTGACAGTTTCCATATAAGTTGTTTTTATAAAAGATGTATATGTATGTTTATTTATTTGAAAAGCAGAATAACCAATAGGTTTTCTTTCATTGGACCCCCCCTAATCCTCATAATAACCAGGGCCAGGCCAAATCAAAGCCAGGAACTGGAACTCACCTCTGGGTCACCCAAGTGGGTGACAGGATCCAGGCATTTGGTTCAGCACTTGCTACTTCCCCCTTCAACCCCCTGTCTTGGGTTGAAAACAGAATAGCTGAGTTTGAGAATGACACTTCAGAATGGGATGTGGCAGCCTAACTGGCAGCTTACCTGCTTCGTCACATCCTCCTTCCCCCATTTAAGTTCTTTGAAGAAAAATGGGAACATCTATTCAGACCTTCAGTAGGTTGGTTCTACTGAATTCCTTTGGAGAGCATTGTGTTACTAAAAACTGATGGTATTGAGGCTTTGGAAGTTGGCAAGGGTGGGAACAAGTGTGATAGCTGGGACTTTCCACCCCAGATTATTGGAATGTTTGTTAGCAGAATTTCCCCTTTATTGAAACTCAAAAGCTCAGTATTAAAAACATTATTTAAGAGGAAATTATTCACCACACATTGTCTTAACTAAGTATTTTAATTTCTCTGGGTTCTCTTTGTGTCAAGTTTTCTTTAGGTATAAAGCTTTTGTAATGTCTCATGGCTCAATACATATGAGATCACACAAATAAACATGTTTTATATCATTGGAGTCAATATTTTGCTTTTTTACTACTTATGTTTTACTAGTTGGTTGCATCTTCATATATATTTTTAATGATTATTACGTTTATTTTGGTAAGGTAGGGCCCCAGTAATTTTACTGAGTTTTTTCTTGCTCCTAGACAGATATTACTGTTTTTCTTACTTAAATTTACTTTAGCTGAGAAAGCTGATGAGAGTAGTGGACAGGACAGGGAATCAGCCTGCCAATATCAACGCAACAGCCAATATACTGTTCATATTTTTAAACAGGAACAAGGTTCTCGTGTGCCCCATGAAATCTGCTCCTGTCATGTTGACCCTTTCAGATTCCACACACGTTGTTCTGCCAGTAGATGATGACTCCGATTTGAATGTGGTGGCATCCTTCGATAGGCGAGGGGAATATATCTACACAGGAAATGCAAAAGGCAAGGTGAGCCTGCATCCCTGGCGGGTGGCCAAATAAGAATCTTCTTGTAATTTAAAGGTTTATTTATTTGAAAGGGAGAGTTGCAGCCCCAGAGACAGACAGATCTTCCCTGTGCTAATTCACTGCTCAGATGACTGGACTGGCCAGGCTGAAGCCCAGGAGTGTGGAAATCCACTTGATTTTTCTACATGGGTGGCAGGGCCCCTCTGCTGCCTTCCCGGGCACTTTAGTAGGAAACTGGATCAGATGTGGGGACATAAAGTGAGGTGCTTGTGGGATGCCAGTGTTGCAGGCTGTGGCTTAACTGACTATACCACAGTACCAGTCCCAAGCTCAGATATCTCGTGCATTTTTGTGTTTCCTTGTTCTCCACTTGGAATTTCTTTACACCTGAACTAAGTGTGGCTCTTCTAGTAAGTGTAACCTTTCTCTTCCCTTGATAATTCCTGCTATGTGGATTTAGAGTAGTCAAAGACTATTACTAAATTGCAAAATTACTTTAAAGTTAGGTTTAAATTATGTTATCTGGAACCCTGCCGATAAAAATGTCTTGCTACCTATTTTTATAAAGTGTCGTATAATTAGCCAAACTTATGCTATACTACTGAGGCCTAAGCTCTTCTTTCATTTTTACCTTTTAGAATATTGGGAAGGTGTAGGTTCTTTTGTTCGGGATGCATTGTAGAAGTGCTTTTGCAGAACAAGAAGTCTGTTTTTAAGTTCTTTTCCATGTTTAGAGTTTATGGTTCCGTTATATACCATGATGATTAGGCTGCTTTAGAAAGTGGCGTTAAAGAAATCCTGGTGGGATGTGTATAATGCAGATGTGACCATTGTCCCCATGTTCATTTGTATGGCGCTGAGAAATAGACTCATACTATGCCACCGGAACCACTCTATCTCCAGGACGCTTTTTGTCTTGTCACTGCAACTCTGAACTCATGAACCAGGAATTCCTCATTCCCTGGTCTTCTCTAACACCTGGAACCACCGTTTTACTTCATGTATCTGAGAATTTATTTACTCTCCATATCTCATATTTCTAAATATTTGTCCTTGTGCTATTTTGTTTAGCATGCAGTCTTGGGGGTTCACCCATGTTGTAGCATAGGTCAGAATTTCCCTCTTTTTCAGGGCTCAGGTTGTGTATTCACTACATTTGTTGGTCCGTTCATCCGTTAATAAATGCTTGGATTGCTTCTGGTTTTGGCTGTTAAGCATTAGATTTTAAGAATAGTTCACAACCTGTCCATTTTCCTAAGAGGTGAAAGGAAATATCATTTAATGGTGTTGACAGTTTGTATGAGATTAGACGTTTATAGTTTTATCCCGTTTCTGCTCACTTCACAGAAGCCAAATCTAATTACTGTGAGTTTTCAGAATATTAACTTTTGTTTTTCTCCTTTGAACTTAGATTTTGGTCCTAAAAACAGATTCTCAGGATCTTGTTGCTTCCTTCAGAGTAACAACTGGAACAAGCAATACTACAGCCATAAAGTCAATTGAGTTTGCCCGGAAGGGGAGGTGAGTGGGACCTTGTCCTCATGGACAGTTTTAAAAGTGAGTGGAATGCAGAAATTCATTAAGATTTGCAGTTTGCTTGTATAATTTTTTCCCTTTAAAGATATTAGAAAATCTGTAGTGTTGGTTCATGAATTCACGAAATCTTCTGCATTGAATCAGAGGTCACATCTTTCTTACCTGGAGGTTATCAGGCCCGCCCTATCTATCTGTCTGTCTGTCTGTCTTTCTCTCTTTTATTTTTTTTTTTATTGGAATGTCAGATATACAGAGAAGAGGAGAGATAGCAGAGAGGAAGATCTTTGGTCTGATGGTTCACTCCTCAAGTGACCGCAATGGCTGGTGATGCACCAATCCAAAGCCAGGAGCTTCTTCCGGGTCTCCCACGCGGGTGCAGGGTCCCAAGGCTTTGGGCTGTCCTCAACTGCTTTCCTAGTCCACAAGCAGGGAGCTGATGGGAAGCAGGGCCGCTGGGATTAGAACTGGCGCCCATATGGGATCCCAGCGCATTCAAGGTGAGGACTTTAGTTGCTATGCTATTACGCTAGGCCCTCTTTCTTTTCTTTTTTAGAATTTATTTATTTACTGAAAGGTAGAATCATAGAGGAAAGACAGACACACATACACGCCGCATCACCGTCATCATCATCCATCTTCATTTCATTCCCCAAATGGCCACAAAGGCCGAGACTTCATCCAAGTCTCCCAAATGTATTTAGGGACCCAAATACTTGGTGATTTTTTTTTGCTGTTTTCCTAGGCAGGTTAACAGAGAGAACTGGATTGAAAATGGAGATGCCAGGCCCAGTGCAGTAGCCTAGTGGCTAAGGTCCTTGCCTTGCCTGGAAGAGGCTCCTGGCTCCTGGCTTCGGATTGGCTCAGATCTGACCATTGCAGTCATTTGGAAGTGAGCCAGAAGATGGATGCTCTTTCTCTGTCTCTCCTTCTCTCTACATTTGACTCCAATAAAAATAAAATCTTAAAAGAACGAAAGAAAATGGAGCGCCAAGAATTGAATCAGCTCTCTGACATGGGATGCTGCCTATTTCAAGTGGCAGCCTGTGTGCCACAACACCAGCCCTTACCATTTCTGTATGGAAAAGGTGTTCAAGTGTCAGTGTATAGAAGCAGAATACCTGGCGTGTAGTAAGCTCTGAGGAAGAAAGATGAGCTACTGTGATCAGAATTGATGTCAGGTTTATATTATAACTCAACAGGGAGTCACACAAGGCTTTCTGACCCTTTTAATTTATGATGTTGCTTATGATAATTATGGTTTCCCAATTAAAAGTAGATACAAGAACAGAAATGAAAAGAAAGCTATTCATTGTATTTTGTTAGGAACGCTCATACATCCTTTGCTGCGTTCCGGTCTAAACATTGTCTTGAATTGAGAACATGTTAGTTGGTGAAGTCTGCAAGAAAGCGTTGAGGGCGGACATTGTGGCACCACAGGTTAAGCCACTACTTGGAGTGCCCACATCTTAGGTTGAAGTGCCTACGACTACTTCCTGCATCCTTTTACTTCCTACTGAGGCACATTCTGGGAGGTTCAGTTATTTAGAGCTCTGCTTCTCAGGTGGAAGATCCAGATGGAGTTGCTGGCTCCTGACAGCCTAGGCCAGCCCTGCCGGTGCACGCATTTGAGGCGTGAACTACCAAACCTCTGATCTTTCTCTTCTCTCTCTGCCTTTCTCTACGATTGTGCTTTTCAAGTAAATAAATAAACATCCAAAAATAAAGGTGTCTAAAGTGAATTGTTTTTTAGACAGATTTCTAAGCTTTCCAGTAAAAAAAATAGGACATTTGGAAGTGACATAGTTTACTAACTCGATTAAGAATATTTTGGGTGTCATCCTTGTAATGTAGCTGGTAAAGCCACAACTTGTGATGTTGGCATCCCATATTGGCATTGATTTGAGTGTCAGCTGCTCTACTTACTGTCCAGCTTTCTGCTAATAGCTTGGACAGAGCAGGGGAAAATGACCCAAGTTTGAGTTCCTGCCACCCACATGGGAGACCAGAGGAAGCTCTGGATTCTCTGGCTTTGGCCTGGTCCAGCACTGGCTGCACTGGTCCTGGTATTTGGGGAGTGGTATTTGGGATGGGGGATCTCTCTGTTCCTCTCCATCTCTGACTTTTAAAATCAATAAATGTTAAAACAAAAAAAGTAGTATAATGAGTTAAGTTGCCACCTGAAATGCCAGTATTCCATGTGGGCTCTGGTTTGAGTCCTGCCTGCTCCACTTTATTTTCAACTCCCTGCTGATGCATTTAGGAAAGTAGTGGAAGAAGATCCAAGTGTTTGGGGCTCTGCATCTACATGAGAGACCTAGGTGTACCTCCTGGCTCCTGACTTGGCCAGCCCTGGCCGTGTGGCCATTTTGAGAGTGAACCCGTGGATGGAAGATTTCTGTATTGGTAACTCTTGACTTTCAAATAAATAAATCTCGAAAAAAGAATACATTGTATATAGAACATATTTTAGAAATGAAGCTATTTACGGGCCCAGCGTGGTAGCCTAGGGGCTAAAGTCCTCACGTTGAATGCTCTAGGATCCCATATAGGTGCTGGTTCTAATCCTGGCAGCCCTGCTTCTCATCTACCTCCCTGCCTGTGGCTTGGAAAAGCAGTTGAGAATGGCCCAAAGCCTTGGGACTCTGCACCCATGTCAGAGACCCGAAGAGGCTCCTGGCTTCTAGCTTCAGATCAGCTCAGCTCTGGCCATTGCTGTGGCATAGGGGTGAATCAACAGATAGAAGGTGTTCCTCTCTGCATCTCCTTCTCTGTATATCTGACTTTGCAATCCAACAAGAAAAGTATTTCCATGCATATAACTAGAGCTTTTGTAGTCAACATGCTAATTTTAGAGGTCATACATTTCACTTAGAATACTAACAGTTTGTGCTTGTTGTGTTCAAGGACATAAAGGAAGTATAATAAAACATTCTCACTTCAAATTTTATTTTGATTTGGAAGGTGGCAGATAAATGAACAAATATTCTGGCCTGTAGGTTTGTACTCAGTTTTTTCCCAGTTCTTAGTCTTTGTGGTGCTTTCTTAATGATAAGAAATGTGAAACATTTCTAATCTCTGGTGCTGTTTTTTCTGTAGTTGCTTCTTGATTAACACAGCAGATAGAATAATCAGAGTTTATGATGGCAGAGAAATCTTAACCTGTGGAAGAGATGGGGAACCTGAACCCATGCAGAAATTGCAGGACTTGGTGAACAGGTATGTGTCACACCTGGAAGAGTAGATGACAGTGCAGGGATGGGGCTTGGGTGCCTGTTCTCCATGCTCTATTTTTTGACCTCTAGGACCCCGTGGAAGAAGTGTTGCTTCTCTGGTGACGGGGAGTACATAGTGGCAGGCTCTGCCCGGCAGCATGCTCTGTACATCTGGGAGAAGAGCATTGGCAACCTGGTGAAAATTCTCCACGGGACGAGAGGAGAGCTGCTCCTGGACGTGGCCGTGAGTCCAGGGCTGTGCATTGTTACTCACTTGAGCTCAAGGCTGTGAGTCTGTGCTGATGACCTGTTTTTTTCTTTTCTTCCTTGCATTTAGTGGCATCCTGTGCGACCCATCATAGCATCCATTTCTAGTGGAGTCGTCTCTATTTGGGCACAAAATCAAGTTGTGAGTATTTTTCTTTGGTTAATTTGTTTTGAAACTAGGTACCCCTTTTTGTTAAAGAATTTTACATATATTAAACTAAAAATTACCTTATTTTGCATTCTTGCAGCCTTGTTAACCAGTTTCCATGCATCTAGTTTCCCTTTAATGGTAAGGTCTTGGTTTCAAGCTGTGCTTTTAGTAAGAATATCTAGTGTATTTTCTTTTGTTGTTTTTTTTTTTTTTTTTTTTAATTACATTGCATTATGTGACACAGTTGTAGGTACTGGGATTCCCCCCACCCCTCCCTAGTGTATTTTCTATTACTTATTTGAGATATATTTTTCTTCTGCTTTTCTTACTTTCAGCTCAATTTTTGTTTTACATCTTGGTTTTACTTATAACTTTTTTCTTTAAAGATTTATTCATTTTACTTGAAAATCAGAGAGAGAGAAAATCTACCATTTGCTGCTTCACTCTCAAATGACTGCAATAGCCAGAGCTGGGCTGGTTTGAAGCTGGGAGCCAGAAGCTTCCTCTGGGTTTCCCATGTAGGTGCAGGGACCAAAAATCTTGAGCAGTGCTTCCCTGCTTTCTCAGGCCATTGGCAAGTAGCTGGATCAGAAGTGGAGCAGGTGGGATATGAACTGATGCCCAGTGCCATTGTCAGAGGCTTAGCTTGCCATGCCACCATTTTTTAAAAAAAATATTTATTTTATTTTATTTATTGGAAAAGCAGCTTTACAGAAAGATCTTTTGTCTGCTGATTCACTCCCCAAGTGGCCGCAATGACTGGAGCTGAACTTATCTGAAACCAGGAGCCAGAAGCTTCTTTCATATCTCCCATGCAAATGCAGAGTACCAAGGCTTTGGGCATCCTCTGCTACTTTCCCAGGCCACAGGCAGGGAGCTGGATGGGAAGTGGAACAGCCTGGATATGAATCAACAGCAGTATAGAATCTTGGCTCATGCAGGGGAAGGATTTAGCCATTAGGCTATCGTGGCCAGGCCTCCAACTTTTTTTGTTGCTGTAAAGATTTGTTTATTTGAAAACCAGAGTTAGAGGGAGAGTCTTAGGGAAAGATCTTTTTCATAAGGAGAGACAGAGATCTTTCATCTGCTGAGTTACTCCCCAAATGACCATGATGACGGGCTGGACCAAGCTGAAGTCAGGAACTTTTTCCGCGTCTCCCACATGGGTGTAGGGCTGAACGGGTCATTCTCCACTACTTTCCTAGGCACACTAGAAGAGAGTTGAGTCTCAAATAGAGCAGCTAGGATTTGAACTGGTGCCTATATGCCAGCGTTGCAGGTGGTAGTTTATGGTGCTAGGCCACAACATTGGCCCATTTCCACTTTATTTGTTTGTATATTTGTTTTCTCCATTACAACGTTAAACCCACATTTGTAATCAGCATGCTGATAGAAAATTACTTGAGTTACATCTTAAGAAGATGGGAGAAGGTAGTTACCTGTGAAAAATTAGGTAGGTAATAATAGGAATGTTTAAAATAAAATAGAAAATGCCCTAAGACAAGACAACCTTCCTAGCTGTAGGCAACTGCCTAGGTTGCCTTGTACCTATACAAGTGTTACACTGCTGGGAGAAAAGCAGCCATTAGCTGGTTGGCATTCTAGACCTGGTTAATGCCAAATTCCTGTTTGTGCCAGCATAATTGCTTCACCAAAAAAAGAGAAAGACAACCTGTAGATATTTAAGTTCTGTTCTCTACCAGATTTAGTTGTGAAATTCTGAATGTTTCATTGTTAATGTCTGTTATAGGTTATTGCTTCCTTATATGATTAAGTAGTGTATATTGTTTGTGGAATAGGAAAATTGGAGTGCCTTCGCACCAGATTTCAAAGAGTTGGATGAAAATGTAGAGTATGAAGAAAGGGAATCAGAGTTTGACATTGAAGATGAAGACAAGAGTGAGCCTGAACAGACAGGTATGTTGGTCATTGCACCGAATGTTTCCTCAAGGAGAAATGATGGCTTCACTTAGCAAGCTTGATGTGAGTTGTAAATTTGTTTCAGCACCTTATCTAAAATGTCACTCTTTTCTCTGGGCTTACACGGTTTCCCCAGTGTGTAGAGAGTTTTAATTTGTAAAGGCATTATCTAAGAGCTTATGTGGGCATTAGCAGGGCTCCAGCAGCTCTCTTGACATTGCACTTTATACTTCCTGACTAATTGCAGACGGTTAAGTGGGGATTTACGTGGAGCATCTGGCAGGGCGGCCGCACGCGCCGAGTGCTCAGCGTGTCATGTGTTCTGTCATTCTGTGAGAAGGGCAAGGGTGTGGGCACTGTAGCCGGACTGCCTCGCACAAAATAGTTATTTCTAATATGTGAACCTGCACTTCCTCATGAGCTGGGAAATTATATGACCTGCATTTTAGGGCGATAGGGAGTGGATGAGCTAGTTCACGTAAAACACTTAGAGGATCCCTAGACGATAATAAATACTCAGTATTTTCTATTACAATTATGACTGTGATCATTGTCTTCCTAGCTAAAATCCTCTAGCACACAAAGTTGACTGTCTCCCATTGTCTAACTCAAGGTGTTCTACACAGTAGGGGTTCGTGTGTGTGGCTATCAGCCCAGTCGCCCTGTCAGGTTGTTTGTCAGTGATTCAGGGGCCACTTGTTGGTGTCAGGAATGGAGGGCGGGACTGCAGTGAGTTCCTTCCAGCCTGATAGTGCTGGCCTCACCTGCTGTAGATAACCCACAGACCTTGTGTGTTTTAGGAAGGACTCCAGGGGTGCAGGGGTTCTGAATTGCCTTGGCACTGGTGGATTCCGTTCTGGGAAGTCATCTCAGACTCTCACAGCGATTGTTCTTTCTGAGCACTCTCACATAGCTAGCACTTAGGAATTCAATTGAGACCACCAGTCTGTAGCTGACGGCCTGGGTAGAGCTGTTTCCAACACTCTCAGTCCTTGCTCTCTTACCAGCCCAGCATGTGGTGGAAATTCTGCACTGTTTGTTAAATAATTGAAGTGAATAGTTTTTCTTCCTTTGCTTCTCCTGGATTTCAGTTCATGAAAATCGTTTGCTGCCAGTCAGAGGCAATTTTCTACTCTTTGTCAATCCTTTCCTGGGCTTCTGTCCTGTAGGTGCTGATGCTGCAGAAGATGAGGAAGTAGATGTCACCAGTGTGGACCCCATAGCTGCCTTCTGCAGCAGGTGAGCTAGCGGGGGGCGCTTGGCTGCCCCTTCCTAGTCTGCATCGTCCAGTTCCCCGTGTATCACCTCAGTCCCATCTCATTGTGAGTCAGAAGACAGAATGCCTGTGGTGTAGGAAAAATATGTTTTAATCATCTCCTCTTCTGTAGCACAGACAGCCAATTCTCAGAAACCAAAATAATTCATTTGTTTATTTTTGTGATTGAGTTTGTTAATCATGGTGTTTGGTTTCCTTTTATTCAACTTGACTATCTTAAAGTCCTTGATCATATCAGCTGCTTATGCTTAATATAGGTGCTAGAGGAAGGGCTCACGGTTTAAGCAACTGTCTCCTCTTTTTTCCAATCCCTTGTCTGATCCTGTTCCAAATAGTGATGAAGAGCTGGAAGATTCAAAGGCTCTGTTATATTTACCCATTGCCCCTGAGGTAGAAGATCCAGAGGAAAATCCCTATGGCCCCCCACCGGATGCAGTCCAAACCTCCTTGATGGATGAAGGGGCTAGTTCAGAGAAGAAGAGGCAGTCCTCAGCTGATGGATCCCAGCCGCCCAAGAAGAAACCCAAAACAACCAACATCGAACTTCAAGGAGTCCCAAATGATGGTAAGAGCTGCCTCTTCTCCCTGCTGCCCACCACCTTTTCCTCTTCCTGTTAACTGGTAATTTTATACTCAAGAGATTTTACCTTGAAGTTTTCCCATGGGTCTTTACTGTCCTGCTTACAGCTTTGTCATGGTTGTATGTTCTGTCCTGCTAAAGTGGGACATTCCTGCCCCTCTGCATCCTTACCAGGCAACCCACTTCAAGTCCCCTCATCTTTTTCACTTGTTCCCATAAAGTGATTTTTTTTTTAAGATAATGAAGTACTACTCAGACACAGGTAGTCCCTTCCTTCTCTCCTTTTGCTGGCTGCCTCTGGAAACCTCTGTTGTCAGATATCAGGATGGATAAACATGGGTGTGTCGGGGGGCGGTTACTCTTGGGCATCCTCTCTCTCTCGCTCTCTCTTTCTTTCTCTCTTTTTAAGCTACTACAGATTACATACCCTTATGTTGTCCATCGTATCTGCCCTGTTCTATTCACAGTTTTGTAACTTTCACCTCCTGGCACTTTGTTGCCCCTGCTTTACAAAAGGAGAGAATTGAGGCTAGGAGTATGTATGAAATGTTTCATGACTTATTCAGAGTCTTAACATAAAGTGGTAGGGTCAAGATTCTTCTCCCAGTTGTCTGTTAAGTTCCAAAACTATCCCTTTTCTGCTTGGGGAGGGGGGTGTGTATGGGGAGGGTGTTCCTGTTCCTACTCAGTTTGATAAAGTGCAGCTACTTCTTCAACTTATAGTTACTGTGAACCACACAGGCCATATGTGCCTTTTGGCTGGCCACTTGTCCAGTTTTATAAATAACAGGGTAAGCCTTAACCCTTGTATTAGCGCCTGGGGGACACAGAGGCACCACATTGGGTCACACAGTTCTGGCCGGGGTGATGGGAACGGTGCCGTGGCTCCCTTCCCATGCCTGTTTGTCCTTCTGCAGAAGTCCATCCACTACTGGGTGTGAAGGGGGATGGCAAATCCAAGAAGAAGCAAGCAGGCCGGCCTAAAGGATCAAAAGGTAAAGAGAAAGATTCTCCATTTAAACCGAAACTCTACAAAGGGGACAGAGGGTTACCTCTGGAAGGATCAGCGAAGGGTCAAGTGCAGGTGGAGCTCAGCCAGCCCTTGACAGGTAAGGACACATTGGGAGCGCTGCCCAGCTTGCTTTGTGGCCTTGCTTTGTACAGCCCTGACTCCATCTAACTGCAGCATTGTCTTTTCTTCCTTCTCTCCTTTCCCCCGGTTATAAAAATCTGCATTTTAAGTTGCTACTAGGGGCAAACTAAACCGAATTTGCTTAATTCAGCAGCTGTAAAACTCGGGGATGGAGGGTATCTGTTGTTCTATGACTGCAAAACAGTCTGTAGATTTTTCTGATGAAAATATCCATAGCTTTCATCATATTAAAGGAATCCATGATCCAAAAATGGGTAAGAACCCATGGTTCAGTTCAGTGCTTGATCTGTATTTGCTCTAGGTTGGTGATGTCCAATGAAGTACCAGACATAGAAGCTTGTTTTAAGTCGCCCTTGACATCTTACTTATAAGATTCTCTGTCTCTCTCTCTCTCCAAGTGCGCAGTGAATGAATCTCTCTCAGAAGTCTAGAAGCAGTGAGAAAGTGTTTGGCGGTGTCCTGTTAAGGAAGATGAGGTTTTGGGGTGTTCTTCCTCCAGTAGCTAAAAATAGGAGATCATCAAAAAGACAGAGTCTGTAGTATCTGTGTGGTTTACTGCTTAAGCCTTTGGAAACTTAGTTTATAAATGGTTAGGAATTTTTACTGAGAGGTGCAGAGCAATCCTGTCAGATACTTGTGAACCTGGGATAAGTGGTGTAATGTTTGGAAAATATCAGATTAGAATCCTTTTGTGTTTGAATAGTGTTGTTTTGGAAGTTTAAATAAACCTAGTTTTATTGGAAAGGTAGATCGGATTTATGGAGAGAAAGAGAAAGATGTTGATCTTCTTGGTTCACTCCCTAAATGGCCGAAGCGACTGTTGCTGAACCATTCGGAGCCAGGAGCTTCTTCAGGGCTTCCCACACAGGTGCAGGGTCCAGAGGCCATCCTCTACTGCTTTTTCAGTGAGGAGCACGGCCACAGTGCTGCTTCTGAGCTTTGCTGCAGAAGCGTCCAAGCGTGAGTCACTATTGTGGTGGAGAGTTAATCTGATGAAACAGCTTTCTAGTCTCTAATCTCTCATAAGACTGTATATCAGTGTTACTTTTTAAAGATATATTTATTTTTTTGGAAAGTCAGATATAAAGCGAGAAGGAGAGACAGAGAAGGTCTTCCGTCTGCTGATTCACTCCCCAAATGGCCACAATAGCCAGAGCTGAGCCAATCCAAAGCCAGGACCCTCTTCCAGGTCTTCCACATAGGCAGTTAGAGAGAGAGGGAGAGATACAGATCTTCCTTCTGCTTGTTCTGCTTCCTTCTTCCACTCGCTTAATGGCCACAGTGGCCAGAACTGAGACAGGCTGAAGCTAGGAGCTTCATCCAGGTCTTCTTTCAGGTGCAGGGGCCCAAGGATTTTGGACCATCTTCTATTGCTTTCCCAGGTGCATTAGCAGGGATCTGGATCAGAAGTGAAACAGCCAGGATTCAGACCAGTATGGAAAGCTGACATTACAAGCAGTGGTTTAACTTGTTTGCACTACAACTCTGAGCCTCTTTTTATTTTCTTAGTAATAGAAGAAAGTAAAATTTTGATCTGTATGTAGGATATGCAATTTAGTATTTGTGCAATTGATCTTTTTAACCTGCTAGTCTGGTAGGAGTAGCCGCCATTTCCAAGGACCTGTTAGCAGATGATTCCACTTGTGTTGCGAACAAGGATAAGTAAGGGAATGACCCACTGAAAGTTCAGCCTTGCATCTGGGAAGTAACAGGGTGCTTCACACTAAAGTTCTAGTTTCTGGTTATTCTTGTTAGGCACTTAAGTTGGTCAGCCTCCAGTAGAGGCAACTATGTTGGCTGTTTCAGCGTTCTACCTTAACGTCTTAGGGGACCTTCTCAGGAACAGGGTGATGAGGCAATTATGACAGTGCATAAACAAAGCAGTGCCCAGGGTAGCAGGATGTTTTTCTTACCTTAGCTGTGATTGCATGTATCCCATACCTGTGTGATCTCAACATCCTTCTCTTCTCTCTGGCCTTGGATTCTGGCCTCTTCTTGAGTGGAAATGAGCACATTAAGCTCCAGCGTACTGAGAGCAAGTCCGGAGCTGGGCCTGCTTGCGATGTGTGCTCAGGAGGACTGTAGGCAGTGCTGCTGACACACTTTGGTAGAGCTTGGAGCTTGGTGGCAACAGCAACAGTTAGGGAGAGTGGCAAAACTGGATGTCCCGGGAAGCCCAGGAACCCTGCCATCCAGCCTCTGGTACATTCCTCTTGGCGTTCCATGGGGAGAGCCGTGCTTTATCACAAGCCTCTGTCATGCTCTGGCAGGCCTCAACATCTTTGTCTCCCTTATTTTTGCATTTATGTCTGATTTCATGTCTAATCTGAGGAGGAGGGATGTCTCAAATAATCAGTGTAAGGCATCTCATTAGTCATCTCGAGTGCCCATGATTGATGCTGTTAGCTTATAATCAAACCATACTCTGCCATCATGAGTTAGACCTAACATGGCAAACTTGTATTGTTTTTTACACTTGATCTTTGCCAAAAAGCCGAGAAGCGATTGTATTATTTTTTAATCGCTTAATACTAACATTGTCATAGTAACTGTGGAAACAGTGAGACTGGCCTGAAGGTGACAGAGGTATAATGTTGAGCCTTTGTGTGTGTGTTTTTGCATGTCATGATTTATTTATTTATTTATTTGTTCATGGTTTTTTAGTTCTTGTTAAGGCAGAAACAGATCTTCCATCTGTTTGTTTGCTTCTCAAAAATGGTTGCAACAGCTAGGGCTAGACCAGGCTGAGTTCAGGAGCTTAGAATTCCATTTGGATCACCCATGTGGGTTACAAGAAGCTGGAATCAGAAGCAGGGTTGAGCCCTGAACTCAGGCACTTGTGTATGAGATATGTGCATCCCTGGGAGCATCTTGGCCACTGTGCCAAGTGTCCACCCAAAGATTTTTTTATCATCTCAAGAGGTTCATTTTTATGATTTGTGTTGAGAGGTCTGAAAAAAGTATTATTTTCCTGAACTATAAAAAATTATTTTCCTGAGCTATAAAAAATGCTTAAATATGATTATTATTTTCCTGAACTATAAAAAATGCTTAAATATGGGTTTTTTTTAACCCTGTAGAGACTTTGCATCTGTTAATCTTTTTCTCAGGCAAATGTAAGGATACTTTTTGCTGCTGATTTTAATTTTGTACTGAACTTTAAAACCCAGATGCAAAGAAAAATTTTATAACTGGGTGCTTTCACTTCATAACTTGGGCCATTATTTTCTAACCATTTCACCTGCACACAGCAGATCCTATCCTATCCAGCGGCATCTGGGAGGGATTTCTTCACTTTGTTTTCTTTTTACACTTCCTAGTTAATTTTCACAGCGGTCCATTTAAGGATGCCCCTCTGAGATTGAACAGGGAAGTGTCTGTCTGCTTGATTGTACTCTCTAGGGTTGTGTTTGTCAGCGAGCTGTGGTACATGGAAATACAGACAGTATTATCATGACCATTTTCTCCTATAAATTCAGGGTGAGAAGATTGTCCCCTGAGGACCAGGTGCACTTGTGAAAGGGTTTTAATTATTTGATAAATAATGAGACTACAGTATGAAAAGTTTAATACCCTAGAATTTCCTTTACTACACTGAATTGTGAAATGTTATACGGCAACACCTTAGACAATAACTAGCAGCTTAGAAAATGTCTACCTCTGATCATTCATTTCCCTGCTGCCTTGGGATGTGGGCTGGGATTTGGATGATCTGTTAATTCAACAAAGAGTACTTGGAGTTGGTGTGGTCGCACCTTTTCTTAAATGGGGGAAGTTGTCAACCCTGTGTGTGTGCAACGCACCAGCCAGCATCCAGCAGTGTTTCTGTCTGTGCGTGGCTGACTGATGCTAACTGCTGCTTTTTGTGTCTGACTTCTTTAGCAGGAGGAGCGATCTCAGAATTGTTATGAAGACCCTGAAGTTCTTCGTGCTTTCCCCTTGCCATCATGTGGCCTCTGGACAGTGTGGTCAGTCATTTGAGATTGACTTTAATTTAAAACAAAGGCCTCTGCCTCCCACCCTGGAGGTGGAAGGGAGTGAATTTACGTTTGAATGAAGAAGTGAATTATGAAAGAAGAATATACATCCTCTACCTTCCCTTTCAAGCGTAAGTCCAAATAGGCTCTCAGGAATGAGGATTGTGAAGATACCGCATAGAGGTATTTTTGACCTAAATCTCAAGGCTTAGTTGCAGTACTGGGGAAACGACATATTTGCTCATCTGACTATTTTTCCAGCATCCTTTTGACCATTTTTCTATCTCCTGTTTTGCTTTCTGTCCTCAATGCATGTCCCCAGGTGATTTGTCCTTATCTGAAGTTTTGCAACCTGTATCCTAGGAAAACTTGGGCTACGGATTCTCCTTCATTTTTAAAATTACCATCTCTTCAGGTACCTCCTGTGTTTCCATTACTGGTACAAATGATGGACAGAAAAGAAAAAATGCCTGAAAGATTGAAATTTTCAGAAAGGGAGAAAAAAGGAGACAGCCACTGCTCCTGCCACACCCCATTCTGCTCCAGACAATGGGTAATAAGAGATTCAGGGTTCCTTATTCATTGCATGTTTTCTTCCCGTATTGGTTCATTCTCATTAATCATGGTGTTTTGAAGATTCTCCAGTGAAGAATCATCAGTAGTTGATCTTTTTCTGTGCTGGTTTCCAAAGATGGAAACACACCACTGTATTTCTCAGCAAAGTTTTTTACTGGGGTTGGGGGGGAGTGGGCTGGGGGGAGACCCTATGCAAGGACTAAGTAAAACCATCAAAATCAAAGCAGCAGTAGCAGAGTTTAAATCAAAGACCAAGGTCCAGTTTTTTACCACTACCGGTGGAAATCTGTCCTCACCCATCATCATCCCTTCCCTTGCTGTGTCTGTGCTCCTTTTTCTCATTGTACTTTCAGTCACTTCCTTTCTGTGAAAGGTTGCTTAGCTCCCTCCCCAACCCTTCTGCCGTTCTTTATATGAAAAGTAGAAGATTGGATGGATGTGTATATTAGGGTAGGAGTTTGGAATTTTCTGAGAATCCCAGTCAGGAAGCCAGGTCTAGAAAGGACTCAGTAGCCTTGCCAAAGGGGGCTTTCAGCTGAGCAGTAAGTGCATTTGCTGGAGTGAAGGAGACTTTCAATCCTATGTTAATCATGAAACCTCTGTCCATTGGGGGAGGCTCCTATAGGTAGCCAAACATGTTGATTGCCGTGTAGATGTTAGGATAAAAATGAAAGTAGAACCCATCAGTATGAGCCACTTTTGTTCCATTCTGTGTCGTAGAGCCGGTATATGCAGTAATTGAAGAAAGTTCTCCTGAGTCAGTTGCAAAATGCCAGTGCTTCCAGATGCCACTACTTTCTGCTTCTTTCTGCTTGACTGCCCATTTTGTGAACTTCCTGATTAGTCCGCTGCTTGGAGTTGGTAGTGGCTCACTAGGCATAGTCCTGTTTTGCAAACTAACTCCTATCCATTCCAGTTGCCCCATCCCGTGCACTGCAGGTGTGTGCAAACTGCCTTATTTTCCTGTGGGAAGCAGCTTGGCTTCCTCTGCCTGTGGGTTTAGATGTTAAGCTTTTCCACTCCCTAACTGGCTTTTGAGAAAATCAACTTCGCAATGGCCTCTGGCAGCAGGTCCTAATCATTATTTATGTTTTTGGAAGATGTTTTTAGTTCTTAAGAACTTCTGTCTATTCCAGTTGGGATTTCTTGATTTGTACAATATCTGTATATTTTCCTTTGCCCTTCTGTCACATCCCCACTCCCCGCTCAATACCATTTTGGTTTTTTTTAATGTTCTGTAGTTTTGTACAAGATGAAACATAGCCTTGGGTACTTCTTGCTGAAGCTTTAATGCTTTGTAAATAAAATTGGATGTTTATTAAACAACAAGTGTAAATGTTTGTTTGTAAACACTGATAACCAGCCACTTTGCTTTTGTACAACAGAAAATGCAGATTATTGTGGTGTTAAGACATTTCTGTGTAGAAATCCACAGCTGAAAGGAGTGAGGAGGGAGTCCTGCATTCCTGCATCTAGACAGGATTGTAAACAAACAAGGATTTTTGCAAAAGTTGTTGCTAACCAAAGAGATCATGTAGGATTAGTCTCAGTTAAGATGACTTAACCCGGTTCTGGTGCAGTAAACTAGTGGCTAAAGTCCTTGCCTTGCATGCAACAGGATCCCATATGGGTGCCGGTTCTAATCCTGATGGCCCCGCTTGCCATCCAGCTCCCTGCTTGTGGCCTGGGAAAGCAATTGAGGACAGCCCAAGGTCTTGGGACCCTGCACCTGTGTGGGAGACCCGGAAGAAGCTCCTGGCTCCTGGCTTTGGATTGGCTCAGCACCAACCGTTGCAGCTACTTGGGGAATAAATCAGTGGATGGTAGATCTCTTAGTCTCTCCATTCTACATATGTGACATTCCAATAAAAATAAGTCTTTAAAAAGAATTTTGTTTTTTTTTTTAATTAGCCTAGAGTGGAATTTTAATGTTTTCTCTGAAAGAGCCGTAGCTCTAGACACTGATGGTGACCAATGCGTGCCAAGAGATTCCTGCCTTTCAGAGTTTTCTTAGTCCAAGTACTCTTAAATTCCTATTAGCTTTTCTTCTTCTGCATTAAGCAGCATTAAAATCCACTGAGTGCACTTCATTTCCAAATGAATAGGGTATTTGAGAATCCGAATCTGATCTTCATCACTGCAAGAATGTCTACCTGTGTTAATCTGCATGATGGGAACCTACCTGTGACATCATACCTGTGTCATAGCAACCTCTGTCTGAGCCAGCAGTCAGCCTTGTGCATCGTCCAACACAGAAAATGCTGTTGGTCCCCACGGGAAAGAAGAGTACCCGAGGTGGGAATGTTTGCCTTAATCATGGCCTATCTTTTTTTTTTATTTTAACTTGGAGTTTTATTTAAAATCTTCACAAGGTTCATGCTTCACATAGTATTTTCACACCCAGCATTTCTGTACAAAGTACAGAGGTCTTAATTTACAGAGGAGGAAATAGAAATTCTGAAGGGTAAGTCCAAAGGCAAAGAACTGAATCTTATCTTTTTTTTAAGATATTTATTTTTCTTTTTTTATTCCCTACATAGGATCCCAACAGTTGCAAGGCAAGGATTTAACCACTAGGGTATCGCACTAGGCCCCTTTTCTTTCTAGAGATTGGTTTATTTGACAGAGAAAGATTCATCTTCCATTCTTTGGTTCACTCCTCAGATGACTGCCATGGCCAAATCCAGGAGTCAGGAACTTTGGGCCTCTGATGTAGGGTGTCTCTACATATGCATTAACAGGGAGCTAGATTGGAAACAATTGGAACTTGAACTGAACTCTTATATAGAAAGCAGGTAGTGGTATACTGCACTGCAGTGCTAGCGCCCTTAATCCTTGTTCTGAAAGGTTTAAGAGCAAAGTAAATAATTCAACTTGCTGAACTTGAACTTAGTTCAAATTGTATTTTCTCTTGTTTAGACCTTAATGTGTTTTTTTCCTGAGGTCAGATGTAATGTGGGAGGGTTTGGAGCCTTTTTTTCTGCTAAGAGCCAAATGGCATTAGCATATTTAGTACATCATTTGGGGGCCATACAGAGTGATCAACTTCAAAATCAGCCCCTGCTATATACCTTTATAAAATTTCAAGTCCAGTCTGCAGTTTCCTTGGCAGGGCCAGACCAGATAATTTTGCAGGCCTTTTCGATTCCTACTCCTGGTCTAGGATCTCACATTTGGAGAGGGCTGGATGCAGATGAGAAGTGTGAAACTTAACTGCATTTGAAGCGGTTTGAAAATTCACTGTTTCTGAAGTCTTTTATCTTTGTCTCCATAAGATTTACATTAGTTAAAAAGATATGAAAAGAATGAAGACAAGTCATGTGGTCACTAACAACTGTAAGAGAGCACAACATTCTGAGCTTTTCTCTACCTATAGTTTTACCTGTCCTTAAGGACTCGACTTTGTTTTATGGATGGTACCTACATCTTGCATGAGATTATGATACGCTAAAGGATTCCACTGGGACACCTGGAGGGTCTGCCTGAGGTTAATGAAACCTACTAAGACATGAAGAACTTGGCCACTAGTTTCCCCCTTGGCAGCCTGGTGATGGTTTCCTGCCTGCCTTTGGTAGTAACATCTCCCAACACACTGGCTATCCCCAAAAGGCTGCGAGAAGCTGTGGGGAAAGTGATCATCAATGCCACCGCCTGTACTGTCACCTGTGGCCTCGGCTACAAGGAGGAGACCGTCTGTGAGGTGGGCCCTGATGGAGTGAGAAGGAATTGTACATCTCAGCGCCTGGAGTGTTTGACCAACTGGATCTGTGGAATGCTCCACTTCACTGTTCTCACTGGGGAGCAGTTTGAGCTCAGCTGCCTGAGTCCAGAGATCCTGGAAGTCGGGCAGGAAGCTTTTCGGTTCACCTGGAGACTTGCGCGGGGCATCATCTCCACTAACGATGAGGTCTTCAGGCCCTTTCGAGCCCACTCCTACTTTGTGAAGTTTCTGCCTGCTCAGGAGTATGACTCCGGGACCTACCGCTGTGACGTGCAGCTGTTGAAAAACTTGAAGTTTGTCAAGAGGCTGTATTTTGGGCTGAGGGTTCTTCCTCCTAACTTGGTGAACCTGAATTTCTATCAGTCCCTTACTGATGATCAAAAGTTAGTAGGTGAGGGCCTGGAAGTCAATCTGACAAACCATTCTATGCCTCATCACCCATCGTGGAAAAAGAAGGTGGCATCGGCCGTGGGAATAGGAATCACCAGTGGAGTGGTGGGTGGGGTGCTGGTGAGCGCAGCGCTCTGCAGAGCTTGGAGGCCAACCTCTGGCCACTGACTGCTTCCAGTATTCATGAGGCTGACTCCTGAGGGTCTGGCTGTTGGAAGCCCACCCACCTTCCCTTTCCTGCTGCCTGATAGTGTGTCACCCAAGGGGAGGGGTTCCCAACACCCAAAGAACAAGTGGGAACAGGGTGGGGAGAACCTCCTGGGAGCTGTGAGCGGTCGTTTCTCACTCATCTCTCTCCTGAGCACTTGCCCATCGGAACCTGACTGTTGGCACCGGGCCTGTTCCCAAGAAGGGATCTGTCCTCCAAGCCCAAGTTCATTCAGTTTTCTCTGCTTTATGATTTACTGGTGTGCCTCACACCTCTGTTTCAAACAGTGGGTTTCTGTAAAATTTACTAATAGCTTTTCTAGTGAAAATATTTTCCCCCTCTTCAATAAAAAAAATTCACAATAGCTGTATAGAAGCAGCTTTTTCTTGTTTTTAAAAATTTCTGGCATTTAAGCCACCTTATAATTACCAGTCTGGTTTCCATTTTCCCCAGGTTCTTCAGAAGGTAAACAGGTTGCTTCCCGTGTGGGGCTGTGCACAGGCGGGTTGTCAGGACTGACGTGTGTCTCAAATGTGTAGTAGGCTGCCCTGCATTCCCCAGGTGAATCCTGACTTCCATGTTAAATTGAATTTCCTAGCAAAGCTCTGGATCCTTCTGGTCGTCCAGGTGGTTCCATGTCTTGCTGTCCCTTTCCTTCTTGCTCTTTTGGTGCCCTGAGGCTTGTTCCTTTTAAAGGTCAGTTATATTGATCTCTTAAAGTAACTAGTTGTCCTCTGTTGAAAATCCAAGCCTAAATGCACACTGGGAAGGGAGGATGTTGCGAGGGTTGGGGTGTCACCATGTGCCTGATGATTGGCTTGTTAGCCACCAACTGAACTAATCCCGAGAGCCTGGTGGCTTTTCTTCCTGTCTTCAGCTGCAGTAGCAATTGCAGAAACCAAAGGTCAGTGCCCTTGTCTAGGTGTGCGTGAGGGTCATCCACTGGACTTTCTGAGAAATCCAGGTCCTGAGCCCAACCCTGAGGATGCTTGTAATTTAGGTTAAATTATGGCCAAAAGGATCTTGATGATTTCCTTTTAACTAAGAGAAAAAAAAGCCTGAGAAAAATTGAAAGGTTTAGTGACCTCCACAGACCCTTTATCCAGAATCACCTGTAAGCGTTTTGTCATGATTGTTTCCGAGGTGGATATTGATTATGGCTGAACTGTTGCATGATGATCGTTAACTCTGGAATCCTGTGTGTATTTCCTAATACGGACATTTTCACAGCTGACCATAGTATCTTTATCACACTTAAGAAATTTTCTAGTCTTACAGAAAACTTAGATTCAACTTTTTTAAAAAAGATTTATTTATTTTTATTGGCAAGTCAGATAAACAGAGAGGAGAGACAGAGATCTGTCTCTCTGCCAATTCACTCCCCAAGTGGCCACAGTGGCTGGAACTGAGCCTATCCGAAGACAGGAACCAGGAGCCTCCTCTGGGTCTCCCACACGGGTGCAGGGCCCCTAGGCTTTGGGCCATCCTCTTTCCCAGGCCACAAGCAGGGAGCTGGATGGGAAGCGGAGCAGCCGGGATTAGAACTGCGCCCATGTGGGATCCTGGTGTGTTCAAGGTGAGGACTTTTGCCGCTACGCTATTACACCGGGCCCATAGATTCAATTTCTAAAATGTTAGATATTTTTGAGAAAATTGTCACTCCTGTGATCTCTTTTTCCAACAGACCTCCTCCCTTCTTGTATTTTCTTTTTCATGACCTTTATTTTGCTGAGAGTCTAACTAGTCCAATTGTCTTGGATAGAGTCCCACCATCAGGATCTTATTTCCTTGTGAGTGGCTTCGTAAGGACTGAATCACGAGCATTTTCAACAAGAGAGATGTGCTTACTGTCACATTGGGAGGCTGACAATGTTAGTTTGACCCATTCTGGTGAAATAAGGCTGATTGGTTAGGGTGGTAACTGCCAGATCTCTCCAAAGAGGGTGTGTGTGTGTGACCTGCCTTTCCACATGGAAATGAGCAGCCTGTATGGTTTTACTTTGGGATTATCTGGTTTTCCAAAAACTTTACATGAACCTTGGCATCCTCCAGTGATCCTTACTACACACTGAGGATTTGTTGTGACTTGGTAGTTCTTTCAGTTCATCATTTCTACATTTATAGCTTTAATAGCTTACATATTCTCCTTAAAGGAGTCTTCCTTTTAACCTTCTGTTTTTGAAGTTGCAGTAGTTTCCTTTTTCTTTTTTTAGTCAGCACATTATATATGGGATCTATTACTGTCATCATTTTTCTGTTATTTGAGAGGCAGACCAATGGAGACACAAGAGAGCTAACTTCCACCCACTGGTTTCACTCCCTAAATATCAGGTCCATGCTGAAACCAGGTTCCTAGAACTCTATCCAGATGTCTCCCGTGTACTCCCATCAACCCCAGTACTTATATGTAAGTGCCTCTATTTAATGTGCCATTCCAGGCACATTATCAGGCAGCTGAATCAGAAGTGGGAGAGAATAGGGGGAGTTGTGGCATAATGGGTAAGACTGCTTCCTGTAATGCCAGCATCAATTATGGGCACTGGTTAAGCTGGCTGTTCTACGTCCATTCCAGCTCCCTACTAACATACCTCAAGAAGCAGTAGAAGATGTGGCCCAAGTTCTTGGGCCTCTGAACCCACATTGGATACCTGGAAGAAGCTTTTGGCTCCTTGGTTTGGTCTTGCCTAACACTAGCTATTGTGACCATTGGAAAGTGAACCAACAGATGGAAGATATTTTTGTTTGTGTAACATTGCCTTTCAAATAGATAAATAAATTTCAAAATCAAAGGAGCTAAGACTTGAGCCAGGACTCTAATATGGGCTATGGGGATCCCAAGTGTTGGCTTAACCTGCTGTGCTACCACACTGGCCAGCCATAGAAGTCCCTTTAAGCCAGCTGTTATGTCCTGCTATGGTGCTGTTTGACTGATTTCTTGCTTTCTGGTTCAAGCTATCTCAGGGTCACTTTAGAATGTCCTTGTCCCAAATGTGAATCCTGCTCTTTCTCCAAGGAACCATGGTTTCTTTTAGTGTGAATATCTTTTGGAAGTCAGGGTCTGTGTGCTGTATGTAGCAATGCATTTGTAGTTGCTACACACATGGGAACTGCAAAAGGTTCATGAAAGGGATTGGTGTTAGAATGCGGCAGGTTAAACATGCTCAAGACCTGTGTTGGAGTGCCAGTTCAAGTCCCAGCTCTTCCTCTTTCAGTCTGACTCTCCTGATACGCCTGAGAGGCACTGCATGATGACTCAAGTACTTGAGTTCCTGCCACCCAGGTCGGACACCTAGGAGTTCCTGGCTCCTGGTCCAGCCCCAGCTGTTGCAGTCATTTGGGCGAATGAGCCAGAAAATGGAAGATCTCTGTCTCTCCATCTCTCCCTCTGCCGTTGTGCCTTTCAAATAGTATTTTTTTTTTAATTTAAAAAAGATTGATGGAAAATGGAAATGAAAGATATGCATATTTTCCATGAATTTTTAACACCTTTTAGGTGTGTTAATTATTTTGTTTTTTGTGTGTTGCATTGTTTTGTTTTTAACATTTTGTAATTTTTCTGATCTGTAACCCAGATGGAGAACACTGGCCTAGGCACATGGCACAGGAGCCTCTAACCATTGCTGCTGTTTTAGAAAGATCGTACTTTTGACACATCTCACCCCACTTAGCCACTGTGGAGGGAAATAGGTGGATTTCAAAACTGGGTTCTGGTCTGCTGCTGTTGACTGCCATCTGCCTCATGTTTAAGATAGGGATTGCAGGGTGAACTGTGAAGTCCTGGGCTTGAGTTTGGGAAGGCAGTTAGTGGCACACTTTAGGTTCAATACTGGTGGACAAACAGTTTGCTGAAGTATTCAGGAGATAGCTTGGCCTTTAAAGAAGACCGGAAAACAGTATCTGGGAGTTAACAGCAGGTCAAAGAGGTACACTTTGACCTGATGAGAAAAACATCCACAGCTGATGCCTGCTGCCCCAGCAGGTTGGGAAACCATCTTTATTTAAGAACTGTCTGCTACCAGAGTCAGTAACTACCATTACAAGTTGTACCCGAGACAGACAGTGGGCCAGGGGAATGGCTCCGAACAAAAGGCGTCAGGGCTCTGGTGAGGCTCTAGCACTTGCCTAGCTGTGCAGGCCCTGACAGGGAGTACAGTGGGGAGTCTTGGGGCCATGGCAGCATGACCTCACTGAAGGGTACTTGGGGCTCTTGAGAAGCTGACCCAGTGTGCCCCTCTCATTTTCCTATACTGTCCAACCTTCCCAAACCCATAACCGTATGTACAAGTCCATGGGGCACCCCTCCCCATGCCCCCACCCCCCGCAGCTGCCGGGTGCCTATTCCCATGGAGCTCACTGAAATCTCTTAGGAAAATGCCCATCGGATCCCTTTTCCACTGTTCCAGAAGCCTTCTTGACGACTCCCTTCATACACAGGATTAAGCCCAGGTAAAGTCTGATATGGGGAGGCAGAGCAGTGCACTGGTGTCAGGGAGCACAGATGGGGATCCCTGTTGTCCCTCTGACCTAGGGCAAACTCTGAGGGAAGGAGGGAGCACAACTCTTGCCAAGGAGGAGCTCCAGAGAATCCAGCATTCTTAGCTGCCCTGTGCTCTGGCTCTGGGCATAGGTGAGATGACTTTTGGGGTTCCAAGAGGCAGAGCATGCTGGGAAATACACAGGGCTATGCCAGAATTCCTGGGGTGAGCCCTCTCCCTCAGCTTCCTCTGAGATACTGGACCCAAAGCAAATGGTGTCTTTATACCTCTTTCTTTGCTGAGCACTTTTGGATTTTAAGAATCTGGGACAGTCACTTTGAGCATCTCCTATAGTCATGTCACTCAACCTAGGCTCCCACACCAACAGTTATCCAAATCCTTGCAATTCCCTATAAAAGCCTTTTGCCTGCTCTGGCTCTTCCTTTTTATCAGAAGACACCTCCTCTTTCCTCTACTGTACCCTTTGCCTTGCCACTCTGCCTGCCACAGTCACTGTCATTTGCTGCCCTGAGACTGGGACATATACTTGTCAAAGCAACAAGGACTAGAGGGCCCAGGCAAGGGTCAAAGGGCTCTCTAGGCTGACCCCTGCTATATCCAGAGTGAGTGAGTCTCCCTGGGCCTGAAAAGGTATGTCAGGCTAGGACATCTGCCTTTGGTCCTCATGACATTGGCCGTGCAGCTGTGGGGCAAGGTACTGACCCATTCAACTTCTGCCTGAGAAGGATGCAGAATTGAGTCGTGGCCAAAGCAGGGGAAACCATACCTGCAGTTCTCCGCCGATCTGAGAAGACCCTCCAGCAAGGAGCTGTTGCATTTTACAGTCTTTAATGCCCGTAAGTCATCTCCCCTCTCACTACACCTTAGTCACTACTCTTCTGACTTCTGCAGGAGGTGACAGCTGCAGGTATAGCCGCAGTGCTATGGCTTTGTGTCCCCAGTTCTGCCTGCTCAGTGGTTAGGTTTTCCTTGCTAAAAGCCCTTTGTGGGCCTCTCAGCAGGGCTGCCTTCTCCCCTTCCTGATGGGCCTCATTAGAATTACAATTTTCAGTAACTTGTTACTTCTTTCAAGTATGCCTAAGGGCTGCAGCCTACAACTTGCCTGGTTAGGTTCTTTGCCAAACCAGCTCATCTCCTGGCCCAGCAGCCAGTCCACGCCCGTCTTCCTACCACCCTGAATTTTAAACCTTGGAGCAAGGTACCTTGATCAGCATGGGGATGCTAGACTGAGTTTGAGGTCCCTGTAGTAGGAGAATGGCCCCATAGCTGAGCCCCTAGCACTCCTGCTGCGAGGTTGGGAACAGATCTAATGGCTCCAGGGAAGCAGGGCTGCGGAGAGGCCTTAGTGCAGGGGGAGCTGGTGGTAGTAGGGAGAAGGTATGTGACTTCCGTTTTTAAAAAATTATGGGTAAACATAAACCTGCCCAGGAAAAGAGAGCAGGACTTGAAAGTTTAAAAAACCATAACAAAATAGAGCTCTAACTGTAAACTACAGAAAACAGGCTTCGGGAGTCTCCAGGGCACATGCCCAACACGCTGCTCCCACGTGTACAAGGCCACCTGTTGGAGAGCAGGCCCTGGGCTCTCCTGGTCGTGCTACTGCTGCCTGGATTTGGAGAGCCCACCCATGCTGTGACCTCTTCTCGGAGCAACAGTGAGGACAAAAGAAGGCTTCAAGCTAACACTGCCCCCCTGGAGGTCACAGCAGGAGCCAGACTTAGAAGGCAACAAGGACTCGATGGCTCTTGGGACATGCCCATGTCTTGGGCTGGACCCTTCCGTGCTAGTCCTGCTGACCATTAGCCTGGACCTCTTGAAGCGGAGCTGTCACATGCTACTGACCCTCACCGCCTTCTGAAACCAGGCCCTCGACGTACAGCACCGCCTCCTTCCTCTGGACAAAGACCTTGAACCAAAGGTAGGAGGAGTTCATCCGGAGTTCTTTGTCCAGCCTTGTCACTTCCAGCTGACCTTGGAAGTTTCTCACCTTCAGGACCTTTTTCTTGTCTGAAGTGAAGGGCTTCTGCAATTGAGCTCTCAAACCTCTTCTAGCACTGATGTTTGTGACTGGCTATGTATCCAGAGCTCAGTGTAGGAGTTCCCATTTATTAACCGCTTCTTCTTTCAGAGAAATGTGAAAGAGCAGGCCAAGCAGTCTGGGGAGCAGGTCTTGCTAGGCGATCTGGGCCATTCCTGGGTACAAGTGGAGCCACCCTGAGCCCTTGCCTCCAGCTCCAGAACACAGAGCTAACGCTGCATTACTTTGAAGGCATGCGTCCATGCTGGGATGACAGGGCCTGCAGGTGGGAGAAGCCCAGGTCTGCCTGCAGAGCTGGAAGCAAAGGTTGGAAGGTGGGGCACTGCCCCTGTATCCTGGCCAGACCCTGCAGGGGCTGTGCAGGGTAGGTCTTGGTGGAGGTTTCCCCAGGATAAGCCCTTTAGTCCCCTGAAATGGCTCTGTCACTCTGGGGGTAATGGGCGGATTGGCAGTGTTGGCTGGGAGGGCAGCATCACCTGGACTGTAACCCTGCCTGCAGGCAAGGCAGGTGCCTCTTTCCATGGGGTGTCTCAGCCTCTGGACCCTTTTCAGCTCCTACCTGTGATACTGAAGGGTGCAAACCCTAGCTCCAGCCATCAGGCACCAGTTCCCCCACTGCCCACACAGGCAGGAGACTCCAGTGAATCAAAGAAGACTGTGGAAGGCCCAGCTGTGCACTCCCCAAGAAGAGGCTGCAGGGGAGAGCCTGGGGCCAGCTGCTGTCACTTACACTTTGTCCCATTTCAGCCCCCAGAATCCCAGTGTTGTGCCGGGCATGGGACTTTACCCTCAGGTGGCAGGATCAACTCAGGGTCTCGGGGTGCCAGCTCTGTGACTCCAAAGAAGCCTGCTAAGCCCCATTCTTCCCATAGGCCTGTTTGCCAGTCAGGTCACCTCCAGGACCCAGGCATGGGATTCAGTATCATCTTGAAGTCACTGCCCGGTGCCTTGTGACTTTAAGAAAACAGTCCACATGGGTTCTGACCTGTGGCAGAATATGAGCTATCCCACCTCCTACAAAAGGGCACTGTTTGAAGTAGGGATTGAAAGCCAACAGCTCTTGGGCACAGTGTTGGACCCGCTTGGCACCGGGGAAAGAACCTGGGCCAGCGGCTGAGTCTGTTGGAGGTGGGTGCTCAACTCCAGCGCAGAAGGTGGGCACTGATGTCAGAGTTCCAGGCAGCCTAAGAGCATCAGCATCACCACAGAGCGGGAGAGAAGGGTGCCGGGGTGTGGGGCTGGATGCACAGCCGAGTTCTCCACCATCATGCTCGTACCTGAAACCAGCAGCAGGGGTGTGGGGGCTGAGTCAGCCAGGCTTGGGAACCTCAGCCCCCACCCTCAGGACAGCCTCCCCCCTCCCCAGTCCTTTGCTCAGGACACCTGAGGAGGCCTGGGGCACCCACAGGCCTGGGAGCACGAGCGCCCTTAACTCGTGCAATGCCTGATAGGACTTCAGCCTTTGCTGATTGGTCTCCACTGCCCTCCACCAGCAGGCTCAGGATGTGGGAAGGAGGAAATGGTCTGGGCAAGTCCAGGACTGCTTTGCCCTTGGTTCCTGTCTGTCTTCCCCTTAGGGTTGGGAGTTGGCTTGGGTGCGACCAAACCCTTCATCAGGCATCTGGGGGACAAAGGTTAGGGAGGGACAGCACCTCCATTCCTCACGATGTGGACTTCTGCTGGGATGCCATCCCCTCCTGGTCCCGTGGTCCGAATCTGCACCAGGGCATGACCGATGTCCTCAGGCAGTGGGATTTCTATCCAGTTCTTGACAGTGAGATGGAGTGTGGGCATTGGGTGCAGGTCATTCTGGTACAGCATCTGTGTGTGAGATGTCCAGGTGGTTCCTCCTTAACCAAGGCAAATCCTTCTCTTCCCCAGTCCTAGTCACCAGAATGGGGCTCTGCCTCCCCACACCTCCCTCAGTTTCCCACTGACCAAGCTCCTCACTAATGGGAAGACAATTTGCAAGCAGCTGACTTGGGCTTGCCAGTGCCTTGGGCCAGAGCCACCAAGTCCTTCACTGCCCCATGACCCAAGCCTTTCTGCAGCAATACCATTTTCCCTGTATTCAAAACAGAGAGCATGTCCATATGCTGGTTCTCACCCCAAAAGACTAATTGGCCCCAAGCCAAGCATAGAAGCCGGTTGCTGGAAAGTTAATCCAGGCCTCCCATGTGGGGACCCAAGTGTGTATCACCTGTTACATTAGTAGGAAGCCAGAATCAGGAATGGAGCCTGGATTTGAACCCAGGAACTCCTACAGGGGACGCAGGTATCTTAACTAGCATCTTAACTCCTAGGCCAAACTGCCTTGTCTTTAGTCTTTACTACAAACTACACGAGAGTCGCTTGGTGCTGTATGCTGTGGTCACAGGCCCTAAGACAGACCTTCCTTGATCTGGATTGAGGCTCCCCGTGCTCCCTGGAGACACAGAAGGGCTGTTTCTCCCATGCCAGGCCTGGTGGATCCTCACCTTGTAGCCAGTGATTGCAGACTCATTTCGCAGGGGTATCACGGGGTCCCATTTAATGCTCAGACTGGAGCTTGAGAAAGTCCAGGAGATGTTGCCAGGAGGGCGCTGTGGAGCTGCCAGGGAGGGAGTTTTGGGGAGACTTCCAAAGGTCATACTGCACTCCCAGCCCTAGCCTTTAGCCAACCCTTTCCCTAGTATCTGCCTACAGGACCCAGAAATTCTGCCTGTGCTTCCTGGAAACAAAGCCCATGTAGAAGAGAGAGGGGCTTCAGGGCCTGGGACTTCCAGCCCCTCTTCACTCTCACGGCCTTGTTCTGTGCAGCCCAGCCCAGCCCAGAACTAGTGGTTATAGCACTTCCCTGATTGTGGAGAGGGGTCATCCCGGAGACCCCCACCCCAACTCTCACCCCAGGCAGACAGACTCACGAGGTTTCATGGTAGTGGCATTGGCAGAAGGGCTGGCAGGGCCAGTGCCAGCCCGGTTATAGGCCCGCACGGTCACGTGGTACTTGGTGTTGGGGTGCAGGCCAGTGACCAGGGCGCTAGTGTCCAGTCCTGCAGTCCTCACTCGGTCAGCAGCTGCTTCTTTGTCCCCAACTTTCCAATATCGAATCTGAAGCAAGGAGGGGACCCTAGGATCAGTGGCCAGACCCAGGACCTCAGGGTTGCCCTAGCTTCACATTCTGTTCCTCAGAACTGGGGCCTGATCATAAGATCCCAGGGAGCCAAGCCATGCTAGCATGATCCCCTTGCATGTCCTGGTACCCAGTCCAAAGCACTTTAATGCATAGAAGCTAGAGGTGGGGACGCAGGCTCAGCGCAGCAGTGGCCCGAATGGAACTCAGCAGGTTCTGTTAAGGGACATGAAACAGACTCCTTCCCCAACTGTAGCTAGATTATAAGGGCTGCCCGGTGAATACAAGCCCTTCTTAGTAGTCATTGTATTGTTGAGATCTGCTGAAGAGTCTCCCAAATCAAGGGCAAGTTTTGAGGCTGTCTTCTCACTGGAGCTTGTCCAAGCTGTTGGGTTTAGATCCCAGTTTGACTCTACTAGGTTGAATTTATTCTCAGTCATGGGCCTTGCCTGATAAGTCTCCCTCAAGCAGTGACAGTCTACTTGTCTTTCTATCCCTTCCCTTGCACCCCATCTTCCCCTCTGTGGAGTCTGAGGCCAGAGACTAATGGCCCAGGCCTGTTTACTGGTACCCAGAGAGGATCGTGCTGTTCCCTGTGCATGCCCAGTGATACCAGGTGGGAGGGGCAGGCCATGCCTCTTCCCAGAACCCACCCCCCCTCACCTGGCCTCCAGTGCTGGCTGCAGCCCCGTGTTTACTTCGAGGTTGCCTACCAGTCTGTCCACCCGAGGGCATCAGCTGCAGGGTCTTGGTAAATTGTATAACTGATGGCTGTACAGATTGGCCTCTCACTGTGCAGACAGTGAGTAAATGAATCTAGGAGTGATGCCTGGTGAGCTGATGAGTATTCCCTTCCAGGCTCCAAGTTCCACTCACCTCATACCCTTGCAGGATACCATTCGCGTCCTGCTGCACAGGTTCCCAGGTCACGTTCATCTCTGAAGACGAGACTCCCTTGGCCCAGACTTTGGTAGGCACCACCCTGGGCTCTGGGGATGGAGGCAGAATGGGTTTGGGTCCTGTGGGCCTCCTGGGGCTTCATTTGCTGAGGGTTTTGGGAAAGAGGCCAGGGCCCAGGATGAAGGCCCATGGGGCTCCTAGACCACTCTAGGGCCCACTTCTCTTCTCAGGGAGCCTCCCTCATTACCTCAGCCCTGAAGGGAGAGAGGGATCAGAGGTGAAGCCCAGGGCTTAGCACTCACTGTCCTCTCCAGCTTCTAGAAAATGGAGCTTAGATTTTTGTGTGACTGCTGTCCTCCCCCCCCCCCCGTCCCCAACTCTTTGGACAAGCGGCCATGCTGGCCACAAGTGGCAGGCCTGGGGCAGCCCACCTTCCTCCGCTGAGTACACAAGTGCCATGAGGCTCTCAGGGCCGTCCCCGCGATTATTGTAGCTGCGGATCTTGACCTCAAAGGGCGTGTAGGGCTGGATGCTCCCATTGTTGTAGACAAAGTACTGGGCGTCGGCGCCAGACACCCGGGCCGTCTGCCAGCCGGTGCTGCCTTGCCTGCGGAAGGACAGCAGGTAGCCGAAGCCGTCTCCGTTCTGGTACTCCCGTGACATGGGCTGAGGGGCAAGAGCGTGGCATGGGCGCGGGGCCATGGGCACGTTTTCTTGCCCACCCGACCTTCACCCCAAGGGACATCCCAGGGTGCCTGTTCCTGTACAGTCTTCACCTGCTATTAATTCCTGTGGGGGCATCAGGTATAAGGGGATGGGGATGTGGGGTTGTTGGCTTTTGAATTTGAACCTTTCTGTACACTGCTCACACAGGAGATGAGTCAAGGGGAAAGATTTGCCCCTCCCACCCCATCCCCCCAGCATGGGACTGGGAGGCACAGGCCTGCTTCTCTCCCTGCCAGCTTACCGTCCAGCTGATGATGAGCTCCCCGGGGGCTCCACCACCTCCGCTGAGTCCTGAGGGTGCCACCGAGGGGGCTGCCAGACACCAAGGGACACAGTTATGGGTGGTGCTGCAAGGGAACAAAGGTCCCAAGGCTGTCCTTGCTGAGCATCCTGGGGCGGGACACCACATCAGTTGGACTTTGGATCTTATTCCTTGGGGTGTAGGTACTTGAATCAGGCTGACCTAAGTTCAAATCCACACATGTGGCTGTGTTTCCCTGGCAAAGTATCTTAACCATTCTGAGCCTCTGATTTCCCTCTCCATTGATGCAACATGATCATGTTTTTCTCATCAGAGAAGCTTTGGCTGCCAAAGAACAGGAGACGCCATAAATGAGTTGACCTCACCACTGCCGACTGGAGCTGAGTCACAGTGACCAACTCTAGCTTGCTTTAAATGGAGGAAAATCACCCAGAAGGAAGGCAGCAAGGAAACACCCAGGAAGGCATTGCTCTGGGGTTCCGGGGTGTTAAATGAACTGTGTGTGAATGTGGCAGGTTTAATTTCCTAATTGTCTCTTGTGTTAAAGCTAGTATTAAAGCAAGGGTGTGTTCATGAGCCCACCACAGTTCTGGAGTAAATAACAGCTAGGAGTCAAAATATTTCTGCAGATAAGCCAGCAATTGGATACTGGTGACAATACCTTAGGGCCTTGTCATTCCCAAGAGGCACTTAAACACATGCCCACTTGGCTCTGAGGAGGTGAGTGCCCTTTTTAGGGTAGGGAGACAGGCCCAGGACAAGGAAGTGATTTGCTAAGTCAAGCTATTACATAGCACAGCCAGAACTTGGCCCCAGCGCCTGGGATTTGCAAGCCCCCCACTTCTCCATCCCAGCTGTCCTGTTCTTGCCAGCCTCTGGACACTAGAATAAAGGAGGCTCTTTCACCACCCCACACTGGCCTCTCAAGGAAGTTTAAGGCCATCAAAGAAAGTGCATCCTCTAGATTTCTTGAGAGAGGTATCTGCTAAAAAATGTTTCCGGGACCCAGAAAGGGCATGGGAAGTCAGCCTGGGGTATAGAGGAGGGAGAGACACTACAGTGTCCACGGTCCTAGAGCGCTCGTTCTGGGCCCCTGGACTGCACGTGACACAGACGGCAGGAAGGTGCTGACAGGCCTGTGTCTCTCCCTGCCTCCTGAGTTCCTACATGCCTCTCATTGAGGTTGCTGGCAGAGACATTTCGTCCCCTCCCCTGCCAAAAACCTGTCTGGCACACATCACTCCCCTTCCTCAGGAGTCGATTTCTGCAATCCATGTACTTGCAAGGCCCTGGATTCGAATTCAGCCTCTGCTAGGGTCTTTCATTCGCCACACTTAAGTTTTTATCCCATTTAAAAAGCTGACTTAAAAATAGAGCTGTGGGTTCTCAGTCAGGCTGACCCAGTTTTGAAATGAGGGTTTTGGATGGCTGGTCTGTGTACACAGTGGACTTGCTGCTCCCTTCTCATCTGTTTCGTCAGGGAGCAGAGCCAGAACTCAGGGTACCAGATTCTCTGCCCTGTCAATGATTCTTTTGGGGACACTGACCTGCTTCCTTGGTCCGGATTCTGCTGGAGGGCCCACTGGGCTTTCCGGTGCCCAGGATGTTGCTGGCTAAGACCCGGAACTCATAGTCCATCCACGGGGTGAGGCCTAGCACCTGGGCGGTCTCAGCATTGCCCTCGATGTTTGCAGGATCTGCAAGGTACCAGGGCCTCACGGCATCAGCGTTCATTTATTTGTAGGCAGAGGCAGGTCCTGGGCCTGGACCACCACCTCAGCCCAGCTCTGTTTGTGGTTCCTGCACACACTCAGAACCTCTTCCTGAAATGACTGAGAGGTGGGAGCCGCCACTCAGGACTCCAGCACAGTGTCTGGCCTCAAGACCAGGATTTCAACTCCCCACTAACACACACCCTGGGACATAGCAGGTGACAGCTAGATTGAGTTCTGGCTTTTGGCTTCATCCTGTTTTGTGTGGGGGACTGAGCCCCCCACACAAATGATGAGATGCTTTTCAAAAAAAAAAAAATTAACACCAATTAGTGAAAAGAGAAAATGGAAGCCAACTTCCCTGTCCTAGTGAATCTACTACTGAAGCGTGTCTCAACTTCCTGGATATTTTTGCTATTCTGGCAATAACACCATTTTCCCACCCCTGCCTGCCCCTCATTCTTCAAGAACTCGGGCTGAGCACCACTGCCTCCATCTTTTTACCCCTACCAGCTTCCTGGGGATGGTCTTGTTGGCTCTCCAGGAAGCTCCCAGCTCAGCCACTGCCACCCACCCACCACGCTCAGCCAGGCATGGTCATGGCTGATCCCAGAGATGCCTTACACTTACTGGTCCGAACCTGCTTCCACTTTCCTGCGGGCGGAGTGCGCGCCTGGAGGGTGTACTTGGCGATGGGACTGTGGTTGTCAAAGCCACGGCTCCAGCTGAGCTGGACGGTGGTGTCGGTGATGTCCCTCACCACCACGCCCCCTGGGGGACCTGGCGGACCTACACCCAGAGATTAGAGCAGCAGGGTGAGACTTGGGCAGCTTCAAATCCACACCACCTCCAGTCCCCCGCTGGCACTGGTGCAGGAATAAGACAAGGCACAGCAGAGGACGCGATGAACTTGCCCCAGAGTGGAGAATGAGGGGCAGGGCCGTGTCTATCCTTTGGGGGAGTTGTATCTTCCATTGAGGGGCTCACAGTGGGCACCACTTGAGGAAGTTTCCCAGAACTGGGTCTGAGAAATTTGGGCCTAGCAAAGGAATCCTGCTGTGGAATGTGTTCTGTTTGAAAGACTCAAGAGACATTTCCCAGATGCCCACAGAAACCAAGGTCAGGTGGAAGTCAGGAGTCAGGAACTAAATGCACGTTACCCATGTGGGTGGCAGGGACCTAGGTACTTTAGCTATCACCTGCTGCCTGCAGGTGTGTGTGAGCAGGAGGGTGGAGCAGAGGACGGGGCTGGGCCTTGATTCCAGCCCCCTGGAATCAGGGATGTGGGCATCCCAAGGGGTAGCTTAGTTGCTGTGCCCAACTTGCACCCCGGGAGGGGTTTCTTTAAAAGCTTGACTTTGGCAGAAAAATATCCCATTCATTTAAGACCTAGCTGCAGTTCAGCAGGTTCCATGGGGAGTTCCTTCCTAGGGAGCTGGGGAGAAGCATATAGGGAGGGAGGTCACAGTAGCCCAGTTGGCCTCCAGGGTTTATGGCATGGGGATACAGGTGGCAGCTCCTTTACCTCGGACTAGGACCGTGGCCTCCTTGGATGCGCTGTCCACCACTGTCTGGGCCATGCATGTATACTTGCCGCCGTGGCGCAGCTGGGCATTCAGGATGGTCAGATCCCCGACAGTTTCCTTCTGTACGGGGACAGCCCAGAGTGCAGGCAGGTCAGAGTGGGGGCCCGGAGGCAGAGCATGGGGGGGCTCTGCTCCATGACGACCAGGGACACAACTGTATCTCACTATCCCTGTCCATGAGGGGACTTGGCTGTTCCCCATTTACTACCTCTGGGGACCAACCAGCAAAGTTACAGGGGCCAATGGCAGTCCAAGTGAATGACAACACTTGCACTGGAACAGAAAGAGGACAGCAGCAGGGGGAATGAGGCTTCAGGCACTTGGAATTCTGGGTTTGTCCCCTTGCTTCTCCCAGATAAGTGATTTTTTTTTCAGGGGGAGGGATCACCAAGGGGTGATCAACCCAAGGTGGAGCTTGCTAGGGCAGGGGCCTGAGATAAGAGCTTTGAGGGCAGGGCCCCTAGGGCCTCACCATGCTGGCCCTCCGGTAGTGACCCCCAGGTTTATCGAAGTCGATGGGGAAGTCGTCCAGGGTCCAGATGAACGTGAGGTCCATGGTGGGGTCATGGGAGGCGTGGCACTGGAGGGTCAGATTGTCCCCCAGGTTGATGTCAGCACTGGATGGAGCTAGAGTGATCTTGGTTGCATCTGTTGGGAGAAACAAATCCCCTAAGTGGGTGGGGCAGGAGGTCGGCGTAGATGGGAGCTGCAGGACAGGCACTAGGCTCCATCTAAGGCCCAGGAAACAGCAAGGGGTGGTGTATACCCAGAGATATGGGGCAGGCAGGGAGGGAGGACCTGATTCTGGGTGGTAGCAAGAGGGTGGTGCCAAGCCAAACAGAACCCGGCAGTAGCCTCAGAAATCAAGCCAGGAGACTCAGCAGACCATGGAGCCAACCACAGGCCTTACCACGCACAGACAGGATTCCAGTACTGTTGGCTTTGCCCATGAAATTCTCCGCAAAGCAGGTGTATTTGCCCTCATCTGACCTGCTGATATTTCTGATGATAAGGGTGCCATCTGGAGTCACGGTTACTCTGCAGCAAGGACAAGGTGGATACGGCCACTCTGGGGGCTGGCCAGAGCCGTGGGCAGGGGAGCAGTCTCCAGGAGGGGGGCATGGTGGTACCTGCTGCTATTGGCCAACATCTCGGTGCCTTTGCTCCACAGCACCACAGCCTTGGGGGCAGCTCGGGGCTGACAGGGGATGGTGATCTCACCACCCCGGGCTGCAGGGATCAGCCGTCTGACGGGATTCTGCCGGAAATCAGGGGCCAGTGCTGGAATGAAAGGGAAGAGCTGCCAGTATTAACCACTGATGTGGACTCACTGGCCCATGCTAAGCCAGCAGGAGCCTGTTAGAACCCAGCCCCTTCTCGTCACCCCCACCACTGTCTCCCTGCTCCAAGCCACCACCTGTTCTGTCCCTGCTACCTCCCACCCCACCCCCCCAGCCATGGCCCTCCTGTTTCTGTGCTGCTTCTACAGGTACTCCTACACCCAACAGCTGAAGCATCTCATCATCCAGGCCAGTGTGCTCCTAGCTGCCCGCAACTGCCCCCTCATTCCACTCATCCTCCATCACCTTGCTCCAACCACCTGGTCACTTGGGCCTCAGGACCTTCACACTAGCTATAAAAAGGTGCCTGGAAATTCCCCAAATGGAGGGCCAGCACTATAGCTCAGCAGGTGAAGCTACCATCTGTGATAACAAAATTCTATATCAGAGAGCTGGTTCAAGTCCCCAGCTCCTCCCTTCTGAACGCCCATGCTAATGCACCTAGGAAAATAGTTCAAGCGTTTGGTCCTCTGTGCCCATATGGGGAACATAGAAGAAGCTTCTGCTTCTAGCTTTAGCCTCGCCCCAGCGCTGGTCATTGTGGCCATTTGGAAGTGAATCAATGGATGGCGGTGGAAGTGAGTCAGTGGATGGCAGATCCCAATCTGTCTTTTTCTAACTGCCTTTCAGATATACTTTTTAAAGATTTATTTTTTGTTTGAAAGGCAGATAGAGAAGAGATACAGAAAAAAAGATCTTCTGTCTGCTGATTTACTCCCTAAGTGGCCACTACAGCCAGAGCTGAGCCTATTTGAAGACAGGAGCCAGGAAATTCTTCCGGGTCTCCCACATGGGTACAGGGTCCCAAGGCTTTGGGCCGTCCTTGACTGCCTCACCAGGCCACAAGTGGGGAGCTGGATGCGAAGTGGAGCAATTGGGACACAAATTGGCACCCATAAGGATCCTGGCACATGCAAGGCAAGGATTTAGCCACTAGGCTATCACTCCTGGCCCTCAAATAAATATGCTTTAAAAAACAAATTCCCCAAATCTTCATGGAGCTTGCTGTTAGCACTCCCATCACAGCTCAGATAATGATGTCCTCAGAGGGCTGTCCCTGACTGCCCACCTAACTGCTCCTTCTTGACCCACTGTTCTCCCATATTTGCTTTACACTGTTATTTCTTATATTAAAAAAAAAAAAACAGAACAAAACCTTATTTTCATTTGTTGGAAAGACAAAAAGACACCTTCCCTCTGCTGGTTCACTCCTCAAATGCCTACAAGAGCCAGAGCTGGACCAGGTTGTAGCAGGAGCCTGGAATTCCAGCTAGGTCTCTCTTGTGAGTGGCAGGGGCCCAAGCACTGAAACCATTTCTTGCTGCCCCCCACGTGCATTAGCAGGGAGCTGGAATCAGGAGTGGTGGGGCTCACATCCAAGCACTCCAGTGTGGGAGGTAGGCCCCCAGGGAGAGTCTTAGCCGCTGTACCAAGCATGGTGTTTACTGTATTTTTATTGCTATTTGAAATTCTGTAGGTTTCTGATCTTGGGTTTATTTGTTCCTCCCCCTCTCATGGATTGTGAGCCTCCTGTGCTCATTTCCCAGGGTTGAATGAATGAATAAGTGCGTCCTAGCACCATGAGATGGGCATCACTGTGTCCACTTGGCCAGTGAGGAGGCCCAGGAAGCTCCCATCACACAAGCAGACACCACCTCTGGCTTTCACTGGGTGCCTGCGCGAGGAAGGGCCCTCCAAGCTGCTGCTCTGTTGGCTTGTTTACTCCTCACAGTCGCCCCCTGGGGCAGCACTGCTGTTTCTGTTCACTTGATCGATCAAGAAATGAAAACTGGACGTGAGGGACCGGGTGAGTACTGTTGCAGTAGCTAAGACATTCCTCAGGCACTACTCTAAACCAAGGCAGACTGTATGTGTGTGTGCTTGTGTGCAGAAATGAATGCCCCACCACCCCACCCACACTTGCACCCAGTACCTTGCACAGCCAGCTCGGCGCTAGCGTAGATGGTGCCATGCTTATTCTCTGCCACACACTGGTACATGCCAGAGTCCTCTAGGCTCAGCTTGGAGAAGCGCAGGTCCCCGGCTGACACCTCCAGCCGGTTCTGTGTAGAAGAACCCGGCCAAGGCAGGGTAGGGAGCAGTCAGGACCTGGAATGCTGGGGAGGAGGGACCAGCGGAGCACCTGCGGGGCATGGGGGCACCTTGCCAGCCCCTGGGGGATGGGTCCCCTGGACCTCAGCACTCTGATATTCCACAGGGCTTCACAAAGAGCAAAGGGATACTGGCAAGGCCGCAGCCTTTGCTGCGGCTTAGCGGGGCCTGGACCCAGGTCTCTATGTTTCTGTCTATTTTCAGCATGTGACATAGAACTCTCAGAGGGAAAGAGGTATGGCCACCATAATTGACCCAAAGAACCAAAGGAGCTGAGGATAAGAAAAGCCCCGCATCTCCTACCTGGGAAGCCAGGGGCTCCCCGTTGCGTAGCCAGCGCACTGTAGGCCGGGGCTTCCCAGCAGCTGCGCAGCCCCAACGCAGGTTAGAGCCAATGTCAGCCTCCGTGTCTGAGATCACCTTGAGCCACTCGGGCTGAGCTATGGGGAGCAGGGGAGAGAGAACCAGGGTGAGCTGGGAGAATCACAGGGGTGTTTTGCCTGAGCCACACGACAGGGGGCACTGTGTGTTGCAGTGTAGAAAGGATTAAAGGGAGGGGCAGGACGAATCAGGCATAAGGAAATTGGTGTTTGGAATTGTGCCAGTGGCTGTTTTAGCACTTTTGACCATCCTAAAACCCTCTGTCTGCTGTACCAGTCAAGTATTCTGAGCCAGCCACAACACTTAGCTTTTGGCCCCTCACCCCATGCAGTCCTGGTTCGAATTCTCTCCTTGGGGACAGGGTAAATGAAGGGTTGCAGGGGGAGGGGAAGGCGGCCCTGGCTCCCATACCCTGCACAATGATGCGCCCTTGAACAGTGTCACGGCCCTTGGAGTTCTCCGCCTCACACTCGTAGGTGCCCTCGTCCTCAAAGCTGATGCTGGGGATCTGCAGGGTGGGCTCGGCGGTGGCCCACTGTGGGGACAGGGAACCATCCACTTTGCGCCACTTGATCCTGGGGACAGGGCTGGTGAGGGAGATAAGGCCAGAGGGGTTTGGGCTGAGTAAGGCACACTCACTCCCAGGTGTGTCCAGGCCCTCCTGGAATGTTGAGTGGGCTGGAAGAGGGTACTGTGGAGGGTCCCCTTTCTTTCCCCAAGTAGCTTGGAGCACAAGCAGAGAAGGGGCCAGGAACAGCCTCCTCCATCCATCCATCCATTCATCCATCCATCCCAGTGCAACCACTATGATGTTGGGATGTTGGGATGTTGGGATGTAGGGATGTGGGTCCTCTGGCAGGTTGTTCCACACCCCACACCTACCAGCAGTGGCCCGTCACCCTACTTTTCAAGTAGACTTATGAGGAATCTGGATACTGCTTGGGGCTGAGACATCAATGAGTCTGAAAGGTTTACTAAGAGAGCTGGCATGTGCAGCAGGTAAAACTGCTGCCTGTGATGCCAGATCCCATGTGGGTACCAGTTCTACTTTCAATCCAGCTCTTACATGCCTGGAAAAACAGAGGCAAATGGCTCGATTGCTTGGGCTCCTGCCACCCATGTAGGAGACCCAGAAGAAGCTCCTGGCTTCTTCCTGGCCCAGCAGCCCTGGCCGTTGTGGCCATCTAGAGAGTAAGTCAGCAGATAAAAAAGTCTCTGTTTTGGTCTCTTTCTTTAGCTACCTTTCAAAGAAATATTTTTTTAAGCGGGGAGATGTTTACTGAGTTGTCTGTCTGTGCTTTTCAAACTGTTTTTCTAGAAGCCCCATAGCTTTCCATATAGTAGTGGCCATCCTGAGCTGCTGGAGAGACTTCTTGCACTTTCACTCATTTGACAAACACTCATGGAGTGCTTGCTGTTTGCTCAGCCCTGTACCGATAAACCCCACCTCTGAGAAAGCAGGAAGAATAACTTCCCCCCCGGTGGCGGGGTGGGGGTACATCTCAGCAGGTAACTCTCAGCAGCCATACGACAGTTAACTAAATGCCAGCACTGGTCTAGCCATTTCACCTACACAAGCTCTGCCACCAGGCAGAAGCCTGCACACTGTACCCCAGCCATCTAAGCCTGCATCCTTGCTAGGGAGCCAGGTCTTCTGGTTAGTGTCAGTTGCCCAGCATGTGCTGCCTCTACAAGAGTGTTAGTGCTTGGTCAGTGGCACTGCAGACCCACTGTGTACCCAGCACTCTGCCAGGAGCACTGACCCTGCCTGCTCTCACCCTGCTGCCAACAGTGCCCCTGTGGGTCTCTCAGAGGTCAGGCCCAACTTCAGGGAGACCCTTCCCCTCCTCCACTCACTTGCCGAAGGCGAAGCATTCCAGGGTCACCTGCTGCCCAGCCAGTGCATAGGTTTCTGCAGGGAATCGGGCTTTGATGCTGGGTGCAAAGAGCCTGGGATCTGGAAGAGAGAGGGATTTTGCTCACCAAATACAAATGATGCCAGGGCAGGTGCCCTCTGTGCCTGGGACCTAGGCATCCATCAGTACCCACAGTGTGTGGACAGCTGGGGGAGGTCTTTGGCTCTGGCTCCTGCTCCCCAGCCACACTGCCTCCTGACCTTCAGCTGCTAGGTTCAGCTGTGCAAACTTGCTGAAGACACTCTTGGTGGAGAAGTCCATGTGGCTGGTGGCCAGGCAGGAGTAGTTGCCCAGGTCGGAGGCATTGGTGCGGGCAATGTAGAGGTTCCCTGTGGTCTGTGACACGAAATGACGCCCGTCCGTTGGGATGAAGTTGGGGAACTCGTTGAGGAGCCAGCGGTAGGACAAGCCTGGTGGCAGCAGTGGGATGGGGTAGGAGAAAGCAGTTGAACCAGTCGGGATGCTTAGCTTGCAGGGATGTGCTAAGGGTGTCTCAGCACCTGCAGACCCAGTCCTGAGAGCCACTGGTGCTCTGAATTACAGACACCGTGGAAGGGGGATGTGACTTTAGCCCTGTCCCCAATGAACACAGTGTTCAGGGACTCCCAGTCTGAAGGGATGGATGGAACAGACTCACCAAGGCAGGACGCCCAGGGGCTGTGCCTTCCAGGGTCACCATCCACCTTCCATCCCATTCTCCATGGAGGAGCCAGAGGCCCATCCTGTGCCCTCTGCCTAACCTAGTGCAGGGCCCCAACTCACCTGGATAGTGGGCAGGTGGGTTACAGGGCAACATCACCCCCCAGCCCTCGTGTGTCTTCACCGGGTCCCGCTCTTCCTTGGAGAACTCCTGTAGGACTACAGGGGGAGACCAAGGGCTTAAGTACCATCCTTCAAGCCCGGGGACCACCCTTCCCCTTCACAGCCCTCAAATGGAAGTGGCTGTTTACATGGCCTTCCGGGGTGTATTCTCTGGCTCCCTCCACCCTCTCCGTCTCCCTGGGCTCTTACAGCCGAAGCGCAGCACGGCCTCCCTGCTCACAACAGTGCCCACTGGGTTGGAAGCCAAGCACTGGTAGACGCCAGCGTCCTGGGCCTTGGTGGGCTTCATGATGACCAAGTTGCCCCCCACCAGCTGGTGACGAGAGCCTGGCTCCAGCTTCATCTCTGTGCCATTCATCTTCCACCTGCAGCAAGAGACAGGCAGGGGAACCTCTGGCCACAGCCAGCCACCCACCCCCTGGGGTGAGGAAGAGCCAGGCTGCTGTCCATGGCCTCCTGGTACCCACCACAGGGCCTCACCTGTAGCTGGCTGGAGGGCTGGCCCGGGCACGGCATGCCAGCATTACCTGCTCCTCTGTGGACTCCTCTGGGAACAGCAGGCCAAGGGGCTGCTCTTCAAAGACAGGCCCAAAGGTGGCAGGTGATCCCCAGGCTGAAGTCCAGGCTGTCGAGGGGGACACCAATGGAGGCCACCTCAGTGCCTGGCTGGAGCCAGGCCTTGAGAGCTGTGTTGTCTAGCAGAGCTTCCTGGGAATGGCTGCCATGTCCTCTATTGGACATGGCCTACTGTGAGGGGTGTTAGGTCCCTGGGGCTGCTGAGCACTGGAAATGGAGCTAGTGAGGGGGTGGCAGAGCAAAATTTTGTGTTTTATTTTCATGAATTTGACTTCGAGCTTAAATGGGCCAGACAGGACCCATCTGACCCTATCTTACACCTGTAGCTGTGGGCCACCTGCTGTGTACCTGGCTCACCCTGGAGACCAGCTGCCAAAATGATAAAGACACAAGTCCTCAAGAGTTGAGTCCAGGGAGGGAGACCCAAGGCTGAGAGTGCAAAGTGGCAGGTGCCACAGCAGCATTTGGAGCCTCAGAGAACAGGCAGTGGCCACTGCTCACAGTGGTGGGCAGAGCTCTCAGGGGAGCTCCAGAGAAGAAAGGATGGGCAGGGGGAGGGGTACAAAAACTCACCTGTCACTGTCCCTAGAATCTAGCATCCCTCTGAGGCACTAAGGCCTAGCAAAAAGTTATTGGGGGGTTAGGGGATCAGGCCTGACCTTGAGCAAGTCATAGCAGTCTCCACCTGTGACATGGAGAGAATCCAGACTCATCTCTCAAATCCATTGAGGAGTCACCTAGCAGAAGGCTGGTGAGGGGAGCAGGTTTAGTGGATGTCCACTGCACCCAAAGGTGGCCCCAGAGAGAGAGAACAGGTAAGGCAGAAAGCCTGAGGGGGGAGGCCTGCAAGCAGGAGGCTTTGGTGGCTATTTTATAAAATCCTAGTGTCACAACTCAAGAAAGGGAGGCCCAGAGGAGGAAGGGACTTGCCCACAGTGCCAAGGTGAGTCTGGCATGGATGGGGCCCAGACCTCAGATCTTGTGAGTTGCCCAAGCAGATGGGGAGTCCCTAGTGCAGATGGGGTTTCCATGCCAGCCCTGCCCTGGGCAGATATGTCTCTTTTTACGCACCATTGCCCTGCATCACCAGGGCAGGGTGGTGCTGTCCTTAGATATATGGGACTGATTCCCTTGACCCCTATGGCATGGGGGCAGGACGAACCCCCTAATTGGCTGCCTGCCTGTCCTCGGCGCTGAGTTATGGGTGGAGAGCACCCCACTAACTAATTAGTACCTCCCATTTCAGAGTATCCAGCTGTCCAGGGGGCGGGGGAGGGAGCTCGGTCCACAGCTGAGGCCCAGCCCTTTGGTCCCCCAAGGGAGAGAGCAGCTGTTTAACCACTCTCAGAATGAGGGAGGGAGCCAAGGCTCCCAAGAACAGCCCTGCCCAGGCAGACTCCCACCCCCTTCACTGCCTCCCCAGGCTGTCCCTCTTCACTGCTCCTAGTCTGGGTTGCAGAGCCCAGTTTAATCCCAAGTTAATGACTGTGGTGGAGGAGGAAATAGATGCCTGCCTCAGCTGGGCCTGCTGGGAGTGGGGGAGAGAGTGTGGGGGTGGGTAGGGTCACCTTGTACAATAGCAGCTGCCGGGAGTTCTGCTGGGTAGGGGGCCCTGAGCGGCCCCTTGGCTGGCTGTCTTTCTGGAAAATGTTCTCTGCACTGGGCTTACACTTGCCTGCCACATCACACGTTGGCTCCCACAAGGGGGCACCTGTCTCTGCTACTCCCTCTGTGCGAGTCCAAGGGGCTGCCATACTCACACACCCATTCCTGTGCATGAACATTTAGCTTTATAGATGTGTATGTGTGTGTGTGTGCATTCACAAACAGGCACTGTTATCTGTCATAACCATATAACTAAATGGCAACAGCCATAATAGTAAAAAGCAGTGTTACATTCCTCTCATGTTCTCCTCTTCCAAATGGACACTATCATGGTCTCACTTTACTGATTTGGATGCTAGGATCTCAGAAGCTAAATAACTTGTCCAAAATCTCTGAGCAAGATGGGGCTGGCCTTGGTAGGTTGGCTCACCTCATAGCCAGCATTCTTTTTAAAAAAAAATCCTTTTTCTTTATTGTTTTGAAAGAAAGAGACAGAGATCTTTAATCTACTGATTCTTTCCCCAAATGCCTATGACCACTAGGACTGGGCCCAGCTGAAGCCAAGAGCCAAGAATCCCACCCAGGGCTCTCACATGGATGGTAGGGACCCAAGTATTTAGCTGTCATCTGCTGCTACCCCCTTGGGTCTGCAGGAGCAAGAAGCTGGAGTTAGCCAGGTAATCCAGAACCCCTGGTGTGGGATAATGGTAGCATAACTGGTATCTGAACTGCCCAGCTAAATGCCACCTTCATGGTGACACACACACCTGCAATGCATCTTCCATATGTGTGCTCATACACACACGTACAACCTGCCACTTTATTCCACAACACACACACCTTCAAAGTATCTGCACACACACACACAGGCACAAAGCCAGCCCTTCCTTGCTGCCCGTGTGCCACACCTTCTGATTCTCTCTGGATAGCTTTATCCCCAAACATGGCCTCCAGAGGCCTTGCGGGCAGAGGTAGGGGCTAGGGACAGAACTGGGTCCTCTTGTCTTTATGGGTTTTGTGAGGTGGCCGGCCAGGCCCTGGACCCTGGCAGTTGCTTTCCAACCCCTCTGGGTATAAGGACCCTGGAGATTGCCCAGATCCCTTGCCTTATACTGGGAGGGCCCAGCAGAGAGGTGAGGGGTACTTTTCCTCTGCCTCCTGGCACCCCCAGGGCTCCCCAACCCCACCCATTTCCCAGCAGGGTCATGGGATGGCTCTGACCAAGGAGATCTGAGCAGATACCAGCAGTGCCCCCCTTGGTGAGACAATGGCCAGAGCCCTGCCAAGACTGTGGGGAACCCAGATGGCAGCACTGTGGAAGGACCACAGAGTATGGTACTACTTGAGCCAGGGAGACATTTAGGGCAGGAAGGAATGCCTGTTGACCCAGGGTCAGGGCAGAAGCCAAACAATAACTCTCTCAGAGCAGCAGGTACTAGACATCCCCCTGCACTCCCATTCCAGGACAGCAGGGCCACCCACAGTCCCTTCCCCCCTCTGTGAGGAGACCCTCTGCCTGAGCTCTGCCCTGTTCCCAGTCTTGTCTCCTGCCCAGTTCTGCTGTCCATCAGTGTCTGTCTGCCAGGATGCATTGTCCAGAACTTTCTTGATGGAATGTTCTAGAGTCTGTGCTATTGTAGGTGGCCACAGAACACTTGAATTGTGGCCAGTGTCTCTGAGAACATTATTTTTTAAATGTGGGTCTCAGCCTTGGGGCTCACGTCTGGCTGGGCCTTCTACCCTGGGCAGGGTAGCCTTAGGGCCTCCATCTCTAGCTTAGAGGGTTGTGTCAGGGAGAGAGGTGTTCTAGCTGTGGCAGAATCTTGCTGAGTAACCTGGGGGGCAAACCACACATCCTCCTTAAGGAACTCCAAGGAATGGCAAAGATGCATGCCCTCCCCTCCTGTCTGACGGAAGGGAAGAGCCACAGGGAGAAAAATGTTTCCAAGGAAATGCCCTCAGCTATCTTGGCATGCTACAGCAATGCAAAGACTGTTACACTGAAATCATCATGAACACCACGGCAAGGACACAGTGATATAGTCCAACCCAGCTGGTTGACGAGCACAGCAGACCCTCTTACCTGGGCAGGAGATGAGGGTCATAGCAGCCAGCAGCAGCAGGATGGGCTTCCTCCTGGCAGGTGTTTTCATGGTGGGCGCTCCCAGCAGAGGCAGAGATTGGGGAGCAGGCGTCTGAGTCCAACGAGGGGTGAGTCTAGCTGGAGGCTGGGAAAGGCCTAGGAGGCAGGAGGCAGGAGGCAGGTGGCTATGAGCCAAGGAGCACCCCTCCCAGCCCCAGACACATCTGGGCTCGTCATGCTTTTACCTAGGCTGTGGCAGCAAGGTTGCGGCTGAGGGAACTGCTAGTGATAATCCTCCCCCCAGGGTCCCAGGGGAGGAGGCCTAGCTGTTATCCAGGCGCTCTTTTCCCCCCTTCCCCCCCCCCCCACCTCCCCGGCTGAGTGCCTCCTACTTAGGCCCCTGGGAGTCTGGGTCTGCCCTGTACCCTACCCCACCTTCCTCCAGCCAGCGGGGGTGCTGTTCAAGAGGCAAAAGCAATGACTAATTGAGAAGCAAGAATGCACCTGCCCACATGCATTGCCAGCTCTCCATGTAGGGTCCAGAAGGGAATGGGCCCCAGACCTGCTGTGGGGAGCCAGTAATACCTTCCTTGGGCAACCAAATCTCCTCCTGACTTCCTCCACCCCAACAGATGAGAAGCCCCTCCAGGAACTGCATGAAGTCTAGGGGAGGGGTAGCCTGTTTTTCCTGGTAGTGTGAGGCCCCACACTGATTCTCCTTACCCTCTCACCAGTGTGACCCCAGGTGAAGCACTGAGGGGCATTGCAAGAAGGAGTCATGACCTTGGCCTCCTTGGCAATGATCCTGACTTGTGGCACAAATGAAAAGAGACGTGATAAAAACAAGGAGTTGTTGACAACCTGTCGTCAGGGCCCTGCTGAGACGAAGTCCATCCCACCTTTCTGAGAGGCCCAGGGAGGACAGCCTTGTGGGCAGGCTCCCCATCCATGGGAATAGAGGGTATGGCCAGAGGACCTGCAGCAGCTGCTGGTCTACCCTGCATGGCTGCTTTGCTGAGCCCAATGCTCCACTGCTGGCTCTTGGAGTCCTCTTGAGCCAGGAGGGTACTTAGGCAGGTTGCTCATGGGCAGGCAGCAGTGGGGCAGGGCAGGGTCTACAGGCCAATGCCAGCTCACAGTTGGCCTTGTCTTGCTTCACACCCTATGTTGTTGGAAAGATAGCACCCCAACGTTCTTAACCTTGGCACTGGATCACCCCACAGACTATTTCTGCTTCCCAAGGAGCTATGAGGAGGGAGTGACATGGCCCCAGGACCTGTCTGGGGGTGTGAGCAATGGACAGGGCAGAACAGAGAGTGAGGTGGCAGGGTGGTGACACTCCTCCTCTGAGCTCACAACACCTTCCTCGGCGCTTCATTGGTGCTGTTCCTGACTTGAACCCAGATGCTTGGCATGACCTGCCCTGCATGTGCTGTCCCAAACATGCTAGACTCATTTCCTGGTGAGGCACCCTTCTGAAGCCCTGTTCACCCTCCCTCCTGCCAAGAAGCCCCGGTACACCACTGGGGGCACACAGCTCAGCTGTGTTCTGGACCACACACCTTTTGGCCCTGCCCAGAGAGCCATGCTTCCATCCAATTCTATGGACCCCTCATGGGCAACTAGCCATGTCAGCTGTGCCTAGCAAAGTGGCACATACCAAATAGGACTTGAACCAACCAGGAACAAGCACAGCCAGTCACTTCCAGGAGCGATGGACACACACACACACGCATACTCACACACAAGGCCAACAGCTTTCTAGTACTCTCTGAGGGCAACCCAGCAGCACATATCCGGGCCACTCAGCAGGAGGACATCCAGCTGTGGGGAAAACCGAAGAGTATGGCCCTGTGCAGCCCAGGTGTAGGCCACCGAGCAAGGCACTGGGAAGCCGTGGGGCCCTCCTGGACAGAATCTGACCAACCAGACTTGTTAACACCAACTTCCTCTTCCACAGCCTCACTGTGAGAGACTGTTTTCCCTTCGAGGAGCCTCAGTTTTCCTATCTGCCAAGTGGGAAAAATAGACAAAGCTGTGCTGAGGGTACATGAGGCTACAGAGAGCCCAGCAGTGCTTTCCAAACTCTGCAGCCTTAGGGCTGTGGGGCTCGTCCTGGGCCACAGCAGGAACCATGCTGAGAAGAGCCTGGGCATATCCACCCATGTGGGCCTCATGCACCAGACGTTCCCATGAAGTTGCTATATAGGAAGCCTCCTCCCAGAAGTTCAAGAAGCTTGCTCTTGGCACGGCCAGGCCACCTCTGGCCACTTCTGTGTGGGCTGCAGAAGGGGCTCCATCCTAGCTTGCTGACTGTCTTTTTGGTCAGACTGTCCATGCCGGGAACTCAGGGCCTGAGGCTGGGCTTAGGGGAGTTTGGGCTCCAGGCATTATCCTGAATGGGCAAGGACAAGGCAGAGGCAGGCGTCCTTGTGGGTATCATCCCCCGGCTGTGGTCAGAATTTTGCTACTTGCATCATGCTAGGTAATCACTATAGCTCATGCACAATCCAATCCCACTGTTCTTGCCAAACTCTAATGCAATCCAGATACAGAAAGAAAAAAATCAGTGAGCTCTCCAACCCAAAGGCCCTGGGTATAGTTACAGGAGAAGTGTCAGGAGGGGCTGGGATCAGGGAGCGCTGGAAAATGGTTGGCCCAAACGGGTGCATGCCAAGTAACCCCACGTACCAGGGCCCTGGTTACACTCACGAGTCTGGACCAAGGGTCAGAGCTGACTGCCTCCTTGAAGGCAAGGCAATGGGCAGCCCCAGCTGTGCCTGGCACCTGTCTCTACCACCATCTGATCACGCATCAAACACAGAAGACAGCAAAAAAAAAAAAAAAAAAGCTGCTGCCAAATATCCCCCAGCCAGGCAGGTACAGCCAACACACTCCCTGAGCTCACAGCTCAGCCACCCCTCCTCTGTGCCATCCACCCTAGGACGTAGTCTAGAATGCCTAGAATGGAGACAGACTTTTTGTCCAGACTAAGGCTGCAATGGAGCCATGCCAGGCCCAGAGTTGGCCCTGCCAACCCCGAGCTGGCCAAACCTTCCTCAGGCCAGCTGCCCTGATGAGGGGTGCAGGGACAGGCGGGCACAGGCTGGCACAGGCTGGCCCCATTGGAGGCGGGTACTGGGAGGCACAACACATGGGGGAATGAGCCACCTAAGGTCCAGGGACACCAGGGAGCTGGCTGGGTTGCCCAGCACAGGAAACAAAAGGGTGTGGGGGCAGTACACAACAAGGACTCCTGCCCAAAGCTCACCAGAAAAAGAAAGGTACACCCTCCCCTAATATTGCTGCTTGCGATGCCCAGCTCCTTGGCCCAGAATCGTTCTTTCCTCCCGATAGATGGAGAGTGGAGCACTGTGGGATCTGGTCTGCTCTTCTTGGTGGGTGGAGGCAGGAGCGAGGGGTGCAGAGGCTGGTGGGTGACAGAGACTGAGTGATTTATTACAGGCTCATAAAGGGCAGCAGGAGCGCGCGCACACACGCACGCATGCATGCCCGCCTGCCTGCCGCACCACAGCCTCCGTATGGCATCACAGTCCTTGATCCTGAGCCTCAGCAGTCTGGACAGGATTAACTAATACAACCCTGGTTTTAACTAGTACAGTGCCTGGTTACCACAGGCATTGCTCAGAGCCTGGGTCTCCCATCTGTGGGACGGGGAAGAGGGGAGGCAGAGTCTGCTCACCCCTGACCTGTAATGGGTACCTGGGAAAGACCCATACTCTGAACCAAGCATCCACCTGCCCTCTTGTGTGAGCCATGCAGACCCCGTGGCTGTTGGTCTTGGGCTAACTGGCTGCACTAAGGTATGCTCAAGACACCCACAAACCCACAATCACCCGAGACAGGAGCCTCTGTCCCACCACTCCTCACGCTGTGGAGGACTTGGGTAAGCATCAGAATGCCACCCCAGACTGGATCACAGGGACTCCCTCCCCATGACAGTCACTCCTGATCTCTTGTGTCTAGCAGGGCAGCAAGCCATACCCAATCAGGTGCTCTTCCCAAGCCTCAGCACCCGCTTCCTGCCTGCAGATCCAAGCCTCAGCACCCACTTCCTGCCTGCAGATTCGAGCTGGAAGCTCATCCCCTTTCCTCTGCCCAGGTCAGGAATCGCTGCCTGGCCTGTGGTAGCATCACTGTGCAAAGAAGGCCTGAACCATCTCTATGCCCCCTGTGGGAGGCCAAGGGCTCTGCAGTGGCTAGGGGTCGAGGCAGGGGGACTGCTGGGTTCCCAGCTGGCAAAGGGAGGCGGACCATGTGTTGGACATTCTCTGGGGTACCCTGAGAGTGGGGGAGGGTTCAGCTTCCCTGTGTAAGTAGGGAACCCAGTGGCTTCTGAGATGGGAAGAGCGCTGAAGGCTCTGGTGTGTCCCAGCACAGGGCAGGCAGTGGGGGTTCTGTCTTGGACAAGAGTATCACACAGCCTCCGGCCTGCCTGCCTCCCCTTTGGGAGCTAGACAAATGGGCAAATCCCACAGACAGAACTGAGCAAATCCCAGACGGGTCCTCTGGACTCCAGGATGGGGATCCCTCTCTCCTGCAGGGCATAGAGCACACGCAGGCAGCACAGCAGCAAGTTTGACCACAGCCCTGGGGCAGGCTGGGGAGTCAGGGATTTGGTCCAGCTGGAGAGAAAAAGGTAGCCGGCAGGCCGGAGGGGGCTTGAAAGGCATCTCAGATGCACGGTTCTCTTATCATTCACAAGGGGATTACTGGAGCCTGGAAGAGCTGCCTCCGATTGGCCTGGCCCTCCCTGCCTCTGGGTAGCACCGTCTCTAACCTTGGACTAGACAACCATCCCACCTCATAGCGCTTCACAAACCCCCTGGGAATACTCTGAAAGGAGATTGTTATTTCCCATCCAGCCCCCCAAACTCCCTCTCCTCCCTGGCATATGACTACTGCTTAGAAAGTATCTCCTACAGTCTAACTTAAATCTCTCCTGCTCCACTGCGGTTTTGATTCAGGCATCCACCACCTCTTTCTCTGGCCCCAGGAATCCCTCTGGAAACAAGCACTGCCCACCCTCCGGTTTACAGATCCTTCTGA